AATAGATATATTCTAGCTATTCCTAGTACTTATAGTAAAAGAAGATCTTAAATACTATTAATATAATATTAAGAACACTTTTACTAAGTCGGAACTAAAAGAGAAGATTTTCTTAAAGATCTTAGATAATATCCTAGCTAAGACTAGCTATATATAATAAGCTCTAAAAAGCTTATATAAATTAAAGTAAGTAGTAAGAGATTAGAACTATTTAATAAAAAATAAACTTATTAAATAGGGATTCTAATAGAGTATAGTAAATCCTTATATATTTATATATAAAGATAAGATAATTAAGCTCCTTATATATATTAATAATATAGTTATAGTAGCTAAGTTTAAAGGGGAGCTAGATTAGTTTTATAAGAAACTATTATTAAGGTTTAACACTAAGAACCTAAGGGAGATTAGTAAGATTCTTAGAGCTAGAGTTACTTATAATAGAAAGTATAAGACTATTAAACTTAACTAGATATAATACCTTATAAGTATACTTAATAAACTCGGAATCACTTAGGAAACCTTTAAGCTAAAAAGAACTCTTACTACTAGATACGAACACCTTCGCCTTACTAATAATAATAATAAGCGAATTAATATCACTAAGTACTAGTATACTATTAGAAGTCTAATATATATAATAATCTTTATATAGCTTAATATCGCTTTTATCCTTAAAAAACTTAGCTAATTTATAAGTAACTTAGCTAAGTACTATAGATATACCTTAAAATTACTACTTAAGTACTTAAAGTTAACTATTAAGATATAGATCTAATACAGACTAAGGGAAGAGTATAGTATTACTATACTTTACTCTAATATAGATTAAGTAAGTAATAAAGTTAATAGAAAAAATACTTTAGGAAGTATAACTATATTTTATAGTAGCCTAATATCTTAGTTAAATAAGAAGTAATAATTAGTCGCTATATTAAGCTATAAATCTAAGTATATAATACTTATAAACTATACTAAGTATAGTTAATAGTTTACTTAAGTCTTCTATAACCTAAGTTACTCTAAGCTTATTAGAAGAAACTTAGAGCTAGTATAAATACTTAGAGATAACTAAAGAGCTATTATACTAATAAAGAACACTTACTTAAATAAATAGTCTAAGTATATTAATATCATATACTATTATATCTATAATCTCGCGGAATAAGAGAAGCTAAAAGTTAACTATATCCTTATAGCTAAAATAATTACTAATAGTATAATAAAACTACTAGAATAAGTTATGTTTAAATAGTTTAAAAGTTAGATAGGATTAGCTAAGGAAGTTACTAGAGTTAAGCGCGCTAAGAAGGACCTATAATCTAGGATTAAGTATTAAGGAGAACTTATAATAAGCGTGATCTGCCTTAAGGGGAAGTATTAGAATATAAAGGGATTTAGGCTAGATATTACATATACTACTAAGCTAAAGATAGCTTAGTTAAGGGCACTTAACCTTTTATATACTATAGCTTTTTCTATAGATAGTTCTATATAGCTTTAAAGATATACTTCTTAGAAGTAGAAACTCGTAATAAAGTAAAGGAGTTAACTATAGTTAACTCTACTATCTAATATAAATAGTCTCACCTACTATTATCTAGTCTCTCTTACTTAGCCCTATGAATATACTATATAGTAGGCTATACCTTTTAAGAGTATATATATTATATCGATTAGTATATTATACTATGATATTAATAATACCTGTAAGCGAGTACTTTAAGCAAATTATAAGCTTAGTAATCTGAGCTAGAGCCTTTAGCGCGTAGTAGAATACCTTATTCAGATTAGTTATAATTACTTAAAGTAGTAGCGCCGAGTGCTCACGTGCGTAATTAATCTATATTACTAAGGTCCGCTCCTAGTAGCGTTAAATATAGTCCTAATCTTTATCCGAGGCAGCTAATTATATCGCTTCTTTAATAGATTCCTCTGCTCCTAGCTTAGTTTAACGATTATAAAGCGCTACTAAGAGTATAGCTCGCGCTCTAGCGTTTAATTTCGAGCTTAGCTTTCACTTTAGTGTATATATATAGTAGACTCAGTAAAGTAAGTAGCTAATCTACGTACTATAAGTAGTCAGAATCAATTAAGGTTATTAATATAACTTACCTTAGTCTCGCCTACCCCTAGCCTTAGGAAAGCTAAGCGAAAGGCCCGCTATTCTGCTCCTAAATCGTTACTTAAGGTATAACGTAGCCTCTACTTTAGTACCTACTTCTTTAGAACTAATAGGAATTTAGTAATTAATTCGCCGAACTCGTAGGAGACTAGCGCGTGCGCTATAAGATACTAGCTTCCCTATTAGTCTCGTACTATAATCGTGAATAGCTTCTATTCTAATTAGTTAGTTTTATATATACTATTAATAAGCGAAAGGTAGCCCTATATTTTAAGGCAGCTAAGGTATTATAGCTATATAAAGATAATTCCGTAGCTTTTGGTTCTATCTAATAAGATTATAAAGATAGGGAAGCTAAGCTACTTAAGCTTATCGAGCTTACTAAATATAGCCTTAGCTTAGGCTACTACGTTATCTTTCTCCGTAAGAGCTGCTTATAGCGAATTCGGATTAACTAAACGCTACACGACTCCGTTATTAATAATATCTTAGCGTAACAGATAAGCGCTACCCGCAGCTACTAGCTATAAGCGAGCTAGTAGCTAGCCGGGACCTCCGGAGATTACACTAATAATAGCTACAGGTATATACCCTTTTATAGCTTCACGCTACACTAGGCCTCAGAGTAACCTATTTCGCTTATTAGTATTAGATTCGTCTAATAAATAAGAGTACTAAAGTAATCCTATTCCTACTAAGCCCCTACTATTAGCTAGATAGAACTCCACGTGAGTTTAATACTCTTAGATCGAGAAGCTAATACTATAATTAGCTACTTTACTAAGCGCTACCTTCTTTATCGTTACTACTTATTAGCTAGAGCTTAGAGCGCTAGCGGAAGCTCCTGCTTTCCTTTTATTAGCTTAGCGTTCTTAGTAACACGTAACCTAATAGTATATATATAGCTTATTCAGAGTTAGTAAAGACTTATTCCGACGAGAATAAACGTTATTAATAAGAAGCTAGAATAGCTCGTAATTTAATTAGCTAAGCGAGAATAATAAAAGCAGATTAAAAAGTATTTAACGCACGTGCTCTATATCACGTAGGAGAGCTTAAATAATATCTATAGTAAGTAAAAGTAAGTTATTTTATCTAAGTACACGATTCTTAAGCACTAGTTATATAATTAGCTCGTTACTAATATCAAGTAGCAGTAAAGAGTTTTACCAGCGGTAACTTATTCTGCCTCCCCTATTCCCCTTTAGGATTAAGCCGTCGGGTAGTCGGAAACTATATGCGTATATGCCTTATAGCCTTATGACAGTTTAATCGATTCCACATATACTCGTACCCTAAGACACCATGGTTTCACAGAGCGGCACAGGATGCGGGTCATCCTTGGCATACTTGGGGGTAATCTATCAGCTGCCTAAATTGGGCAGAAAAGCGAGATACAGCGCTGTGCGTTTTGGGCGACTCGTTTCCCTTCTCCTGATTTGTTCGATTAAATTTTCCAAATTCTGAGAACTTAGACTGTCTATGTCTAGCATAACCTGACCAAGAGACAGGAATGTTTCTCCTTGTGCTCTTCTGAATGTGATTACTACTCAAATCAAACTTTAGTACCCAGTGATTCAGAGACTTTATTTTCCAGTCCGTGTCAGAAATCTTAGACGCTACATACGCATTTTACTATCACATGATGCATGGGTGTTTCCATGATCCCAATGCCCACCATCAATATTTTGATTCGGAGCGGGATTAAGCGAGCAAGATAGGGGAGTTTCCAGCTCATGTTGCCGGTATCACTATTGAAATGAGAACAGTCTACGGCATGTGAGACCCGTTGAATACTCTTGAGGCATGTCTTAAAACTCAGGAAAAGTCGGAAGCCATCGATAAATCATGGACGTGTGAGTCGTCTCGGAAAGTCTGATCTGGGATTTCAACTACCAGGCTGCTCGGTCGTCGAACTGTCCATTTGAATTATCTAAATTTTAAACTTAGTGTGACTGCAAACTATTGAACAATGCAAGGCCAAAGTCCAAGACAGTCATGATTCTGGAGAAAGCTGTGAATTTTGCAGATGTTCAATCGGTAAATAATACAGAGCCATCCTCGAAATATACAGCAAGAGACAGCACACAACAGAAGATAGAAGGCATCGATCACAGACTTATGAAGAGGACAACAGATTTGAAGATAAGATAAGATTCTGCAAAGAACACGCATCGAAGTGAGAGGACGTACGGCCACCCCTGTCCACAAGTGGACCGGCCACCCGAGTCTCCGAGGCTGCGAACATCAGCTGATTTTACTCTTCCGACCATGCCCGAGATCCACTCTTCTCAAACGTGATTGAAGACGTCCAAAATCTTTTTCCTCCATACGTCTTCTGTTCCCCTTTAATCCAACGTTGAAAAGGACATGCGTCAACGGTTTCGAATATTATATTTGGGTGTGCTGGCTTGAATGATCCCGAAGGATACCAATTCGAGACACTTCCCCAAGACCGGCATTTGACTTGCTATCCCTTTCTGAAACATTCCTATACCCTGTACCGGTACGTTAATCCGTTCCCATTCTGAGAAGAAGCTCGTGTGACTAAAATCAATAGGAAAAGTTCACCCAAATCAAAATAAGCCCACGTGATCATAGAGTAACAGCATTTCGTCTCAATCAACAGCACAAATCTCAGTCAAAATGGCCATCATAGCGCGCCGTTTCTCTATCACCAACTTCTTCATCGCGTCTTCAGCCCTCGCTTTCCAAGTCTTCGTGCTGTATCCTTGGCACCAACAGCTCGACGATGACTTCGCAGCTCTGAAAAGGGAGCATCTGAGTCTGTTGCAGGAGCTCAAGATTGCGAGAATGAGCGATATGTCGGAGATTAAGGATGCTATCAAAGCTCTCAAGAAATAGATTGAACAGACTACTGGTAGATCTGGGACGGAATTGGTGGGAGGATTAGAAGTGGGGAAGAGAAAAAGTCCGAGCTTGAGCGAGAGGATATTCTGAGGGTTGGGTGGAGTAATTCGATGTACGGAATAGGGCTCGAAAGATCGATAGGAGCTGTACAGTGTATTTGTAATGGATGGTCTTCAGCGATTAGATGCATGTAGTTGAGAGGAGCGAAGACTGGGTACAGATAGAGAGAGGCTTCAGAGAGACTTAAAGTCACGAATGTATTCCGCAAGAAACACCACAAGAATTGTAACAAGTTTCCAAGGCATGTAAGACGAGAGTTGATAGCAAGGCTTACTGTAAATATGTATGAAAGGACGTATTTTCGTGCATGTCCTCGCGAGAAGAATAGCTGGTGACCTTTCGGGAAAGTTTCATAAACCTTAGTGATCGCTGGGAACAGAATTGAGAGCTTGGAAAGAATTGATCGCACGAGCACGCAAACCACAAACACCGACATCTATCGTCTGTTCATCTACTCAAAGCCATCACTCAGCTTTCCAGTTACAAGCAATTGGCTCCCCAGCTGCCACTACGGTCAAACATCACGTGTTCGTCACGGAACTCGGAGTCTTCGGACCAGCCTCCCATCTTTGAGCTCCGTAAGCTTGATCGTGACATACATAGCCGACTCATACCGAAAGCTTATCTCTCTATACCTTGAACTGGACTCAATTCCATCTCATCTCATCTTAAAAATAGAGATCACAGGTTAAACTAAAACAAAGACGTCTGACATAAGGAAAAATGACAGGCACTAAACTCCTCCCCGGCCAAGCCAGCCTGCCAACTCCCAACTCTACCAAATCATTCTGGCATAGCCAACCCTCTAAGATTTTACTCGGGCATCGAACAACCGAGGCGTTACCTACTGAAGCTGATCTGGTGATTGTGGGGAGTGGATTGTCTGGGACGAGTGCTGCTCATTTTGTGCGTGAAGATGAGGTGGGGAAGGCCATGAAGGTTGTGATGTTGGAGGCGAGGGAGGCATGTTGGGGTGCGACTGGACGGGTGAGCACTCTTTACTCAATGATATCATTCAAAGAAAAGGACACAGATGAATTCAAGCAGGAATACAAACTTGATCGAAGATGCTAACATTACAATAGAACGGCGGCCACTGCCAACCATTCATTTACGGCAATCCCCCAGCTGTCGGCGCTTTCGAGATGCGCAACTATCAGCACATCAAATCTTTCATCGCCACACACAACATTCCCTGTGACTGGCGAACTCTTTCTGTAGCACACGCCTACATGGACTCAACGATGTTCCAACACTCATTATCTATTTTTCAAGACCTCTTAGAACAAGATCCCTCAATGTCAGACCTTGTCTCCGTCATCACACCACAATCCACCAATCCATCACTAGCCGAGTTGAGGATCCCCACGGCTGCAGGTGCCTTTCTGCAGAAACACGCTGCAAGCGTATGGCCATATAAACTCGTTTCTTGGATGCTAGAACGATTACTCGACGGCAATGAAAAGGACAACCCGAACTTCAACCTCCAAACCAACACCGCCGTAACCCATCTCCAAAAAGCACCCGACGGATCCTGGATAGTCCACACGTCCCGCGGCATGATAGCTACCAAGAAAGTCCTTCTCACTACCAACGCATACACATCTCATCTCCTCCCCTCGTTCAGCGACCTAATCGTACCCGTCCGAGGCGAGATGAGCAGTCTCATCCCACCATCTACCATGAAGCCTGGGAGTGAAGAGAACCCGCCATTGGAGTACTCGTACGGCTTCATCGGGAACGGTAGGCAGAATAGACATCAAGACGACTATCTGATCCAGCGTCCGTATTCCAAGGATAAGGATAGCAGCAGCGCGGGTGGAGGCGAACTCATGTTCGGGGGTGGCAGATCGTATGCTGCGAATGCGGGACTGGGCGTCTCGGACGACTCGTCGATTGATCTACCTGCTGCTGAGTATCTCCGGAAAGAGATTACTGTGATAGTTGATATTAAGAGCGAAGAAAAGAAGCTGAAGGCTACTTATGAATGGAGTGGGATTATGGGGTACTCGCGGGATGATCGGCCGTGGGTTGGTGAGGTTACGGAGGAGTTGGGCCTTGGTGGGGGAGAGGGGTTGTTTGTTTGTGCGGGATTTACGGGGCATGGGATGCCGAATACGTGTTTGAGTGGGAAGGCGGCTGTGGAGTTGATTTTGGGGAGGAAAAGTGAGGAGGTGGATTTGCCGGAGTCGTATCGGTTAAGTAGGGAGAGGGTGGTTAAGGCGAGGATGTTGGATGAGGTTCATATTGTGGATGCAAAGGGATGATTGTGACCTTCTTGATGGTTTATATGGTGTCTCAATAGAAGCCAATTGCACATCAGCACCATATCTAAGGTCGAGATTCTCATCTATGCTGCCCCAAATAGTGCGGAAAACTTGACCAAAATCCTATCCGACATCATGTCTTCAACACCGATTTCAATACTTCGATCTAAACATCTCATAATTCCCAATCTTTCTCGGGATAAGATCTGCACAGAACGGCCACGACCAATCTGTTCCCCCTGGTGGACTTCCCCTACTCGTCCCCATCCTCGGGTCTGCAAAAGTCGCTCCATCAAGCCAAATCTCCTTAGCATCCTCTCCCTCAAATGCTTCGTCCTCAACCAAGTAACACCATTTCTTGACCAGTATATCCTCATCTTGGTAGATACTATCCATTCGCGACGTCCAGATTGTGCGCTGTTTGGGACGCATCGCATCGCCTGGAAGACGTCTATAGAAGACACCCTTTTCAGGAGTTGGACCAATTCCACCACCTCTATTGGAAATCCAGGCGTGGAGATCGCAGGTGTGGAGGCGAGGGAGGGCGTGAAAGATCTCCGGGCTCAAGAGGCACATAGGATCGAAGTCTTCATTCTCGTCGCACCATATTCTGTGCCCGTTGATTTCCAGGAAGAGTTCCTGGAGAGATGGGGGTAGGGCTTTGATGAATTCTAGGATATGCTGGGATGATGTTAGCGTGCGAGATGCCTTCACGGTTTGGAGGAGGTGGCTTACAGGCCTATATGCCTCGAAATCGGGCCTGCCATCGTCACCAAACGGTCCACCAGTGTTATCTTTATCTCCTAGTTGCAAGAACTTGAGGCTCTTCCAATTCTGGAAGAGTTGACCAGCTTCCCTGGAAAAGTGATTATGGATATTCATGGTCGAGAATTTCTCAATCTTGGCTGTAGCTGGGCTGGTAGTCAGTTCCCAAAGTGCCTCGAATTTTCTCAATTTGGTCTTTGAATCCGAACCCAAGTCGGTACCCAGCAAGTTCAATTCTCGCAGGTCTGGTACCAAGGAGCACACTTTCAGGACAAAGTCCAACCCTTCCCTACTCCAGCCGTAGTCCCCTCCTGGAATGGTGATGGAATTCAACGAGTGTCCATAACGACCAACGATATCTAGAATAAAAGTTTTGATATCGTCAGTTGCTCTATATGTACTGATGCCCTTCAAATTGAGCCCAAAGTGCCGGAGTTTGGGAAGTTTAGCGTCTGTGGAATTTGGCAGCGTACTGTACTCGGAAACCAGGTCAGTGGGAATTGCCGTATCTGTCTCAGGCTCATAATGATGGTTTTGGGCGAGCTGAAAATCAAGGACTTCCATCTCAGGGCATGTAGTTTCGACGACTTTGAACAGCAGGCGAAGCTCGATTAGTAGATCTTGAAGACCACCCCTGCGATATGTATACTGTGGTGCGGCTTTTTTCCAGTGCAGTTTTCTTAGTGATGTTTTGGAATTCTTCCAGATGTGTTTGCTTGGTGTGAAACCATTGAGGGTCACTTCGGACAGCTCTCGATATGAAGGCAGTGTTGTGACGACTTGAACAGCAAGAGGATTGAGGTTGAAGGAGGCTTTGGAGAGAGATCTCAAGTTATTTGCAGCCTCAATCAGTAAAAGCTTGTTTATTTCGCCCCTTCGAGTCACATCCATGCCAGGAGAAATATAACCCGAATCGTTCAGAAAAGTCCTGACCTGGAGGCCCAAATTTGGATTTCTGTTCATGTTCAGACTTTTTGATAAAGGAATTTCTAAGAAGGGAGGAAATACTCAGCAATGGTTTTCATGAGACAGAGCTGCCTCCTTTTAATCTTCTTTGACAGCCTTTCCATGTTATGGTAACATTGTAGATTGATGTCCCGATAAACTGTTGATGTAGCAGCATCCCAGAACGACCGACATGTCTGGCTGCAGCTCAGAAGGTCCTTCCGGTTTGTATACTGACTGGACAAGTATGATACAATATCTTGTAGCACCTCTACGGGGAGTTTCTCAATGGCCATGATGATACTACGGAAGGTGATCGTGCTTGATGGGAGATGTAGATACGTAAATGATTTGTTGGGTGCGCTGGTTTCATATAGGGATACTGTGCCGTGGGAGCTGGGTTGGAGATTCCAGGCATGAGCTCTTGGCGTGTCTTAGTGACATTGTGCCTGGACATGCCCCCGGTTTTAGCGATTGTTGCCTAAAACGCAGCCCCTGACTACGAGCAGCAGTGCTTGTGTTAAGCGAGCGAGTGGGAGGGTGGCCAGTCGATATCAACAATTTGCAAGTGAAATGGTGCTGTCTCCAATTCAGATTCCCTAACATTAAATTAAGGCACAAAAAGCATTTGCAAAAGCATATTAATAGTGCACGCAGCCACTACGTCCTTCACCAGGAACTGAACATTCGATTGCCAACTACCAATATAGAATGAAGCAGCTGGCAACTTCTATGTTACCAATGTAGAACGTCCAGAAATATACTTACGGAATACTGAGAATAAATTGGTGACCAGCTGTAGGAAGTGAAAAACAATCGACAGGCTGACGCGGGCAACTGTGGATAGTGGTCACGTCACTATATCAACAACGAAGCATGAATTGACAGCAAACATTTTTAGGCGTCCTCCGTACTGCAATGTACTGCCAAATTACTCGCACGCACTCTTCCAAACTGGTTGTTTCTCGGTGTTAGATCGAGTTACCCGGTAGTAATGTTGAGTCCATGACTATCGTTCAAGGTATGCTTTACCGGGCTAACTGCTGGCTCCTCGTCATCCCATTCCAATACCGGTCCAAGATGGCTATCAGGTTTTACGCTGCCTTCTTCCACTATGTCTTTAACTATTCATCCATGCTTCTCAACTCCTGTCCCTATCCTCAGTCTATAAAATAGCCACCATCTTCACCTTTTAAGAAGGTCTTACATACGCTATATCAACTGTTACAAAGGAAACAAGACAAGAACGTCATTTAGCCCGCCTCTTACCTCATTCCCCTCACAATGTGAATCGTGGATTCACTTTTCAAACGAGAATGGCATCCCGACAATCCACGTATCTGTTACCCGACTAGGAGATTCTAATATCTAAACATAGTCTGTTCTCTTCATTATATACCATGTGAACCAGCAACAACAACCCCGTGCGAGATACCTTGCAGGGTGAAAATTGAATTGCTGCCTGGCACAGCAGCAGAAAATCGCCTACCAACCCGTTCTGCAACTCCTCCGGTACTAGAATCCTGATAAGGACGCTGAGCCGCCATATAAGATCGTTATTGTTATCAGGCTCTGGACTTAAATACTGACAGACGAACGTTAAAGAAGGGTATTTTTTCGGGGTTTATTCTATTTTCGACTGAAACAGATCAGATTGTAGTGAATGTATGGACATGAGATATTCCTCAAATCGGGGCACAGCTCTAAGTTCAACGCTGAATGTCAATATAAGCAGCCAAGTTATTACTCATTAAGCTTCTACTCACGTCCACCACAATGTCTCAAGAGAAAGGCCAGGATGGAGAATTGTGGACGCGCTGTTTGGGTTCAGAAAGAAAAGGCTCTAGGTTGGCTGCTCCATGTTCTTCACCCTGGGATTTATTTACATTGATTGCATGAGAAAAGAGATAGTTACGTTAAAGATGGTATGACTGGTGTTGTTGTCAAAGGCTAGATTGTTGCTAAGGACCCTACCACCGTCAAAATACGAGCTCCATATCCTTGTGGTATTGGCTGGTCTTCAGAGGACCAGAAATATGTCCTGATTCTTAGGAGATACATGGCATTGCAAGACAGACCGATTTCAGCAGTTCAACATGCCTAAAACGGTATAACAATCACAACATGCCACACCAGATTGGGATTCATGATAGTCTTTGACTATCAGAGCTGGAGGACGAGTGCTCAGAGGCTGATGAAGGTAGTTTTATAGACCAAGACCAGGACTACATACAGTGTGGAATACACGTTACCGGCGTTGGAGTCAATGAGAAGAAGAAGGAATACATGGCACGTTTGATATTCACTTTGAAAGGTATTGCCCTAAATACCTACTTTTCTACTTACATAATCATTACACTAAACATTATTGACAGGCACATTCCTTGCCCTGTAATCCAACCACTTCGGCAACGTCCTCTTCAACTCCGTTCCCTCACTAAACTGCGCATCCTCAATCGCACTCGCCCACCTCAACATCACGCCCTCACTCCAGGCTGTCCCCATTAGCCCCAACCCAAACGGCATACCCGTCCCGCTATTAATTCCAGCGGGAAGCGTGATCAGCGGATATCCCGCCTGAGCAGCTACATTCGTAACCTGTCCGAGATCGCTAGGCACGAGAAGCACATCGACTGGATTGCCGGAGTTGAATAACGCGGCGTCGATGCCGTCTTCGCGCGTGGCGCGGTGTATGAAGGAGAGGGCTTGCCAGTATGTTTCGTCCATTATACCGCCGCTTTGAAGGGAGGCGTTGAAACCATCTTGACCTCCTGCGAATGCGGGATGGACGCTGGGGAGACCGCCTTCGGTGCCGACGTTGTCGATGTTGTATTGCATAATGTCTTCCAGGGAGCGGATATCGGTATTATTGAGTTCAGCGAGGTATGCGCGGATGTCGTTGTAGAAATCGACTTTCACGACGGTGTACTCGGATTCGTTTGGGTAGCCACGAGTGGTGCCAAAGTCCCAGTCCCAGCCTTCAGGGTTGATGATCTTTTCGCGGGAGGGGAGTTCGGTGCCGTTTATTATGGTGGCGCCGAGAGATTCGATGAGGGAGATTAGGGAGAGAAGAGTGCTTTGCTGTTCCGGAGAAGAATATTGCCAGAATGTGAGCCAGGGGAGACCGAAGACTGCGCCTTTGAGAGAAAATTTGGAGGTCAGGAATTGCGTATAGCCGCCAGGCGGTGCCTGTTGAGTGAGGGTGTAGTTGTCATGAGGATCTTGGCCGTAGATTCCATCGAGACAGTAAGTTGCATCTCGAACGGTTCTGGCAAGGCATCCCACTGTGTCCTGGTTGTGAGATTCGGGAATGACGCTGCGTTGTTAGCTGCGAAGTCCATGGCCAGGATGTCACCTACCCAGCTCGAGATGTTAAGCCAACAGTAGGCTTGATTCCGACCAACGCGTTACGCTCAGCTGGACTAATCACAGAACCATCTGTTTCAGTACCAAGCGCAAACATCCCAATATTGGCAGCAACAGCAGCTCCGCTTCCAGAACTGCTTCCTCCTGGATTCGTAGTCAGGTTGTAAGGCGACCGAGCTTGCCCACCTCTCGCAGAATATCCTTCAGAGTATGCATTTGTCCGCATATCTGCCCACTCGCTGAGCGTTGCATGGCCCATCAATACAGCACCCGATTCTCTCAATCGTCGCACCACATGTGCATCTCTTGGGACCACAGAACCGAGTAACATCCATGATCCTGCTGTCGTCTCCATCTTATCTTTTGTAGCTATGTTGTCTTTCACCAAGAACGGGATTCCGTGAAGTGAACCACGAACATGGCCATTCTTCCGTTCCAGGTCGAGTGAAGCTGCAATTTCGAGGACATCGGGATTGAGTTCCATTACCGACCTTTGATCCGTTAGACTTGCATTTGAATAAGTGCGATTAACTTACCTGATGTATTCGTCTGTCTGCCATATCCTCTGTATATAGCACATAACTATCTGGACAGACGACAATCTTCCTTTCGAGAGCGCTTCCTGTAACTGGTCTATAGTGGCTTCCTCGAGCGTGATGCCATTGCACTTTGGCATCGGAAACTGCCCGCTGTTCGCATTGGCCCCATCTTGAAGGACAGGAAACTCGTATGGATATGGTGACTCTAGAGTTTGTGTCTCGAGTATCTGACTGGTATTGTACAGATGCCTACTGGCAGAGCTTCCAATGGTATTGAAGGCAACGCCAACGGCGACCAGTACCCCTCGACAAATCATCCTGTGTATACCAGAGCAGGGAAACGGAGGAATGAGAGACGGAAAGGTGAGAAAGAGGGAAGGGGAGCTTTCGTCCGTATTATGCCCAGACAGCTCCCCGCTATTGACATGAAGATAGCTGCATCCCACTACTGCAGGATGCTGTTATCAGTTCTCTAATAAAGTTTGCCGCGGGGCACCTTGCAGATTCTTTGATCATTGAGTAATAGTTCCTGATAACAGACCGATATTTGACAGCTGTATGAGCACTTGCTTCCTTCTGTGGCTTCCTAGTATGGAACATAGACTGGGATGAAGCCGGAAGGTGTGGAAAAGGATCTTTTGTCTCGCCAAGACTAAGCTTACCAAGTGGCTGAAGGTCCCTGATGCGAGAGATGAGCGAGCAATGCTGAAGAAATCCTATACAAGGAAGATGTAAACAAACAAGCGAAACAATATTTACTTCTATGAGACAAGCGATAAAGCTTCCGCCGGTTGCGTGGCTCCGTGGTTACAGTACTGTACTGAAACAATGGAGGGGAGGGGTGGGGAGACGGTGGCGGTTGTGAAGACTCGCGTCGCGAAAATGACCTCACTGGCTGACTGGAATCCGGCTTCTGACAAGCATGTGGCTGGGCTGGGTCAGCATCACCATCACCATCTTACGCCTCACCAACACCACTATTGCGCACATCATAATCTTCAAGATGAAGGCATATATTGCAGTGCCGGTGACACTGGCTATGGTGGTCCGCGCCTACTCACACAAGTCGCTGACGCCAGCGGGGATTATCGCAGCAGTGTTGACAGCTGCTGCCCACGCCGTGCATCCATGGAGCTTGCCTTTCGCACTTCTGATTGTGTTCTTCCTAGCTGGAACGAGAGTTACGAAGGTTCTTACAGCTTCTGACGTTCGTTTGTGAGACTCGGCTGACGGTTGTAGGTCAAGCATGATATTAAGGCAAAGCTAACGATGTCTGCCACGGGCAGCTCTGGAGGTGAAGGCGCAAGGACACATGTGCAAGGTAGGATCTGCTTTATGCTACTGGATATAGACTTCTGCTGACCATTTTGATAGTCCTCGCGAACTCCGGAGTCGCATCAGTCCTTACTCTCCTCCATGCCTACCAACTGTATACACGAAACAAAGGCGTTGTATTGAGAAGCTCGACATGCTATTCGTGGCCTGGAGATCTACTTGTTGTGGGGATCGTGGCGAACTATGCTGCTGTGGCAGCAGACACATTCAGCTCGGAACTAGGTATATTATCAAAGAGCAAGCCTCGTCTTATCACGTCCTGGAACCTGCGAGAAGTGCCCCCAGGAACAAATGGTGGTGTGACATTACACGGACTGGCGTCTGGATTGTTAGGTTCCCTAGTTATCGTTGCTGCTTCTGTGGCTTTGATTCCATTTTGCGGGCCAAAGGTAGGAGGATGGGGATTAAATGCGAGAAATCGATTCGCGTTCGCTATGGCTATATGGGGAGCATTAGGTAGTGTGTTGGATAGCTTACTTGGAGGCTGGCTGCAACAGAGTGTGGTTGATACACGTACAGGACGAATCGTGGAAGGAGATGGAGGAAAGAAAGTGCTAATTTCGACGGGAGGACCTAACAGCATGCATTACAAGAAACGAGCAGAGGTCAGAGCAAACCTGCTCAACGAGGGCGAAGGCAAGGACGCCATACTCTCCCAGGATACGACAAATACCAAAGTCGAGCAGGAACTAGATGAGAAGATGGGAGGAATGGATAAATATGATGCGAACATGAAATGGCGGAAATCTAGCTTTGGAGACGAGAAGCCGAGTCGGATCGTGGAGGCTGGCACGGTCGGTATACTAGATAACAATGAGGTTAATTTCCTCATGGCTCTTACGATGAGCTTGGGGGCTATGGGCGTGGCGAGCTGGTTTTGGGACGTCCCTTTCAGCAGCATTTTATCGGCATAGAACGAAATCATACTATTATTTCGAACCAGAAGATAATCAAGAATTTGCATTATCCTACAGCTACTACCTGGAATACCTGCATCAAAATACTAACAGCAATAACATAATCTCCCCAAGGTCTAGCCTCCCAAATCATACCGGCATAAGTATGCCCTGTCCACAGATTCTTATCACATTTTGTTCCTTGTTTTGTTGCCATTCTTTAGAACGTCTGAAGTGCTTTCCTGTTAGATTTTTGTTTTTGACGAGTTATTTGGACTACAAGTCGATTCGATACACCCTTTGAACCCGTTCAGTAGAATTTCAGCGATTCGATTGTTCTATGCCTCAACAACTTCTGCTTCTTCATCAGTTTCGGTATCGGTTTCAGAGTCGGTTTCTTCACCCATGACTTCTCCGTCTATTACTCGTCAGTGTTGATATCTTCATTTGCTGGAAGTACATACCTGTATCAATGTCAGGGAGATCGTTCACGTTGTTCGAGGGCTTGACTTTCAGGAGATTGTATTTCTGAGAACCTGTAGTGCTTGCCGTTTCGGTACACAATGCTCTCTGCCTCCCAAGATGGACTTTCCCGGTTTGAAATCTCTTGTTGTACCCTTCCATCCTCCTGTCAGCAGACCTGGTTAATACACCATATTGAGCCCAGAGGCCGAGGACCCTCTGATTAGCACTACACTTCAAGTATTTCTTCAGCCCATCAGCTTTATCTAGGTAGCCTTGTGCTACTTCGCTCTGGCCGTGATAGAAGTTTGCTATTGCAGCCCACAAGTATGCTTGAGCTGACAGATCCGGATCATGGACTTGCTCGGCCTTGTAGATAGCACCGTTCTGCCGCGGAAACTGCGGCTAGGGCGTCACCTTGTGTCATTCCATTCACGGCGCGAGATGCTACCATATGCGCCAGGCATTTTTTGACACAGGAGATCATCCAGTGAAGCACTTGTTTGGTGAAGAATTGTGCGGTATGTTTGCCGTTGCGGCTTCCTACTTGGATTAGCACTGCATCTCGAAGGGTTGTCATGGTCTAAGATACTTACGAGCTTGCGAGTCATCTAGGCTTTTCTCGCCTACGACATTATCGAAGGTTTAAATCTCGACTTCCTTCTGCTTGCTCGCCGCTGTCTTTCCAGTCTGAATGAAATTTGCTGCCAGATTTCCAGCCTGTCTAGCAGCTGCTTGAGCAGGCATATCTATCTTAATCCCCTTCTTTGCTTTATCTTTCCTCGCTTTCTTACTACTACCCTTCTTTATCTCCTCCGCCTTCTCTTCGATCTTTTTTAACCTCTCCTCTAACCCGTTCTTCTTTTTGAGAAGTCTCTTATACTGGATATTGATAAGATTCGCCTCTTCATTTTCATGAGTCTCGTCATGACATTCAATATCTTCATATTGATTATCGTTCCCCATTCTCGCAAATGGCGGTCGCCAAGTAATTTGGCTTTATTTAATATTTTGGGTCGAGTTTTAATAGAAGCTAATATCCCAATGCTCCCAATATGAGACTATTCTTCGTTATGGATGAGGAAATATGCCATTTTCATTGTGATTGGGGGTCAGGCTCTTTGTTGACGTTTGGCAAGGTTTGAAACGCCGCATCCGGTCGGCGTGTCTTTCAGCGAGAGGAGAGGGTTCCATGATTGCGGTTGTACTCAAACTTTCAAAGAAAGGCTGAAGACTCATTAATCACGAACGATTATACAATGGGCGTGGAAGTTCAATACATGCATGTGCCCCTCGCTTACAGTCTAATGTTGTGTTTTGAACTCGCTTCTCGGCTGGCTCGCGAGCCCACTTCAATGAATACCACGAGAGCCAGTATTATCAGCATGGCGATCTTAAAATTAGACCCATAAATATCAGGGTAGGTGGAGGAGCACGCATATACAGTAGTTTTATCACCATTTCCAGTGTGTCTACGGGCAGTTGTTGGGGTTTTGGAAACGAGGGGTACAAGACTGTCTGGATCTAGGTGTCTTGTCCATTGGCGATTATTCCCGTGCTAGCATTCTCAGTCTCTCACATGTGTCGGGGCTCACTTTATGTTCTTTTGCGTAGAATATGATGTTGTGAAAGGAAAAAGTTAGGCAGTGACATGTTTGTTGACATCAAATCCCTTCTACTTCACGTAGGCGGAAATGTGGAATTCCACGAGGTGACAGTCGTTGCGAACGACCTAAAGTAAGGGGTAAAACAGCACCTCTGGTCTAGAGGCTACAGGAATAATCATCTCTGACATCTCTTTCGATTGTATACATTTTCATCGTGGCGTTGTGGCTGTTCGAGAGAACCAGGAGATGAGACATCGAACCACATTTATAGCTTACTGGTCCGTCAATTACATGGGGATAATAGCTTTGGATTGGTAGAGTGATATCGATAAAGTGAATATTTGGCGATGAATCCATAGAAAAGAGAATGAAAAAAAAATGAAAACGTCGCTCTCTGCTTTCGGGCCCTGAAGCAAATCTCGAGAAATGGCTCCCCTATGAAGAAAGGAACTATATTTTTCAGAATCATCCTCATGGTCAGAGAAATAGCTTCACTGCTTTGATATATATAGATTGAAAAGAGCGCATGTCTGCTGAAGAGGTGTAATATATAATGGCAAGAAGAGAATATTGTGACGATCTGGAATCCATGACGATGGAAATGTGTTCAATACCCCAGATTAGTAAACCCGCTTCCCTTCCTCCCCCTACCTGAATGCCCCTGCAACTTCATCCCCAGACCTTAACGCTCCCCAGAGGGTGGTTCAGACCATGCATCCTCACACATAAAGCTCCTCGCCACGTTATCCCACCCAATCGGATACAAATCAGCGATCCTTTCATTCGTGAACCCTTTTGCAGTGCCTTCACAGCTAGTTTCCCTAGAAGTACATAAACAGCAATTCCACAAGATCAGTCACTGCTGAGAAGAAGGAAACTTACGAATAGAGCGTACATGTTTGAGTCCCGCCTTGGGGCGGCACCTGCGTGTCAATCGCAGAGATTTTATTCAGCCACGACTCGTCAAGATCGACTGCAAGAAACAAAAGCCATTAGTACACGACTGTCTTTCAGTGTGGAGAGGAGGAAGATTTCAAGTGCTGGGTACGACCTGGGGGTAGGTAATCACGTACCACAATGCCCCTCCCTCGATTTCCAGGTGTAGCATTGGCCGAGGAACTGGGGGTCGGTGCAGGCGATGAGCGATAGTGGGTTGCTGTTTACAGGCTCGACGGTTTCCTCCGGATGTTCCGAACTGAACCAAGCCGACACCATGGAATCTGTCAAGTCGCGGATTACTGCTGCGGTTACAGGTGCTGCGAGGAGGGCAATTACCGGGATGATTGTGAGGATTGAGGCGAATCGCATGTTGGTGATTCTGATGCTTGAAAGTATTTTTGGTTGAGATATATATAGGTAGTTTGTGTACTTACATGTTTATTTTGGGATAGAAAAGATAGATGACAGAGTTGCTTGACTTATACTTGCATTTCCTTGATTGAGATTCAACTTCAAGAATCAATAAGTTGGAAGATCTGAAAGATCATTACGGTGGCCAATGATTGTCGATACCTGGACCTGGTAGACAATAATTTACTATTGGATTTCCTTTCATCTGCTACGCGGCCCAATTCAATGAAAAAACATGAGGAATCGGCAGGATATCTGTATCAGTAACCCACTGACGTCTGTTGGATTTGATAGCTTTGTTGTTTTCGTCCCACAGAAATATCAACGGCGTTGAATAAAGAAAGACCTCATTCATCATGATTGGATTCTCCAGGCGAAAACTACTTCATCGTAAAATTCTAAAGAAACGAAATCTATTTATAGATTTATTTCCATCTGTCGTTAGTTCGCTCACCAACAACAAAAGAGGAAGGAGGAGGAAGGAGGAGGAAGGTTTACTTGCAAGCTTCAGTCAACAAAGGGGGCCGTCTCGGCTAATTTTACCGGGGCGGGGGGCGCAGCTGCTTCCCCGCTCGCACAAAGACCAACAAGGAAGGCAGAGAAATTCCAGAAGAAAATTTCAAAAAATTCCTACAAAGAGAACCCAACAAAACACAACAAAAAGCAACGTTCTTGCATCCTGTCGCTCCTCCCCAGTGCCTCTCACCCACACACTTCGGCACAAAACGCCCCCAAAAATTCAAAAAGAAATGTTCGAATGATCTCAGTGGTCTGAGACCCGCAGATGTTGCGGCTTCTGTGGATCGAACACAGTGCCTCCAGATTTCAGTTGATCTGAAGTGGACTTCAGTCTGGCGCTCTCCCAAGTGAGCTAAAGCCGCTTGGTTGATGTTGGAAATGTTCTTATTTGAGTATCCATAGGGCATAATGAAAGTGCGGCTCTCGATGTGTGAGGATTGGGTCGCTTAGTGGTGTGGTGGGGCTTTGGTGGAAGGCGGGGCTTATCTCCGATGGGGACGGGATGAAGAATGAGGTATTTGTCCCTGGGTTGTTGGTGACTGAGGTTCTTTATGGAATTATAAATAGAAGCGGCTGGATTATGTTCTTTGACATAGATACGCATGTACCTTCCCAGTCCTTGTAGTTTCTGGATTTTACCCTGGCGTTCTTGAGTGCCTCAACTCCTTTCTCTGTCAGTCAGTTCCTGTCTAACAGAGTAAGCGAGGTCCATCAAACAAACACTTGAACCTCTTCGATCATTCCACATTCCAATTTCCATTTCCAACTCCAGGTGCACAAAGCGCTTCGTAGCCCAAGACGATATAGAGCAAACCCACCGTCAAAAGGATTCATATTCACTCCCGCATTCCAGCCACTCTCCGAAGCGACACTACTTTTTTATAGATTGATTCCACAGTCCACAAGTTATGTCTTCATTCCAATTACAGAAACTCTACAGTACGGCCCCCCTCCTCTTTTCTACTGCCTACTCACTCCATCTCAACATACAACAAACAGCAAACGTGAAACATCCACGCCACACCCAAACTCTGTATCCGAGAACACGAATGATATCCAAGGACAGGCGCCGTTCTAATCTCCACCCCATCCTCCCATCCTCCCTTCCTTCCTTCAATCTGCGCTGCTCTTCTTCGCTAGTGCTTACCTACATACTGTTCCACCATTCAAGTATAAGCTTGTTTACCTTTACGATACGCGCCGTTGGTGGCCTGCCTCAAGGTCGCCCGCCCGAACAAAATCGAAACAACTACATATTGCAGCGGCCATATCTGCAGCCCCCGAGGCCAATCAATCGGCCAGCACAACATTGCAACGCAGAAGGATTCCCTTGGACTTCAAGCGGCCTGCAGTTCAAATCGAAGGATTCCAACAACAGGAAAAGAAAAGAAGGAAACGCGCGTCTAATCCAATCCAATCTAACTCCAATCCATCCACAGGTCAAGTTCCTCCTCCAAAACACCCGACTTTGCTAACTTTGTTTGTTCTGGAATTGCATCCCGCCACTAACTAACTCGCGAATGAGGGAGCGCAATTCCATCACTTCACTTCACTTACTTCTTCCTTGCCAGCTTTTCTCCCTATCCGTATCCATATTCCATGTCGCTGCAGGATAGATAGATAGATAGATAGATAGATAGATAGATAGCTATATGGACATATGTATGTATGTATGTATGTATCGTGTAAGGGGTTCACTCATTTGAGGAGTCACAGTAAGTATCAGGAATATGCTATGGATGGCTAACTTAATGTGTAAGTAAAGATACACATACATACATACATACAAGCTGTACATGGTGGGGAGCCGAGCTGAAGCTGAATGGCACTTATGAGGGATGGATGGGATCTGGTGGTATATATGTGTGTTCGTTCTAAGGTATTGCGTTAGATAAGTGCACGAGCTAGGCTGAGTCGAGATTTGAGGGATGGGCAGCCAGCTAGCCGTTCTAGTAGAGAAGAGGCAAGGGAGGGTGCGTTCTTGGGGCCTATCAGGGTGGGTGAGGAGCTCGTAGATGGTTCTAATCACCTAGGTACCAAACAAAACATGGATCTTATCTTAATTATGAAGCAAAGCTGCCAGTGAGTATCAAGTAAGTAGCGTAGTGGTTTCACAACAGACACATTTCGAGATGAGAAAAGAAAAGAATGAGAGTAAGACATCAGATCTGATCTGATCTGATCTGATCTGATGTGATGTGATATGAGGAAAGTGAAGTATATGCAGCCTAGGAGGTTATGACTTCTGTAAGTCGGATGGGTGAAAGAGTGAATGAAGCTCCAAAGTGTAGGTAATTCAGAGGGTAGAAGCATGCATGCATGCACAATTTTGCATAACGCTGCACGCACGCACAACGCAGGAGGAGTACACAACAAAGAAAAGAAAAGAATCGTATGTGTTTTTACATTCTTCATTTGGTTTAATAGTTTAATAGCACCCACCCATCCATCTTAACTTCAGTTAAAGTAAAGTAAAGTAAAGTAAAGCATCGCTACCCTCCATTAGTAGCTACATCTCACGCAAACCGCCCCGCCCTGCCCGGCGCTGCCCTGCCCTGCGCTGCGTAATCCACTCCAGATAGATCCTCGCAAATTCGCAATATTGATATCAAGCAAAGAAAAAGCAGTACAGGAAAAGAAAAAGGAAGAGTGGTATCTCAACGCATCGCATTGCAAAACATCGCATTGTAATTACCTGCCCCCGTCCGAACCCATCCATCAAATATTTCTATGCCTTCAAAGTCGTAATTGTATCATTCGTTGTTGCTGCGGTAAAAACCATCGTGGAAGGAAGTGTAAAAGAAAACTACAAAGTAAAGACGAACCCAAGGAGAGAAAGAGAAAGGGAAAGAGAAAGAGAAAGCAAAAAGGCAAAAGAGAAGGAAAAGTAAAGTAACGCCCCCGCCCGATGTACTGTGTCATTTGCAAGCCGATAGCGCCAGATTCCGAAGAGCAAGGAGAAGCCGAAAGAACTTTGAATGTCCGAGACTTTATCGTATGTGTATGTGCCTGCGTGAAGAGCATGTTGTGCTCCCATTCGCCGTAACGCCGTTTCGTGGATTCGTGATTTCGTAAAGGTTGAACTTCACCACCTATTCATTCATCCTCACACTCCGCATCAGCATCCGCATCTGCATCTCCCTCCTCCTCATCTCCGTTCCTTTCATCCTTAACCACCTCACCCGTCGCCTTCCTCCCAGGCCCACCACCTCCCACACCACCACCAAGCACAAGCTTAAACCCCCCACTCCCACTCGCACTCCCATCCCCCCTGCTCTCCACAATCCCCTCCCTCACCGCCCACTCCAACAACAAGGCATCATCCCCCTGCCTAACAACACACTTCCCCAACGCCTGCGCCTCCAAATGCTTCCCCACATGCTCCATCCTATCATCCCAGCATCCACTCCCCTCAAAGCCAGTCCCACAAACAGGACACGCGAGCCTGTTCGGCGCTTGGCGTTTAGTCTTCAGACACGTCTGCTGGAGCTGCTTGATATGTTCTTCCCACGCGGCGTCTGTACCGACTTTCTTGCGCTTGACGGCGACGGGGACGTGCATGCGACGGAGGTGCTGCGTGAAGAGGTCTTTGCGGTTGAATTCGCTGCCGCGGGTGATTGTTCCTGCTCCATTTCCATTTCCATTTCCATTTCCGTGATTACTCGACTTGGAGTTAGGCATCGAGATCCCCGCTTTCGAGTAATGACTCCCACAACTTCCCAACTCGCAGACCCAAGCGGTGAGGTTCAAATGCTGCGAACTGACGTGACGCTTCCACTCGTTCTTGCTCGCGAACGTGGAGTTGCAGCCTGCGAAGTCGAATACGCAGACGTAGGCGCGGGTGTGTGCTGATGCGATGTGGCGCTGTAGAGAGGTTGTGTCTTTGAAGGGCGCGTGCGAGCAGGATTTGCATGTGATTTGGCCCTTTGTCTTCTGGGGGGTCTTGGAGATCCGGTGACGTCTTTGAGAGGGTGGGGTCTTGGTGTTGGGAGATGTTGGACGGCGTTTGCGGGTTCGTGTTAATTTGGGTGTGTATTCGGTGTCGGAGGCGGGAGTCGAGGGGATGTGTTCGGGTTCTGCGTCGATGTCGGACATGTCTGCTTCGGCGTCGATGTCGGATATCTGGGTGTCGTCGACGTGGATGGTGTTCTTTGGGGAGGCTTCATCTTGGATGGAGTCGCCGATTCCTTCGTCTGAGGGGTAGCAGTAACCTTGGGATGAAGTAGAGGTATTCATGTTGGTTTGGCTGTGGTTATGAACCTCAACTGCGTAGTCACACTTCATAGCTACCTCTCCTAAGTCTTCCTCGTGTTCAAAATAGCCATCATCTGTATCGACGAAGCCCTGAATTTGGTCCATGCTAACACAGGAGAAGCCCTGCTGTTGCGGAAGAGCATAAGCCTGGTAGCTCGCCGGTCCACCTTGGGGATCTGGGAATGACTGTCTGTAATACGGGTTGTCCGTTCCATTTGCGTAGTGCCCGTTCTCAGGGTAGAAGTCCTGTTCAGCAGGTGGGCTGTTCGCACTACCACTACTCGAAGTGAGATCATGTGAAAATGAAGGTGAAGCCATTCTCTGGTGAGAAGCTCTTGGAAGGGAAGATGTAGGCATAGAAGCATGCTGCAGATTGAGAATGTCCTGGGGTATATTTGGCGCAGTAAAGAACTGGCGTTGTGGTTCATTGACAAAGCGCTGCATTGTAGGATGTTGAATCTGTTGAGGGTGTTGTTTTTCTGGAGCAAGTTGCTGCTGAACTTGTTGTTGTACCTGGAAACAGATCGGAGGTTGTGAATGAGGATTTTGTTGGAAAGAAAAGCTGTCGAGGGACGGGTCGATGTTCATATTCCAGTCCATGCTAGTAAGATCTTCACCAAACTGATCATCTGAGTTCGTGTTGTCAAAGAACTGGGGATGATGGAGTGCCATGTTGTATGTCATCTCCTAGGTAATCAATCGGTCGTCCAAAGTTTGCTGTCAGAGGAGGTGACAAGATGTGTGAAAATCGGAGTTGAGGTGAATTTCCAGAGCGGAAAATAGACTCGGGGAATTATGGGATTGTGTCCGGGCAGGACGCGGTACAAATAGCAATCCCCAGGTCAAGGTGGGTGTTTGTTCCAATATCGAGGTTCTATGTTGTGTATCAGCAATCTGCTGTTGGGGCCGCACTTAATTGGCCGAGGCGAAGTATTTATATCGAAAGACCAACGAAAACAGAGAAACAGAGGGAGTCTAAACAGAAGTAGGTACATACAATGCACGGAATCCTCGACTCGAACAAACAACCTCTTTGTTTGTACCGAAGCACCGGATCGAATGATCTTGTACACAACAGGGTTTTTTTTACAGCACAATCTTCTCCGCATATACAGAAATAGGTCTGGAATTCCAGAAGTCAACAGGTGGACCGAGAGAAACAGACGAGGCGAAGTCAATCAGTCGATGATTTTTCCAGAGCGGCGCAGTGTTCTGTTGGTAGGATAAAACAGGAGAGCTGGAAAGTATGGAGCAGAAGGAGGACGTCCAGGTAAAAGTAGACAAATGATCGGATGGGGACGAAGGGGGAGAAGTACTTGGGTAGGTAGGTAAGTATGTCAGTCGGTCAGTCAGTCCAAGCCCCTGCACTATTTTCCCGACTCATCCTCCACAAAATACACCACTCTCTACCCTACTGAGAAACTCCGAACTGCCCTTTCTTTTGCTGCATTCCGATCGATCCAATACGATGCAGTAGATCAGGGCAGTCTATCCATCCATCCATCCATCCAGTCGAATGGAATTTAGAGCTCCCCTCCCCTCCCCTCCACCCCATCATCCATGGCGGCGGCGTCGTCACTCGTCCTTCCCGGTGTGCAAGTGCAAGTGCAAGTGCCAGGTGCAAGCCCATACCGAAGGACAGAAACACCAGCGCGGGAAGTGAGTCCTCCGCAGAGCAGAGCAGAGCAGAGCAGAGCAGAGCAGAGCCGCAAGTCCACCCTAATGCAAAAGTGCACACGTCGTGTCCTAGGACGCCAGACCGAGTGGTGGATGCTGCCAATGGCGTGAGGACGGATGGATGGATGGAGGGCACGAAAGGGAGAGGAGGGCGCAGGCCAGCCCAGTACAGCATGCAAGCCCGGCCACTTTCGCCAGCCCACAAACGAAACCCAGAACAGAACCCAAAACATCACCACTGCGAGCGAGGATGCAGGATGCGGCCATGATACATATCCGCCGTTGTCAGGGGTCAGGGGTAGCTACTGTAGCTACTAGCTGGCTGCATATGCGATGCCAGGCCATGCCATGCCATGCTAGGTATGCATTCCTGGCCAGGTGGATTTTGCTTGTGGTGGATGTGCTGTGAGTGCGGCGGGTGTGTGAGTGTCACAATGAGGTGTGGTGTGGTGTGTTAACAGTTACTTCGTTACCTGTTCCGTTGTTCTGCCCTGGCTGGACTGCGCCCCTGTGGCTCGCTCTGGGGGTGGGTTGCACCACTGCAGGTGGATTTGAAGTCGAAGGGCAGCGGCAGATGGACAGAGGGCATATCAAGCTTGACTCGGCACGATGCAGTAACTTACAGCGCAGGGTAGCAAAGTAAGTTATGATTAAGGTTAACGAAGGAAAGTAGGTTCGATCTGGAAATCACCTATGGTTCGCTGAACGTATTGAGATTGGGTTTGGTTTGGGTTGAATGGATACAGGACTGTACTCGGGAAAGGATCGATGCATGGATTGATCGTCGTGGTCTCACTCTTCGCCGCTACTGAGTACTGTGCTTTCTTTCCTTTCCATTCCCAGTATCCGGACATCACCAGGTTTTTACCTAGGTAGGTGAGGTATAAGTACCTATCACTACTCACTACTACCTCCCACACCAAACCATTGTCTCGCTCTCATGATCAGGCTTATTCTAGAAGCACATCCGAGACCCCTCACATCACATCATCATTCCTTTTACTCAAAAGCCACCAAAACTCAAAGTTCGAAACCGTCAAAGGTCGAAGAACTGTTCATCACTTGTCACTTCCTCCCTACCACCCGTCACTATCCTCCAACTGTCAGACCGCTGAGACTGGGGGCTTAGTGCCCTGCCCTGCGCTGCCCTGCCTGCCCTTCGCTTCTACTGTAGCTCCCTTCCAGCGATCTCTCATCCCGCTTTTTAGCGTCCTCCCTCCCCTGTAACTACCTAGTAACTTGTACAACACCGCGAGGCGAACAAGGCGTTCCAGGCAGACTTTCTTCTCTGATTCAGATGACTTCCCTCCGTTTGATGGCGGGGCTTTTGCTGGTACGTATCTGCCTACTGTCCTTTCTGACTATGAAACCTACAGTTCGGTAGGTAATCAAGAGTTTTCTTGAACCGAAACAGAGCGACGAGATGGATACTCGAATATGAAATATGCACTCACTTTCTCTGTCTGGCTCGCCCTGGATCAAATCGATTCGATTCTTTGTACCGCCCAACCGAGTCCAGCCAGAATCTATTTCCACCTCTCCTCCTCTTCCACAACCACCACCACCACCACCACAACCTCAATATCCCATATTTGCTTTTTCCCACTCCACATTCTCCATCCCCTTTCTCGTCCAAGAGTCGTCTCATCTTGGGAACGATCACCAACCACCAACATCTTCAGCCCCCAATATATCCACGTCCACTCCGCAGCGGCTGGCTGGTGTTGCATCAGACCCAGCCCCCAGAGCAAATAATAGCAGAAAACAGAGCAGAGCCTCCCCTTCCTATTTATTGGTTGAGTTCCATCATATTTAGTTATATATCACCCAGTTTTATTCGCTGTTAAGCTATAAATACAAAACCACAAATATGCAGCATCTATGCAACATCTCCCTCCCGTATGCAGCAAGTGTATGCATACCTCTGTAATTGTATGTACAGCGCCTACCAACGCGGGCAAAATCCAAAGCCGAAAAAGCCATGAAAGCCATGAAAGCCATATCTTCCATTTCAGGAACTTCTCTTTCTTGGTCTGAAGATGTGGAGGAGGGAGTGAGGAATGAATGGAATCCAGATCTTCAACACAGGCACACACACACACACACACACACACACACACACACACACACACGCACACACGCCCGCATGCTCGGCATTTATCTCCCTACTGTAGATATCCGCTGGGGAAATGGGATGGATGTGTATGTACACTAGGTACACTAGGTACACTAGGTACACTAGGTACACTAGGTAACCGGTGTGAGAAATCATGCCTAGTGTATGAATGAATGGATGTATGATATTAAATCGTCGAAGGAAAAGAAGGAATCTATCTCGCTCGCTCCTGGTACTATTTATTTGGCGTCTAGTAGTTTGTTGATTTTGGGCGCATGAACGAACCATCCCTCCCTCTTGTCCCTCCCCCCATCCATCCTTCCTGTCCCTCCTCCCTCACCCATACCCATACCCATATCGCCCATATCGCCCATATCGCCCAGCAGAGCCCCAGAAAAGCCTACGAGCCTATCTAACTAACACACTCCAGCTCACCGGGTTGTGACGAGATGGTGTGCGGGGTAGAGAGATGATTCGCTTTCGTTACAGGGACCGCCCAGCCGCGATGCGGTGCCCGGGGAGGTGCAGCGCACAGGACAGGACAGGAGAGGATAGGAGAGGACGTACAGGGGTGGCTGGGGGCTGGGGGCTGGGCTGGGGTGAGTGACTCGGTGTCTGAAAGGGGGATAGATGGATAGTGCGAGTGCGAGTGCGGCTTTTAAGTTGGGCTGGTAAATTACTATGGTATGTTTTGCTGTGTTGTGCTGTGATGTGATGTGTGTGAGGTGTGTGAGGTGTGTGATGTGATGTGAGGTGAAGTGAATGAGAAGAGATGGGATGAGTTCCGGTTGGGGCAAGATTACCTTCTCGGGCTTGGGATTGGGGTTCTGGGGTTGTGAATATTGGAAGTTTGAGCTGTGATGCTCTACTACGCTACGCTGCTCATTTGAAAATTCTGCGATGCGGTCGATTGGTTGGATCACTTCAGAGTGGTGGAATTTTGATATCAGAGAAAACAAAAGGTTGATCATTATCATAGTCATTAGATGCACCGCTCTGGTTCTGCCTCGTAAGGTCTTCCTCGTAAAAGTACAATACATGAGATTCGTAAACAGCAATTACCCAAGCAAAACACGACAAGACGAAGTGGTATTCCATTTCCCATCCTCCAGCGCCATCCAAGAAAACTTGCTTGCACATGTCTAATATTTCACATCTCCATCCAACCTTGAATAAATCCGTTAAGAAAATAAAGAGGGAAAAAAAAAACTTCTTTTGGTACATGTATCATCAACATAATCGTTAAAAAGGAAATAGAATAAACATAAACAGATATTTTCGTAGATCATAAGAGAGATACTTCAAAAAAAGAGCAGCAGAAATACTATCAATGCAGCACAAACCAGCAGGAAGATAGAGATGTAAGTAAACTGAGCACAAATATCACTTCCAATTATGCAGCTGGCGGCATCTTATCAACAATCTTCACGGCTTCTTTGGGACAATTATCGCAGAAACTGTGACAATCCGTGCATGTGGTGCAGCTCTGGTAGTACTTGAGATTGTAGGGTTCGCGACATTGGCACTATCTCTTCTGTCAGTTCAGTATTCTAGGGTGAAGTAGAAGAGGCGTGAGTGAATAAGTGAGGAGGGAGCTTACGCAGTACACTCTCGCCTCGTAGTCTTTGTAAAAACTGGCTTGTTTGGGGGGTTTCGCTCCTTCTGCTTCATCTGTGGCCCGCCTTTTGAGAGTATTAGAATTCTCATGGATATGTATCGGACTGGTCGATGATTGGCCTTCAGAACCAGATGGGGATCCAGCATGTCCATTCGGAGGAGATCCAGCTCCAGATCCAAGTGGAGATGGCACCAAAACATCTCCCTTCGGTTTATCACTATCCACTGGAACCCAATCCTGGATCCCTTGCTTAGGGAACGGGGCCCGTCCCATGAAATGGTCATCAATATGATCGAACCTCTCGGTCCAAGCATCCAAACCCTTCTTCTTCAAGTCGACGAGCTTCTTACAGAAACCACACCAAAACCTAGATTGACAATTCCGGCCGATCCGGCAGTCATCAATTTTCTTCTTCACATCCTCAGGCTCGGAGATCTGATGTTCCTTCTTGAGATGGTCTTGGAAAGTCTGGCGCCGGTAACAGACCTTTGCGCAAGTGCCTCCTTCAGGTCGTTCCGTGTCACATCGCCAGATCTCCAAATGAAAGTGCTGTGAGTTCTCGTGACGCTTCCAGTCATTCTTGCTGCCGAAGTCTTTGTTGCACGTTGGGAATGTGCAGCCATAGGGCCGCTCGTGACGCTTCATGTGTTTTCTAGAATCGTTAGCAATGGTTCGACAGACGTTGGGATATCATACTTTAACTCGCAAGGCCGTCCTGTGAACTTTTGACAGATCGGGCAGGTGACCTGGTGCTCGCTCTTGTTACTTGCTACAGACCCAGGGTTTTGGACTTTAGGAGCCTGTGTGGGATCTTTTGAAACAGTAAATCCCAATTTGCGGATGATCTTCAGAACTTCCGAAGCCTTCTTCTGGGCTTCGTCATCCTTGGAAGTGTCCTCAGACGGGGTGTCTGCAAGCTTCATAGGACTGGCCTTGGTAATCAAAGTCGCCGCATCTGGATTAGCGGAACTGTATTCTCTGGGGGCTACTTTCTGGGTGGGCAGACTGGTTCTTTCGGACTCCTGATTCCGAAAGGGCTCCGTGGGGGCATCATTGACTGCAGCTAGTGCCTTTTGGATCACTTTTGTCAAAGTGGCATCTGTGGCTGGGACTGTTTGCCTCGCTGCCTTACCTTGGGGGCTGACCTTTGCTGACAAGCTTGACCTCGCCTGTTCAGATGCCTTTAGAGAAGGGTCAAGATTGGTGGATAGGAGATCATTCAATGTCATCCTCCTCTCAGGGATCTGAGCGGGAGGTGGGAAAACTTCAACCGGCTGAACTGTTGTTGGCAGAGACTCCTCCGACTGAGGGGATTTCTCCTCTGGTGAGGATGCAGTACTATCAAAAGATGCAGATTGTGGTCCATGCTGTGGGCTGTAATCTTGGATCCGATCCATGATATCCGGATATTGTCCTGTCTGTCTTGGAAGACCTCCATGCCCGGAATGTGCTGGTCTACTTTCTTCTGGGATAGGAAGTTGATGGTTAGTCACCTCTGGTTCGGAAATGATGCCACTTCTCTCCCAAAATTCAGCCCTATCTCTTGTCAGTAGAGTTGAGCCTTGCATTTACGATAGTTCACATACCTCCTGATGATCTCATCGAGGTTTTCTTCAAAGCTAGTAAAGTTTTCATGCACACGCCTCAAATGACTCCTAAAATTGTCGAGTCTCGGCCATGCCTTATCTTTTGATTTGCATCCTGGGACAAGACATCGATATTTCTTGGTGGGTGCATTCTCCGGAATGGCTGAAGGATGCTTGCTCTTCGTATGCCTATCTAGGTCGTTCGTGGTGCTAAATCCTTGGGTACGAGGACAACCAGGAACTCCGCACACATATGGCTTCCGATGCCGCAAATCATGTTTCCTGCATCTAATTAGCTTTGATCGGTCTTGCTGCTCCGTTTATCGTACTTCAACTCTGATTGTGTCTTGACCTGCTTGTGGCACGTGGGGCAGACCAGACCAGGTGACTCCACTGAATGGGAAGTTGGGGGGCTCCATGTACCACTCGTTCTGCTATCACGCTGTTGCAATACCTCATGATATCCATGAGCGAAAGATGAGAAGTCCTGAGATGGACCAACCATACTATGACTATCCTGGTCTCTATCGTGGACATCTGCACTGAATACGGAAGTATTTCCAACACTGCGGCGAGTGCCATAACCAGAATCCGAATGTGGAACTCCAAAGTGGAAATTTGAGGCGTCCGATTGATTTTGATGGCGATACTGACCTGAGTAAGACACATTTCGATTATTTGCCTGCTTTAGTAACAGACGTTCATCCGTGGCAGACTCTGGGCCCTTTGGGAAAGGTGCCCAGGGTCCATCATTAGCTGAGTACCAATTTATCAGCGGATTGTCCGATGGTCCACGGCTCTGCACATCATTTGGCATTGTCGACATTCTGGGAATGTTAGATCCTCCATAAGAAGAGACATCTCCATATCCTGGGGAAGAAAGTAATTCCCACTGCATGGATGCAGGGACCGAAGGGTTCGGTAATGTCCTGGACGAATTCAAATCAATCTCCACGGGTTGGGGAGGGAAATCCGATGAGGGAGGTCCCATCTCCCTTGTGTACATTTGTCCTTGGTCCATCGAACTTATGGAAGCCAGTGAAGGGAACTAAACGTATGCTCATCAGAACAGAAACAATACACACTAGACTTGGAGATTTGTCGTACTGAGCGATTACCACCGCGCTGGTAATTCGATTGGCTTCCCATGGTGACTGGAATGCGTTAGCTAGGACAACACATGAGATCGTCAAGAAAGTTCGAACCAGGAGACTATTTTCCACAATCAAACGATGGATCAATTTACGATTCGGCGTATTTCCCGAACGACCGCAAAGCTCGTGGAGTTTCCTGCAGCAGTGGGGCTTAAGAAAAGCTGTTTATTTGCCCACGGGCAGCGAACATTGAGCCGTAAAGCTGGGACCTCGTCGCCGTCTCTGCTCTTCACGTCCTGGGCGAACTAGACGGGGCGACAGCAAGCTCGTGGTTATTCCCGCTGGATCTGGAGATACAGGAAAAGTCTGGTTCGCAGGAATACGGACGACAAGGCAGACTCCAAACCATGCTATATTGCGGACTGAGAGAGAAATGGGGAAAATGGGTTGCCTCAGATTATCTCCTTGGTTGAGGGGCTGGCTGGCTGCACTGCTGACCAGGATTTCGGTGAGCAAACTCGGGCAAAGCCTGACCTGGTCGATCCGCCCCTGTGATTGGAAGATAGGGGAGCAATGCGGCAGCGCAAGCAGAGCAGCGGTCAAGTCATCGAATCAAAAGACGAAAAGAGGAAATGTGTGAGTACGAGAGCGAGAACAGCATGGCACTAACAATTTGTATGAGAGATTTATTCATCTGTGTGCGGTGTGAAACGAGGAAAAGGAGAGAGTTGAGAGGCACGACGGATGGTTTGCGTGAGGAGTGAGGAGTGAGGCGTGCGACGACGCCCTTGCCTGCCCACGCCCGAGCCCGAGCCTGAGCCTGAGCCCTGCCCAAGGGCAAAAGTGGAGGCGTGCAACCGAAGAAATAGGCAGCAGGACGTTCATGTGCTCACCACAGAATCATCCCATCCGGTGTCTGAAGCAGGGACAGCATCGTCAACGACTTCAAAAATGTTCCGAGCTTCAGAATACATGGATACGCCCGGTAAGACTGTGTGCGAGACGATCACAAGATTAAAAAGGAGAAAGAAAGAATGAGTTGGGAAAGAGATGCGATGTTTGCTTTTTGCTGCGCTGCCAGCCTGGAACGGCTCGGCTGAGATTGGGGGCGGAAGCTTTGGTCGATTGTCCCGTGATATTCACGTGCATATCACGCAGACCGGTCAACATGGCAGTGTGCAACCTTAAAATGAGGTGCTATCCTGGATACAATGTGCTCAAGCAGTTGTAACTAAATTGATAGGCAACAGTTGCTTAGAGAAATTGACACCAATTTAATCATCACTCAGTACTGCGCTCCCCTGTAGTGTCGTGGGAAGCAAGTTTTGTCACTCTGTCAACCTTGGTTCCTCAACTTCCCCCGCTGTGCAGTACCTAATCTCAAGCTCTCTGACCGGTCGCAGGAAGCACAATACAGAGCCGGCCAAGCCAAGCCGGTGTCGAGTTACACCATCCATCCATGAATCTAGAACTCCAGAAGAATCAGTTATCCGACCAAGATGACGAAATGTTGTAGTACATACCGCAGCAGGCCCAGTCGTCATACCCAAACCTTCGTCGGGAAGTACCCTGCTGCGGCGTATCACGAAACTAAGCGCATAGCCATGATCTGGGGTTGTACCGAGAGGGAAAGGGCGGCGTCTAGGCACATCTGCATGAACTGTGATATCTCTGGGCTGGGATAGCTCCAAGGCTCGCTTACTGGTGTTGTCACAACATCACTAGCGGACTCGTCTGAGGAAACGGTATCTCTCTTCGTCTGTGAAGTTCATGTGAAAAAAGTCACCTGTGGTGATCTCAGATCCTTTCAAGACACCCAGAATAACAGTCTCAACTCAAAGAAAGCCAAGAGTGCGAAGGAAGTTGAAGCGCTGTCTGCGTGGATGTAAACAAATCGCCAGACTTATTCCTATAGCGAAGGCACTTTGCACTTATACGGGCGCCCCTCATCTGTCCTCCTGGAGTTCTTCTTTATAAACTCACTGTGCGAGTCCAAACATGTTGCAACTCTATCTTTGGAGAAGGGTAAGAATTACCACGTTCTTCTCTGCACCCAAACCAGCGCAATTTAAATTCATAAAAATTCTCGCTTGATTTCAACGCTTCGCTAGTTCTATCTCTCTAGTAAACCTCAATGCGAACAACAACACCACAATTCCCAATAACCATTATCAATCAGATCCATAAGCTTCCTCATAAGCTTCTTCGTACTCCTTTCTCGCCTCCTCGACCTCTTCCCTATCACTACTGCTGACAGAACTTCCATCAGCATCCTCATGTGGTAGCTCACCACCTCCGATTCCAGGTGGAGGAGGCTGGCTCTGGTACTGCTGGTGCTGTCCTCCGTGGCTGTTATCGTCATCTGTGGGTACCTCGTTAGCTCAAGACACGCGATTTGTACTGCGAGAAAAGGAACATACCAAGAGCATTCGCCACCAGAATTCCTCCCACAGCACCAACAGCGACACCAGCCGCCGCGCCCATCATCATATTCTTCTTTGCATCATCCTTAGACTTAGCTGGATCCTGGTATCCTCCTTGTCCATATCCCTGCTGATAACCACCAGGAGCTCCGTATCCTCCCGCGCCGTGGTCCCCGTGCCCGCCAGCACCGTGATCACCGTAGCCGCCAATACCACGACTTCCATCATGACTGTCATAACCCTGCTGAGGGTACGAAGGACCGGTTGGAACGTTCCAGCTTACTTTACTGTTCCACTGCTCGAGGTATGCCCAGCGGTTTCCGACGGGATCCCAGAGTGCCTGCCATCCTTGGGGGACTTGAGGGGTGGGAGGAAGTCCTCCGCCAGGTGTTCCATATTGTTGGGGAGCTGGGCTGCCATAGGGAGCTGGAGAAGGAGCGCCGTATTGGCTTGGGGGAGCTGGACTGCCGTATTGGTGAGGGGGAGGAGCGCCATAGCCGCTTGGAGCTGGGCTGTATTGGTTTGGAGGAGGACTACTGTATGAGGGGTGGCTGTTGAAGGGGGGCGCTGGTGCTCCTCCGTAACCTTGTTGTTGAGGCGGTACTTGATTGTATCCTCCGTACTGTGGCTGGTCACTATAACCTAGAGGTATCACGGCGTCAGTGGCGTCCAGGCAGGCAGGCAGGCATGGAGCGGGGTAAATCGAACTTACCTCTCGTGGCTTCATGGGTGGGAGCTGGAGGTTCTTCTTTCTTCTCATCTTTCTTCATCATCCCCTCAAACTCCTTGGTCATCTTACTGAAGAACGACATGATGGCTGGCTTGTGTGTATGTTTGCTGTTGCGGAAATGTGAAAGATACGAGAGAACTTGAGGTGAGAGAGGAACAGATTGCAGATATGAAGACTTTGAGAAATGGGGAATGGAGGGTGATAAATGCCAAGGGATACTCTGGGTATTGCAAGGGCAAGGTATATGCAAGACAGACTGGGCACTCAGTGCGTGTCAAATGCTAGCCGGATGAGGTGAATTGGCTCAAAGTTCTTTGTTTCTCTGCAGCTTGCGAGATTTGTTGCTTTCATATGATTCACGGTTTCAGAAATGCAGCAAGGAAGCAAAATGACGCATCAGGGGTATATCCAACGAGTGCAACAACCGCAACGGGGACCATGTGCAAGCGCTGTGCTGTGGCTGTGGTATGGATTGAACAGATCAGCGGCTCCGGGACAGACCAGTGGTTTTGATATGCGGGAAGGCCCGCAACTCTATGGCTAGCCTGGTTGTCAGAAGCAGGTCGGACGAGTGTTTTGCTACCCCTCCATACCCCTCATCACAAACTTTCAAGCTGTTCCAAAGCAAATGTTACGTGTATCCACAAGGGAGAACACCGACTTGGCCATTCCTTACCATTCCAGTATCGAGATCTCGTCACTTCACTCTCTCTTTGTCGTTCATCGGGAAATGCTCTCATTATTGCTGTAGCTGTTACTTCCGCATGAGTAACATCTGCAAAGGATCCCTGAGCAGCTGAGTATTGCCCCACCGAGGATCCTTGGCTTAGTGGGGGGTAAGAATCCAACGAATAAAGCAGTACACAACCCCCTTGGCGGACCCGAAATGTATGGGTTGATATAGCTTGGCGGCTATTACTGTATGGAACACTCGGTTATGCGGCACCGCGTCTTATGAGGAGAGTTTGATGAGTGGAGTGTGTCGTGAGTGTTTTGAGAGACGAGAGATGGAAGGTGTGTCAGCGGAGATCTGGTGGTGGAGACGGGGATGAATCGGAAATTGCTCCGGGCGTCTGTTCGTTCGTGAAGTGAAGTGATGTTGGATATCGAATCGTGATGTTTGTTATCGCTATCGCTTTTAAGAAGGCCCTTTGCGCTTGCAGGCGATTGATGATGGCAGACCTCGACCGAGTGTCAAAAATATTCATGGTTATCTTGAGTTTCCGTATTCTTGGAAGTATGACCCGTGAGTATCACATGATAGTCTTACTTCGATCTTGCGTAGATGAAACTGAGGTAAGATGAATGTCCAGTCCCTATATCTTTCAAATTGCCATCATGACAGCAATGTAATTTTGCTGTTGGCAAAAGAAGTGCTTCTTTAGTTCTTTTCTTCCGGCCGGAAGCGAAAGCGAAAGCGAAACTGTCCTATCGTTCACAACATCAGCCGTTTTTCCAAATGGAACTCTTCTCCCACACCACAGTATTGCGACAAAGCTGCAACCAAGCCTGGAACAGATAGGATATCACCGATCGCAAGGTGATTGCTCTCCTTATCTGGCCGCTGGCAATCGCCTTCATGAACTTACTCGCATTACTCGCATCAAATGTAATTTGTTCAATCTGCCCTTGATCCAACATGAAGCTCCTCATATTTGTGAGCCTTTTATGCGTAGACTCAGCAACCAGAGATAAGGTTGGTAAATGTCACATTCCTAAGCCTGTCCGAAATTTCAGCTAACCGCCGTTCAAGTTACTCGGTGTCATGATTGGCGTTTCCCAAAATGCCTTCGCGAATGAGCCAGGTGTCCTGAAATTCGGTCTCTTCGTACCTCGCAAAGAACATGACGACAGACATCTGTATTCTATCGAGGAGTGAGTCAGCCAGAACATGAAGCTCTCAATAATAATAAATGCTCACACGGAGTGACAGATATGCAAACCAAGAGGCTTCCAACTCTCACCTCTCCAGCGAACCTGTCGTCGAGATGTCCAACTGGATCAACTCCGCCAACATCTATTCGCGACCCGCCGTTTTATAGTCTCAATTCAGCCCCGGATCTGGTATCCATACGTCCCGAGCTCGCAACAGCCCAAGATCCCTATGTCGTAGTTCTACAGATGAATTACCAAGCTGGTAAGCGCGACCACGCTCTTGCGGCCTGGAAAAATGTCGTGTCGTCAGCGAAGAATGAGACGGGTGTTTTGCTGTGTGGCGCCTATACGGATCTTGCCGAGCGGACGAGATTGTTCACTATCGATGCGTGGGAAAGTGAAGAGTATTGGCTTCAGACCCATACGCTGAGCGAGGGTTACGTGGAGAGCGAGAGACTTGTGAATGCTGTGGGAAATATAACAGAGCTTTCGTTTTTGAAGATGGCAGGCGGGTTCTTGTATAAGGCGGAATGAGTGATATATCCTCGATTGTTGAGTATGTCTAGGTTGAAAGCTTTGAGAAGTCGCTCCATTCCAACATCTCGTCATGTCGTGGCTGTCATGATACTGGAGGTATGTCAAATCCGTCTTCTGGCCATCCAGTGAAATTTAATAGCACTCTCTGTCGATTTTGTTGACATCCATATTTGTAAGAACGCAATTGATGCTTTGTGGTTCAGCATTGCTTGTGAGGAGGTTTATGGGAGAGAATTGGCTCCATTCCCAAATATACGCAGCAGATGGTATATACAGTCAGGCCTCGCCTTTCGGCAATTCTCCGTACCCTTTTCCACCCCTCACTTTTCTCTCACTTTCTCGACCTCTTTCTTGGCCAGAAATAAACAAATCAACCAATATCACATTCGATTCTCGCCGCCGAGGAAACCAAGTGTCGCCTTCCAACACCAAGTTGTGTGTTCCATCGCGGTGGTTTAGCCACTTCGTATCCGATTCAAGCACTTGTGGCGGTGCCGCTATTGAATCGATACTTTGGCGCGACCGCCCAATAGAGACCTCTTGTCACCTCACCATTCCGTAGATCTGTCTTTGCAACGGTCGCTAGGTACCGGTCGCGTATCGATGGTTTCAAGTGTCTGGATGTCTTTTGTCCAGTCGTTCCCTTCTGTCTCGTCACAACATTTTCTTTGTTGATTGCTTCAAGCTGAGTGAGAGGATGGGTGCCCCGCCGTAGCGCTATGGAACCTCTTTATTGCTTGCTTGCTTGGTCGCGGGGTTTGTTACTATGACATCTGGGTAGGGCATCAAGAGCTTGAAGATGGAGATATATTCCTGGAAGTTCTGGATTTATCTAGATGTGCATTTTGCTCTTGTCTGCTGTCAAGTTCTGTCTATTCGCTCTTATTTTCCATCTCAGAAACTTAAAGAGACTCCAGTACTCTTCCGAATACGATCAGTAAGTCAAAGTTGGCTTTCATTCAAAGTTACGTCACGAATTGTGACAACATATCAATGTATCAATGTCTTTCATGACTCGTGCCAAGATGTATCCGTATCATCTTTGCGTCGTATCTGGCAACATCATGAAAGCCCGCATGGGTCTATTTCAGCTTTCAAATTGCTAACAGATCCCAGAACAGTGCTACTATATTAAGTACAGTGTCGAGAACAGTCTATCATTGTCTCTTTGTGGAATTGCTTTGACGGCTGAACATATATGTCAATCAGGTCGGTCTTGTGCTCAAGGCATCAGTTCACTAAAATTCTGAAAAACAAAGATCAAATCACATCACCGGAAACATGCATTTCGAACCCAGTGCATCATCAACTCCGTCAACACCAAAGCACAAAATGACACGCAAACCCTCTTTTCCCATCTTCCCTCTAACGCCGCCGCGATCCTCCCACTCACCGAACCAACCACAAATCTACACAGCACCACACTCACCCATCTTCTCCGACCCAACAAACAGCACAATGACGCCAGCCTCAACACCACCGCGTTCCATGGCTTCACCACAACAAGCTGCCGCCCAAATACCCATCCCAATCACAATCACCCGGTTCCCCTGTACGCTCCCACCAGACCCAAACCTCGCCCAGTACTACAACACCAAGAGCAAGAATGACACTACCTACCGAATCAACAACAGTCTGCTCCGGGTCGTAGCCCTATTGGCACATGGCACAGGAACCCCCCACGCCGAGTTCTTCGAGCAGGCGCTCAACTTGGCTGATGTGACTCTAGCTCTAGCGACGGAATCCGAGTTGTGGGATATGGTGTCGAAATGCCATTTGTACCGGACCTATTGTTTCATGGAGATGAGGAGATGGAAGGAAGCAAGGCAAGCGGTCACGAGAGCGGCGACTATCAGGGCGTGGGGCTACCACATTGAGACTGTCATGTGTGGTATTGAGCAGGGTGAAAAGGAGGAGGTCATGCTGAGAAGACAATTACATCCTGGGCTTCCTGTAGATGAATTTGGGGACGAGAGAAGATAGGACTCAATCATGTATGCACATTACTGCCGATGTGCCAACAAGTCTATGCATTGGGAAAATGACCAGTACTCGTCGCTGACTGGGGTAAATGCTGCCAAAGGTCGATGGCTGGAAAGATAAATTTTGGGTTGTACATGTAATGGGATCGACCGATCCCCTTGTGGCAATCGTCCCTCATTTGCATCGCGCATTCATTGGTGACTGTCTGGACCCAACGCGTCCCTTCTGAGACATCGGGGTTGTTATTCGCGGATGTGGCTTGAGGGATTTGGTGGGGGCTGTGAGCGTGAGGCCTCCCACCATGATACTAAATTCTCCAGCTTCACATAGCGTCTCGTCTTTACATATTTTGATACACAGATCACTTACTTCCTAAAATGGGGCTACTCATTTAGGCATAATATTCAATCGTTCATACTCAGACCACCAATTTCATAAAGCCAAAAATGCAGATCCTTATTAGAACCCATACAGACAAAATGATTACTTTGGAGGCACAAGCGAGCGATAGTGTTCTTGAGGTAAAACACAACTTGCAAGCAAAAGGAGTTTTACCGGTTAATCAGCAGCGCCTGGTATATGCTGGCCGCCAGCTACTAGATGAAAGAACTCTTGCAGATTACAACATATGGAATGGAGCCATCCTCCAAGTGGTACTAAAGCTCCGTGGCGGTGGTGATGGGCGATTTGATGTCAGGGTCCAACTTCCGGACAAAAGAGAGATCGTAATCCGTCTCGAATCATCCGACATCATCCAGTATCTCAGGGCATTGATTGCGGCTAGCGAAGACATACCCCCAAGAAACCTATCGGTTTACTGTGGTGAAACTCGACTACAAGATGGAAGATCGCTGAAGGATTACAGGATCTCAGAGAATTCCACGGTACGGGCAGTCTGCTCGATACCTGGGCCACAACAAGATGATCGAACATCCATGTCTCCGGGCTTCGAAGGTGTAATCATCAAACCAAGCCTGCTATGCTCACCCTCTTCGTTTGGACAAGCTGCTCAACTTCGCAGTCAACAGGAGGAACAAGTTGATTTCGAGGATTCTCGGGAGCTGTGTCTCTCGCAGCCAGAAACGGAATCCCAAGACTCAACAGGATCTTTTTCGTGCCTCCAAAGGGATTTTCCACGATATCTCACTCCCAACTCTCCGCAGGGATCTGAAGTCCCCATCGATGGTCCTTCATTCTTAAGCTTTCAAGCAATAATGCCCACTCCATGCACACCGCGAATGAGCAAATCAGTCAGAGGTTTCAGATGCGACGACCCAAGCTGCCTCAAAGTATTCCCAACTCCCCAAGCTCGCCGGTAAGTTTCTCTAGGTTCTTCTCTTGCGTTCCTCTACATCTCTAAGCATCCATATATTAGAACTAATACCAGAACTTCATAGAAAGCACTTACGCTACCACAACAGACCACATAGATGTCAGCAGTGCGACAGAAGCTTTGGAACAGTCACGCATCTCACTCGACACGTCAATGATATTCATGAGAAGCAGATCCATTATTGTCCGGTTGGTGGATGCGAGTATTCGTTGGCGGCGGGGAATGGGAAATCTTTTGCTAGGGAGTGGAATTTGATGAGGCACTTGAGTAACATGCATTAGATGTCTGAGATGGTCCTTTTCCGAGTGTTGCTTCTATTGCTGGGATCGGATCCACTCCAAAAGGCTGTGCTAAGGAGTGAAATTTATTTCATTTTTCGAAAAAGGGACTGATTTAAAGTCAGAGAGACGACCAAATTCGATAGCTATAATGAATTGGAATGTAGGTCTTACCCAATACCATAAAAGAAACCACGTCTTACCAAGTCAGGATTAAGCTAAACCTAATGTATCTCTGCAACTTCTAAGACGAGGTCTTTTCCCTGGCGGCCCTCCGCAAGCTCCGGGGCCAGGGGACCTCGCTTCGCCACGGTCTAGCCAATCAAGTCGAATCATCGCTCGCAGGCTCGCGCTAATCCGACGTGTCCAATCAGGACCTTGCACGTGACAGTATTTTTTAAAATCGGATCCACAAAACGCATAATGTAAGATGGAAAAGCAGAAGATGAGCTCTTATGTACACTGTCCAGCCAGACTGTCAATGCTGAATGTAGGCGATGTTATTAACACTGGGCAGTACCTGGCTGTTGTCAATTTATCAAGTACTTGCTCGTCTACAGCTATTCATGAGCTGTTGTGGTTGTCAAAGCCAAGTCTGTTGTCAACAGTCTTGGGGAGTTTCTTCCACCTTGTTAACTTAGAAAGTTAAAATAAATCTTTAAGCCCAGACTCATAGATCTACAGCTCTCTCTTGGAAGCTCATGAAAGATTGCCATGAAAGTTGCTCTCCCTGTATTGAATGTGCTCCAGTACTCGAGGTCTTCGTGACCCTCTCGCGAATGCCGAGTGGAAGACCGATCCTCCGATCCTGGCCTCAATAATCCGGTCATAGTATCGAACAGCCCAGTGATGATTTGAGGATTTCAGAAAGTCGACTTGCAGTGAGTGTTGAAAGGTTATGAGGAGGTCGGAAGGTTGGGAGGTCTGCCTTGCTCTTGCCTGACGTGAATACGCTCGAGGTTGCCACGTGGACCACCATTCAGGCAGCTTTTCTTTCTCGTCTTCTCCTCCTCAAGTACATAAACACCAATCTCTTTGAAATCTCAATGTTCTCTCCCAATCTCAGAACTTTCCTTCGATCTACTACCACTATGCGATTGACTGAGACTCTCTACAATCGTGCCAACACCCGAGCTTGTCTGCTTCGTCTGTCTTGATTGTCCTCACCTCAATCTTTACCTTACTTAAACGCGTGCTGCTCTGGCACCAGACGATTTTCAAGATGGGTAAGTAGACCACCCGAGGAGTTCATTGCACAGAATTAACGTATGTTCCAAGTCAAAGATACGACACCATCACTCAGCGGGCTGTCCGCACCTTCGCCAACTAAGAGGGAAAGAACTTCTTGGAGGATCGCAGGCTTACTGCCTTCCTTACAGAGTGGTCAGGACTCTCCGAACACTGGCAGGAGTTCTCCAGAGATCGTGTAGCCCAGACAATACAGCGTGAGCCGGATGGAAGAACCATTATTCAGAATGTTATTACCATCCTCCAAGATGGTCCGAAATGAGCGTACCTCTACATGGCCCCGGTTGTCAAGTAAAGAGAAGACTGGAAAGAACTAGCCCATTGCGTCCGGTTTGTAGTACTCGATGTCCATAAGTTCAGGCAGTCAGATGGTATCTGGAGCAGAGTCACCGATGTCTCAAGTCTCTGTGCGACAAAGCGCAGCCAATCCTAGTGAGTTTGCTGAATTTCTATTCAGAATGGAAGACCAACTCTGACAGCTTTACAGTGGTACATCCGTACAGAATGCGCAAATAATAAAGCTTCTCGAAGCCCCCGACACTCTGCAATCCCCCAAGAAGACTTCACACAAGATTCGGAAGGCGAGTGGAGCGGACGAATGCGAGAGGATAAAAACAGAGGTGACCCAAGACATTGGGTCCCTCACGTCTTCTACGAGACCAGAGACGGAAACCTCCAAATCACCACGCCGTCGGGGCCAATCCCCTCTCCTGTTTCCTCTCTTGTCGCCCTTCCTCAATTCTTCAAAGAGCGACAGAAATATATTAGGACAGTACTACAAAAGTCACCTGCTGCTCACCAGGAGACTTACTCACTGTTAATGAAGTTGGCCGATGTCGATGGACCCTTATCTTCAGTAATATCAATCACGGAACAAGAGGCTTCCGACATAAAGGAGAGAGAAGAGGCTATGATTGTGGAGCAACTTGTTGCCAATGCTGGTAACAATGACGAAGACAGCGATGATGATTCCGAAGAAGCAGACGCCCACCTTTAAAGGCTTTGGGTCACTTCTTGACCATTTCAGAAGCAGAAATAGAGAGGTTCCGAGTCTTGAGTAAGACTCAAGACGGGCTGAGCAGAGGGGGCCAATGCCTTCAGATTGCTGCACGTAATCTGAAGTTAACATCAATCCTCACGCCTCACATTCCAAACTCCTCTCATACTATCAGTCTGTTCCCACACCAAGTAATTGGTGTAGATTGGATTCTCAAGCTGCTAAAGTCACCTCTACACGGTACAATGTTAGCAGACGATATGGGCCTCGGAAAAACCTACCAATCGCTGGCCACCCTGCCCATTATCTGGAATCGAATCGAAGATCTCGAAGCTATGGAGCTGTTCTTTGCCCCACGACTACTTGAGCATCCAAAGGAAAGAAGGAGACGAAGGTATGAGGTTGGAAGGTCGTGTTTTCTTGGCGAGGTCGCGGTGGGGGGCAATTATATCTATCCACCTTGTCACAACTACTTAGTGTAGTCGATAGTTGAACGGCTGTTCAACGACGTTGTTTTAAGGCTTTTGAACGAACTGACGTTTCTATACTTAATAATAAACCGCTGTTCGTTTTATAAGTATATAAACTAACGGAACGAGGTTGTTACTAAGAACGAACAGATAAACTTACCTATAAATCTGCCTCTACTACGTCTCTAGTTACTTCCTCTACTCCTAGCCCTTTTAAAAGAGTATTCCGTTGAACTTTCGTATCTTTAGCTTTAATTTCCTACTTAATTAGACCGGTCCACGACTTTAAACACTCTAGATATTTAATTATATATATACCTATCTTATTCCGATGATCTGAAAGAGTGATTTTTACTATAGAAAACACGTGTTCTAGATCGCTAGATATTACTAGAAGTAAGAGTATATTAAGAGCTATTCTAGAGAGGTTTAGAAAGGCCTTTTATTACATAGGCTTAAGCTACTACTTAATAGTATTATTATAGCTATAAACACACTCCGTCTTATAATATTAGTTATATTCGTCTATAACAAGGGTCGGCGTATCGATCTAATATAGCTAGAGCTTAAACTTGTTAGTAAAAGAGGTATAAAGCGTTAGAGAAGTCGGAATAGTCGATTTTAGCTTATATTCGTTATCCTAGAGCTTCTAAATAGCTGCCTTTACTTTCTCTTACTAAGAGGGCCTCTAGAACTTCTTAATATACGACTATTTATATGCGGGATTTAATAAGAGAGCTATAGCGTAAGCTAGAGATTTATCACTTTTACTATAATATTTATCTATTTTCTACTATCTTAAATTAACTATCGCAGATATCTTAATATTATCTTGATACCTCTCTTTAGCTTTCTTAAAGTAAGTAAGTATAAAATCTATTAAAGGGAGAACTTAGTTAAGAGAGGCTTTATAACCTTTAAGATACTTAGTAGATAATTTCAGGACTCCTAAAAAGCTCTTAATCTTACTTAAAATCCTCTAATCTTTAGTATCTAGGTGATCTAGTTCGATTTCTACGTCTCTATAAGTTATAAAATATTCCTTAATTGCCTCCTATAATAATAGAGCAACTTTAAGTATTAAAAACTAAGAGTTTTATCGCGTAGAGTTATTTCTATAGAGGTAACGATTCCTAGATAAGGTAAGGAACCTTTAAAGCCGTAAGGTGCTATATTATATAAAAACGACGAAATTATAAAGCTTCCTAAGAAGTCCCTTTTAACGCTATTCCCTTATCTCTTCTATTATTTATTATAGCTATCAGTTTATTATTATTTTATTCTCTATAGATTTAATCGATTTGTTATTAGTAATAAAAAGGAAAGCTTTCGTAGTAAGGTTAATAATATAGCTAGTATAGTGTAATCAGTAAGTAGTAGGGTCGTATCAAATACTAAAGGACTTATGAAGATCTCACTTAAATTGTTAGTAAAAGCTATAAGGAAAGTAATAGACTTACTAAGAGTAAGAAACCTTATTATTACGTTATTATCTACTGTGTTATCTATTATAAAATACCCTAATTTCCCTTGAACCTCCTAATCCTTTATTACCTCTATTACTATAGAGGCTAGATTCTCTCCTGTTTTATTCCCAGAGACCTCTCTTATTCCTCCTATAGTTCTCCTTACTATTCTGTTAGCTCCGACGTAATAGAAGATAATCGTAAGTACAAGGAGGTTATTTATTAAAGTCTATATATCGTAAGAGATATATATCTTTGAAAGGGCGTTTTTTATATTATCTTTAACCCTACTCTTATAAGCTTTAAATTATTGTTCTACCTATATACTAATTATAGAGTAAGAGCGTAGTAACTAATATATAATATCAGAGTTAAGGTATTTAAGGAGTTTATAGAATTCGAGTCTTTCGACTAGCTATAAAGGTTAAGAGTATACTAAGATAAATCTATAGAAAGTTAGTATTAAAAACAGGTGAGAATACTTATATTACCTAGTATAGAGAAGCTCTAGCTTATCTGAGTTAATAGAGTTATTATCACTTACTCTTATATTCCGACGCTTAAATCGAGACTTATCTACTATTTTAACCTAATATTTAAAACTAATAAAGAGAGGTTATTAATATATAGAACTACTATAGGTAATAGTAGTTCCCCGGGGATCACCTTTCTTTAATCTATAGGTAGCTAAATACTCCTCTGCAGATTATATGCTATTATTTATATAGTAAACCTTTGAATAGTAGCTATAGTACTATATCTCTTTACTAGTAGCCTTATTGTAGTATCTCTTATTAATATTCTTACTTAGTATATACTGAAATATCTATACTTAACGTTTGTTTTTATATACTAAAGGCTCTAAAGGGCTGGGAGGCTCTGAAGGTGCTCTATAAGTTATTAGGTCTAAATTAATAGGAATTAGAGGTATGATATTATCTTTTATAGGTAGCGAAGCGAAATTAAGATATACTTAATAATTTCTATATCTCCTAGGAGTTGAAGAGCCTCTAGAGTAGTTATTAGTGTTATTTACAAGTTGATATTAAGTTAAGGAAGGTATTTTAATAGTTTTAAAGATAAGGTTTCCTTATAAAAATCGCGTTAGAAGTAACTTAACTTTAACCCCTTTTTTCTTAATAATCACTTAGTGGAAAATAATAAATAATACATTAAATGAAAGATCTACGCTATAGCTTGAATTTAATATTATTTTTATATATTTATACTAAAGATTAATAGAGTTTAATACTTAGATATCTGACTTTCCCCTAAAGGTTATTAGAAGAGGTAGTATAGTCTACTTATATAAGGCTCAGCGGGAACTATACTAAAACAGGGTTAAACGACCCTGTTCCGTTAGAGATCTGATCAACTAACAGCCGTTCTAGGTCGCTAAAACGAACGCTAGTCCGTTTAGGGTTAGCGTAAACGAACAGCCGTCCGTTCCCGTTTTACTAAGAACAAGAAAACTATCGACCACGCTGCAACTACTACCTTTCCCCGGCAATTGCACATGTAGATATAGAAAAATCAAGACCCCTTACATAATCTTTCTACCTTGCCCTGTTGTATGTCGTCTTTCACCTCGGAACTCGCGTCCCCATGCTCAGCCAATCTATGATACCTAACCCTCCAGCCACCGCACCGGGGAGAGGTAGCAGGTTGTGCAGAGGAAAAGTCCTGAAAGCAAGTAGGAACTTCAAGCTAGTAAACAGTCACTGCTGCTTGCTAGAGGATGACAATAAAGCCAAGCATTTTGGCGGTTTGGCAGGAAAAGGGTCTGGGAAGTGTGTAGGACAATTGCGGTAGTTGAACACAACTTTTTTTTCTTCGTCCTAAGGTCGGTTAGTAAGCTCACCGCTTCTACTCAGGCGCTAATCACCCTCGGCTCACCCTCTTCTCACCTCGCTCACTTGAGCAAACCTCAGCAACCTGAGCAGTACCTACAACTTACTCACGCATTTGATCTCTAACTAAGCTAGATATACCTAGTTCTAGCCAACGGTTGAAATTTCGGCTTGATTTTAGGATCTTTTTTGAAGTAGTAAATTGTGAAGTACGTTACCCATACTTCTTGAGGCCGAACGAAGCCTCAAAGCTCAGACCACCAACAGCCGCCCAGCCGTCAATTTAGACGGTCCCTTCACAACACATGAATTACACAAACTCCTCCGACGGCAAAAATGAACAGCATAGATGTTCTTGCAGATGTTGAGAAACATGCTGACGCGATCCTCCGAGTCGACTCGAACGCCTATCGGGACCAAGTTTGCGGACCGTGCCTGGCATCTATAACATGATGGAAGCACCAGCGAGACGACCAAAGTATCTAATATTTGAGGAGCATGCCACACAAATGCTTCTTGCCACTAGGGTCATTAAAGAAGACGCGGCTCGAAATTTGAGAAGCCAGAGAGAGCAATCAGACCAACGCTTTATGGCAGCTACGGCATATCCGTGCTACAGTTTGGAGAATGCCAAACTCGAGCGTGGTGTCAGCTGCAAAGGCTGCCAAGTTCGTCTAGAACTTCTCCACGGTGATTCGGATGATCGAGACCGGACTTTTTCTGCACGGGGCTTCTTGTCTCACTTCTCACGATGTGTCGAAGCACAGCATCTCTGGGCTGAGAGCGAAGGGGGAACGCGACCTGTCAATGAGCCAGAGCTCACTCGCCGCTGTGGTTATTTCAAGCAGCTAGGTTCTGACGGGCTCCCTGCATAACACTTTAGAATGTGTTCTATCTAGCTTGCCCCTATGACGCACAAGATGTACGCTATACTCCTACCGCACCTACTCGTCCTAGATTGTCCACTGGTACAAAAGCACACTTGGGATGTTGTACATCCCGAAGCTAGTCTTCACAATAGCAGGGCGAAGGTACCGACTGGCTCGCTTTTGCGGAGGATAATTCGTGCATTAAGGGTATCGCATTATCTTGCTGTCTCTTTACATAGATAGGGAATCTTGGAATCCAGACAATACTTGGAAGGATGTTTCTGATATCAGGAGTTTTGAGCTCCAGCAGCAATACTTCAAGCTTGTCGCTGTCGCTGCCCTTGCCAAACACCGCGGGAATCTTGAAATTCGGGGTCAAACGAGTTTCCTTGTTCTCCCTCATGAAGCGGTACTGAAGTGGGACGTCATCCAGCGAGGTCCCGTGCGCCTTGATCAGATCTTCGTCGAGTAAACACAACCTGCTGTAGTGATCGTTGACTCTATATCAGTCGCGCGCCGTTCTTGTCACAAGACATCCCAACTTAGTAACCATGCACTATTCCATCGTCATCTGTCTGCAGATCGATATACATAAACCATTGTGCCAACTCCTCGAATGTTGCAGGAGAGAGAGACATCAGATCCTGCACGACCAATACAGGGTTACCGATGATATCAACGAATGCGTTAGTCCAGTCACAAGATATCACAGCAGTCAGTTGTGCCGAGTCCAAGCCCGCTAGCCAATTGCTGAGAAGTTCTGCAAGCTGGAAACCCCGCCTGTCCATGATAGTAGCTTTGAGCCTTTCAAACTGACTCATGATATAAGTGTTGAATCGAGCTCTTCTGGAGGTGTCACTACCGACTGAAATTGGGCGATGCTGGATTGCGACGAGGTAAGGTAGATAGGAGTTCGGCTTCTTAGGATCGATTCCCTCGATAGTCGGTGGTGTACCCGTCTCGATGATAGAGGGAGACGTTTGTTTGATGAAGTGTCCTGGCAGCGGGGACCGATCAGGCCTTGGAGACCGTGCCGCTCCAATCAAGGATGTCGTCCAGCGTATTAAAATGAGTGTGCCTTGATTGCAGCAAAGCGCAAAGCACCCAACTCCTCAACAAGCATTGGCTCCGGAATGTGTACTGCACTGTTAGCTGGTAATTCAACTCTCGAGCCCTTGGCCACGATACATTCGCTAAGATGAATCTCTTCGATGTTATGGCTGTTCTCAGTATCCATACCCAGCGTGATGTCCATTGTGAGGAGGGATGCATTGCAGAGAACATCGCTCTGCGCAACGAGGACAACAGAGGAAAGGACAGAAGAGAATGGACGGACGTCTTGATTGTTTTGATGAGATGGTTGTCCGAGATGTAGTGCGGGTCGAAAGCATCCTCAGTTTATGAACTACATCGCACTGCCTCCGTGGATGGCAAGAGCAAACCTGACATAGCGAAAGGAAGTGGTAGCGAGGCACTTCCTCTCCTGTTCATTCACCAGCAAGGAGAACAGTATTTGGAGCGCATCGTGCGTTCGAAATGTATTCGACCCAATGGCAGATTGGAGCTGTCAGTACGGCGCGAATAGTCTAGTAAAATATGTTCGGAAGGGAATCTGCAAAGGTGTGCGATTAAAGAGAACCGAGTTGTTTACCAAGGCATGAGCGTTACATAAATTATCTTTTTACCCATCTCCACGGCCACGACCCCATCTAGGGTACGTTTCCACCAACTCCAGCAACTCCATCACCTCCAACACCACGACCACGACCAAGTGCAGCGGGGAGTAGGTGGTTGTGGGGCAAACATAGACGCGTTTCCAACGACTGCACCACTAAGAGATTGAAGTCCACCCAACATTTTTTCATGAAGCCCATCCGCTTTAACATCCTTCTTGTCTATATCCTGACTCTCTTCTTCGAAATATCGGAATAAGATGGCCAGTCCTGGATCGGTATGGCCTCGTATGCCTTCTTCATGATATCTGTGGCCTTGATCCCAACCAAGCCTTTGGTCACCTGCAAACACGTTAACACTTGCCCCATCTATATAGCAGCGGTGTACTCACAGCTTCTTCGTCGCGTTGGAATCCGTAGCCGTGAATTGGGTCGTGATCAACGAGATGTTTGTACACCAAGTCTGCTGTGAACAACATTCGACCTGTAATGTACCGAATCAAGTTACGCTTGGCATTCGCACCACCGTCGTTAGGATTGACAGTCTGGAAGAGATATTTGAGGTTCAGGATACTTGCCAATGGTCGCAACCACCAGTATACGACTGACACATCTTCTTGGATTCTTGCCTTGAAGTATGCCATTCGAGCTGATACCGTTGTGGTGTCCAGCTCCAAGTACCTATCGTCAAGAACCCAGAAAAGGACAAGCGGCAGCATGGTGTCTTTAATGATCCTCTTGCGGAACTGGTTCTTCGTTTGGACCAATTTCTGCTTGAACTGGGCTGCGGCTGGGTCGTACAGGTTTCCCCGGTGCTCGGGAGGGAGGAACATCTCGGCCATTGCAGGGGTGATGCTTCCATCATGGAAGTTGTGAAGCTGCAATTGTTAGCTCTCGTTAAATGTGGTGCGGAAGGTGAGTGGCAAACCTTGATCAACTCTCGACGGAACGAAAACTCAGAGACCTCAGGAAACGCGTGTCCAGCAGGAAGCTGAGTATTGGAAGTGACGCGCGGGTACGCCTCCTCGTCCAGCTGGATGTCATACTTGGTGAATAACGTGCTACCGAAAGCAACGTACTTCTCAGGGGTCTCAGGAGTGACTAGGGCAGTTGGAAGTTTGCGTGACTCCTCTGGCCGAATCTTGTCATAGTTCAGGGCCTCATTGCCATCTTTCGCGACATACAGCCTGACAGCTTGCTGCAGGCGTACGCGCTGTGGCCGGGTTACGGCTTCTATTAGTAGCACCACGTGTTATTACCGCCAAATTTACAGGAGTTCAGTTTGAGAGCACCTACTCATCTTGGTTGGTTGGTTGGTAATGCAAGAGGAGATCGAGCACTACGTGCAGATCGAAGGAAGCAGGGGGAGGGTGGAAGAAGAAGTGACCGTCTTGAAGAAGTGTTGAAGGGAAACTCAAGGAGAGACCGCAGTGGAGAAGGCAGAGGTACAATTGAGGTGGTGCTGATGGTGAGTCAGTCACCGCGATTCTGTGTTGGTGTTTTTGTAAAGTTGAGGAGGAAAGGACGAGAAAGAGAAGTTGTGTAGGGGTCGGCTCGGCAACCTCAAGCGACTTCAAGTAGGGCACGATTCACCTCACCTTTCGACCTTTATCTCCCTACTGCAGAGCGACTTCGGAAGTTAGGTGCTCAAAGCATCGTCTCTTTCCTGTCTCAGCTGGGTTATAACAGCTTTTCCAAATTAAAAAAAAAATCTTTACCACACCGTGAATTCGTGAGATCTCATCTTGATCAAGCTTTGACCCAATGCGCAGCTGCTTCTGCACGAAACAGGAGACATATTTTGGGGTTTGAGGTGGGAAGAGGACAGCTTGCTGCTATTTGGCGGGAGTAGCACGATTGATTGATTGAGTGATCGATGCGCCGACTTGGTTTTTTGGATAGTGAATGGGATCGGGATTGAAATTGGGATTGGGTAATAGGAAAGGTGCGTGGTGTTTTGGGTGAATGGGTTTTGAAGAGTTCACTTTAGGAGTAAAGGCGGGGAACAGTGGTTTTTGAGATTAAGTGCGGTGTTAGAAGCAGATAAAAGGTAACAGTTGGAGCTTGGGTTTTGGCCGTTATCGTGTTGAGATGAATGTGCCTGAACTAGCAAGCGAAATGGTTTGTTTACCACGGCACTGGCCCATTTGCAAAATATAAATGAATATAGGTGTCGCTACATCCAAACTATAAAAGGTACAATTCAAGACGGTTCAGCGGTCCTAGACTATCTGATAGATGAGATGACACATAGTACACGTGTAAGAACAAGCCCAGCGAGTGCATTTCCCTTCGAGAAATGCAATACCCACGTGACTTCTCCATACAGAGCCACGAATAAACAATACGCTGCTCTCATGAATGTGCAGCACGAGAGATATAGAATGACAATAACAAGGGTACATTCTAACGAAACTGAAGACTTCAGTACCATGCTTGAGCTGTACAGTAAAAAGTCCTGGAGCACGCTCGTGACTTGTGCGCCCTGAAACTTTTGGCTCTAACTCAAAAACAGGCGAAGCAGATAGGGGAAAATCAGAGGTGAACGTTGTGAACCTGATCAAGCTTATGACGGCACGATAAAGATTAAAACCCGTGTTGTTCTGATTAATGAACAGCATGGTGAAAGCGGGCAAGTAAAAGAATTGAACATCATTCTTTGCATCTACTCCAGCAGCATACGATCAAGCACCATCAGATCTGATCGGTCCACGGAGCTTCAATGCCGACATTGTCATGTGTCAATATCTGATAGGCGGGACGAGCTTCCGTATGTTGAAGAAAGCGGCATATGCAAATTGCATACCTGGAATAATATTTGCATTGCTGTCCGTATTAAAAATGGAGCAGATACGTCGGTACCAAAAGAAGCGGAGTACATTTCCCTGATCCGAGTCATTGCCAAGCAAGATTGCATATGCAGTTTTCATATGGAAAAATAGAGATTGCCATGACTCCAGTTTTAAACTTGAAAAGTTTGAAGCTTATGTGGTACAGGTATGGATCACGCTTGCCAGCGAGACTCGGGGGAGACGGGGAGACGGGGTCTGGCCAGATCAGGATGTGGGTGGATGCCGTGATGCAGAGAGATTGCTTCCTCTGGCAGTTTCAGGCCCAAATCACGGAATGAAATCGAACCAGTAATCAGTGAGCAGGTTGACGGAGGTACGCGTGTAACTTGCGCCATTGTATGACACATAAAGTATTCAGAACATGCAAAGTAAACAAAGAGAGTGTGACCAGCCAGAATAAGCTTCCAAGACAAGCTGTTGGGTCCACAAGAAATCCAGACGTCGATGGACAAAACCCCACGACGTCATCTGACATCATGAGCGGCTCTGAAACGATTGCAGCGCCGTTGGACAAAGCAAGGCCTTGCGTCCTGCAGGTCAGGTCGGGATGAGGTTATGTTTTTATGTGTTGCCAGGCTTCCAGCCCAATGAAGGCCGATCAAAGTCCTTCCTCCCACTGCTAGCTCAAGCAAGGTTCGCGTCAACTTTCCCCGCACCGCCACATCTCGTGGTTAGAGACGAGACAAGTGGAGATCCGGAAGTGACTGCCAGCCACATGCAACCCTGATTTGCGGATCATGCGTGGATCATCGCATTCCGATTGGGGTATCAATCAGCCACAGGTAGCCACATGCTCCATTGCGGCTAAGTTACGGGATGGTATGACGTTCAGCCACACATCCCTATGACGATGATGCGTTTTGACATCTCGACAGGCTTTGTCTGGTCTTACGGCTCTCCACTGAAATCCAAGCACGAAAGCCTCAGGTTGATATCTTGGATTGTAGGCGAGCCAATTGTTCCGTCAGGCTGAGATTAGGTAAACTTGGCTGCCACACGAAAACTGGGAACAGTAGACGACAACCACGGGAGCTGCGGGGTTGTATGGAGGGGCAGGGTTTGTTATGGGGATATGACGAAGATGAGAGAGAAGACTTCTTGGAAGTGACTTTGTTTGACGGCGAACATGAGGGTCGGGCGTTGGGATCGCGTTTGAGGATCCCGCGCGCTACGGAGGAGTTTGACACTCGTGATGTTGAAAGGAGGGAAAACAGGTTTCTGAGATGTGGATGCCATTGGCATTTGAGCCGAGACTTCTCGATGAGAGTGCTTGAGGAGCTCAGGATTTGATATATAAGAAGGCTCCCGCTGCAGGTCCAAAAGGTCTTTCTTCTGCATCAAACTCACATCTTCACTCTTGAACACTACAATCTTCAAACACTTCAAACAACAACCAACAACAACCAACCAAAACAAACCAAAACAAACCAACCAAACAACCTTCATCATGTCTGGAATCATCAACAAAGTCAAGGAGGCTCTCCACCACGACAAGACCGATTCTCACTCTACCACCCACACCACCGGCACCCACGGTACCACTGGCACTCACGGAACTGGTGTAACTGGTAACCACAACACCACATCTGCTCTCGCTGGCTCAACCAACCACGGTCCTCACGACTCCAATGCCGCCAACAAGGTCGACCCTCGCATTGACTCAGACCGCGATGGAAGAGCTGCCCACAGCACTGGATTGGGCTCATCCAACACACACTCCACTGGACTCGGATCCAACACCCACAGCAGCAACACCACCGCTGGACCACACTCTAGCAACCTTGCCAACAAGGTAGACCCAAGAGTTGACTCCGATCTCGACGGATCTAACAGAGTCGGAGCTGGTAACACCGGCTACGGATCATCCAACACACACTCAACTGGTCTTGGTTCATCCAACACCCACGGCACCACCGGAGCCTACGGCTCAAACACCACCGCCGGGCCCCACGACTCTAACATCGCCAACAAGCTCGATCCCAGAGTTGACTCCGACAGAGACGGTTCAAACCGCGTAGGAGGCACAACCGGCACCACCGGTACCTCCGGCTACTCCGGAACCCACGCCGGTAACCACTCTGGCACTCACACCGGTACCCACGGCGGAATCTCCTCCTCCTCCAACGCAGGCCCACACGACTCCAACATTGCCAACAAGGTTGACCCAAGAGTCGACTCTGACCTTGATGGAAAGGGAAACAGACACGGTGCTAACACCGGCGGTGTGTTTGGCGCTTCCAGCTCGCACGCCACTGCTGGATCGGGAACTGCGCAGAACACTGCCGGTCCCCACAACAGCGACATGTTGAACAAGATTGATCCTGTATGTTCTCCCTCCCCTCTATCCTCCTCTCATCAAAATTTCAAGAATACAAACTAACATCTTCTCCTCAGCGCGTCGACTCCGACCGTGACGGAAGCAAGACCTTCATGGGTAACGCCACCCACAAGTAGAGTACTCTCTACTTAGCGAGCAGCGAAGGAAGGAAACATCATCAACTCGCCGCATAACATCGCCGCCGCATTCGATACCCGAAGAGAGAGGGGAGCTGTGTAAATTCGGAACGCCTTTCTTCTTCAAGACTTGGTTGGCTGGTGAGATTTGGAATGATGGCAAATTTTTTAATGAGACTTGTATTTTTATGATGGCATGTCATGACTTGAAAGAAAAGAAAGAAGGAATCATTGTACTTTAGCTAGTAATTGCATTGATATTTCTCTTGCTTAATGTTTTCTTCTTGAGTGTGACTTATAATTTATTAATACTAATTTGTGACTTGCTTTACTGCCTTGGTAGATTCAGTTCTCTTTTCTCCCGAATCTTTGTTAGGTTATCCCTTTTGCTTTTCAAAAACGTTCACTATTTTTCTAATACTCGCTTCCACATCGAATACAGCCTCAACGAATTTGTTGCACATCGCATTCCCAAATAAGCAAAATCCACCTGTACATTACTCAAGACCCTGTTTCCGCCGGCCTTTGCATATCATTAACTCAATTTGGGTCGATAAGCTCTTGCACTAGCATAAAGCAGGCTGTCATGTATCCCGTCTAGAGACTTAGTACTGACCTATTGAGGTGCTGCAGGTTCTAAGCTATCTAGATTTGATAATACCACCCATCTGTCTACGATCTAGTCCTCTCTATCATGGGATCTATCTCTATGCATAATTATATCCATCTCACTCCAAATCCATCACCAAACCAGATACACCCATATTTCCATCTAAAGTCCACCCCAAAGCCTCTCATCAGCAAGCAACCTCTCCATAGCTTCTCCCTCCAAAAACACCGTGACATCCACTCCTTCCTCAATCCAACTCCCACTCCCACTCCCACCAGCATCTCCCCTTACCTCTCCAGACGGAGGACCTTCCATAATTTCCACAAGACCATCAAGCGGTGGCATCTATTTCCCCAGGCCGCAAAAGTCAGCAACCCATCTTAAACAAGTAGCAAGACACCAAGGTCTCTAAAACATAAAAAGGAACCACAGAACTCACCACAGCTTCAACCCACAACGGGCTCCACCCCTCACAAAACACAACCTCGTGGACACCTGACCTGACCAACGTTGTAAGCAGGACATGTTCCCGTCCTAAACAGGCGCCCCATAATCTCTGCGGTGCAACCTCACTCGCGCGATCGTGTAGGAGCCAGGAGATTTCCTCGTGGCTGAATTTGCCTAGGTGAGACCTGATGCGTTGGGCGAGGATACTTAGATGTTCAGAATCGGAGTTGCTTTTGGTTGTGCTTGATGCTGTGGATTGGTAAAGGAAAGAGGAAGGTGGAGGTGGAGGTGGTGGTGAAGGAGATGAGATAGCAACATGACAGATCGGACTTCCTAAAAAGGAATCAGGGAGTGGTGGTGAGACGCGAGCTCGCACCCCGAAAGTGAGGTCTAGGTAGGATGTTGTGCCTGGGGGGAGGTGGCGGGAGGAAATGATGAGGGACCAGAGGTGGGCGAGGAGGGCGTCGTGTTTGGATATTTTCTCTGCTGCTTCATCTCCATTTCCATCTCCATCTCTCCTTGATTCAAGACTTGCTGCAGCATAAATGCGCAGGATTTCTTCTTTAGAAAAATGCAGAACTCTCTGCTCAACAGCCGCGTTTGTATCCCATTGCTCCCATGGGATGGGGACGCTGGGACTTAACTCCACATTCAGTTCCTGGACCGTGGTGTCGAAATCCGCGGGTTTTGGAGACGGCCATGGTTGCTTTGGGACGAATGTGTACCAATCGTATCGATGAGCTGGCAAGTTCCTCGCCTTAGCCTGTATCTCAGAATCAGGGAGCGAGTCAATAATTCCAGCAGCGTGAGAATCTAATCTCATCGGATCAAACACCGGCTTGAGTTCTGGAAGTGGAGATTCAGGATTTGCCAGTAAAGACCAAGAAATGCATGCCCAATCGTTAGCGAATCTCGAGAGAGATATTGCGTCGGCGAGACAATGCGTAATAGAGATGCCAACAGCGAGACTTCCGCAACTGAAGGTCGTGAGTTGGATGACGAGGTTGGGAGAGTTGGGATTGCTTGATAGGGAGAGTTTGGTGGAAGGTAGGAGAGTGGATGATGGGAGTTGTGACCCGTTCCACGCTTTTTGAGTGGTGCGTCGGGTGGATGCTAAGGGGAGGAAAGTGTTGAGTGGGTGAGGGCTTGTTGCGATTGTGAGGGGGACGCCGATGTCGGTTTCTCTGTTGTAGGTTATGTGGATGCGTTGATATCGAGATTTTTGAGGACCGTAGGATGTGAGGTCTGAGGTGGGTGTGTATGACAGACGACCGCACCATGGACGGTAGGAATTTAGGGTGTGGGAGAGGGATGTTGTGAGATGTGAGGTGGTGATGGTTGATGGTGAGGGTGGATAGTACCATATTGCTGCGCAGCGCGCGAAGTTTGCGCTGGTGTTGTCGAGGATTGAAAGGGGTGTTGTCGTGGGTTCCTGGAGGGATTTGGAGGGGTGGATGGTTTGCGTTGAACTGAACTGAGACGTCTAGCTTTGGGGAAGACATCGGGAGAGATGTTGTGATAAGGAATGGCTGAATGAAAGTTTTAGATGAACGTCACTTGGTGATGAACGTTGTGGATAATGTATATCCTTCGAACCATTCCCATCTCATGGAGCGACCTAGAAAAATTGACGCCGACAGTTGGCTCACATTAAGTCCTGCCTTGGTAAGCATTTCGACGCCTGTGACTGACACAACCATGATTTGACCCCATTCGCAATACAGTTGCAGTCAACTGATTGGATAATTAAGGATTTTGGGGAGAGTCGAGGTCGCGCCAGGTTATGGCCCTGCCCTGAAAGGGATGGTGACTTGCTGGGTCAGATTTATCATGATGAGTCGAACTCGATGCATGGGATGGCAAGGGGGGCCAACTTTTGTAACATATGTACTTGAACACTTCTAAACCTCTCAATCGGGAAGCTTTTGCAAACAATATGTTTTCAAAATTGAGGATTTCTTTAATTCTATATTCCTTATCGCACTTAGAATCTTCATTTCTGAACCCAAAGTTTTCCTTTTTCAGGGGGCAAATTACCCCTCTGTAACCCCACCAATACCCACTATGTATCCAAAACTTCAAAACAGCACATCCCGCCATCCTCCTCAATTCCTCTTGAGAAATTCTTGTGACAGCATTTTTCAGTAGGTAGCTTGAGGCGAGACAAGAGTGGAGGTTGAAATGGCTGTCCAGAATAGGCGATCACCAAAGTGGGATGCGACGAAGATAGGTGCAAAATGAGATGCTATAAATCCATTACTAAATTGCATGCTATTCTTGAGTGATACTGTTTGCTCATCGTCTCCGGTCTTCAATCATATTAGTCATTATCCATTAGTCATTATTCAACCCTCAATATCCATCCGTCACTTTCCCGTTCATTGTTCCCGTTCAATCCACCCCATAGTACAACGCTGCTGGCATCCAGATCTCCAAGTGTTGATGATGCAAACCATCCTCTCTGAGAAGGCACCAGATTGTGAACATCTTCTCCTTCAGCACCTTCGGCATCCGCAACTTGCATTACACTCCACTGTCCTTCTCCAGTCTCCTTTCCAAGTGCCTGCCATGTAGCATCTTTGAAACTTGCACCGGTCATTCCTCGTGGTGGGCATTGAAACGTCCAAACATCACCCCAAAACTTTCCTGCGGCATTGTGTCCATCATTACTTGGATCTCTCTCGCCAAGTAGCAACACTAGGTATTCCCTTCCCATTCCTGTCGTGATTGCTTGCAGGCCAGCTACACTTCTATTGCCAGGGAAGTTCATACTTTCTTCCTCGAAGTTCAAAGTCTCCCATTGTCCTTTGGGAATGACCGCAGTATCTTCAGAAGCACCAATACTACTGAATGTATCCAGACCCAGCTCCAGAATGTCAACTTTGCCACCCTCTTCACCTGTGCCGTTGAAACCTCCATATCGATAGATTCTATTTTTCGACACGGCAATCGATGTACCTCCTCTCGGGTTTCCAGGTGCAGCAGGAAACTCCTTCCAAGTGCGACTTCTGACATCAAATCCCCAGAGGTCATTCGTCCTACCGCTCGCCGGGCATCCAGCATGAATAAACAGCGTTCCAAATCCACCCTTCTCCTCATCTGTCTGTGCGGATTCTGCAATTGTTCCCGCCTTTGGAAGCTCAGTAGCATTGTCAATCTTTACACTCTTCATATTTCCGGGCTCAGGCTTCTCAATTGCAAGACTCGTGTGGTATGATCGTGCTTCTGGATATGGAGTACCAGGCACAGGGTCCAAGAACGACCAAGTATCCGTCCTCGTGTCATACACCCAAACTCTCCCCCTCTCCTCCAACGGTTTCATGTCCTTCCCTCCTCTTCCGCCCCAAACAAATATCCTCTCTCCAATGACCGCAGCCGTATGTCCAACTCTCTTCTCTGGCACCTCGCCTCCCGCAGTTTCTGGCTTCGCGGGAATTGTTCGGTAGTCGGCAGACGAAAAAGCATCGTAGGGAAGCGTGATAATGTGCATATCATTGTCGACTGGTTCTCGAGGATTGACTTCTCCACCAAAAATGTATGCTCGGCCTGCGATCACAGAGAGACTGTGGGATGAGCGGGGTAGTGGGGTGCTGTTTATGCGCTCCCATTTTGCTTTGACAGGGTGTGTTGATTTGAACATGCCGCGGACGGCGGCTGCCGTCGTTGCTGCTACCTCCATCATCTTGAAGGTATGTTGGAATTCAAGTGTAGGTGTTTTGGCGGTAGAATGTAGAGGATGATTGTTGTGGCATGATGAAGCTCAAGCTGTTGGTACCTGGATGGCGATGACGTAGATGGACACCGATGTTTACCCGAGGAGGCTGAGGCTTACTAAGTGCGCAGAAGGCTGAGAAGGCAAACAAAGCTTCTCTCACATCTCCAAGTGTCCCCAGCTTTCGAAGTATATCCCCATAATGCTATCACGGCTGTTCTCTAGGAACGTATTACGAGCAGTATCACAGTCCAGTCCTCGAACTCTCCCCCGGGCTCTGCCTCGAGCTTCAATACCTCAAATAGCACGACCATCAACATTTACCCCACGACGATTTCAATCGGAATGGAATCGATATCCTCCTCCGCCTCCTCCTCGAAAGCCTCAACGAATAATACATTACAGATATGACCCCAACCAGATACAGCATGCGAAACCACTCGTAACAAACGAACAAATCTTCAATGCCGTCCGAAGTCCCACCACGAAATGGTTATTCATAATATCAGCTGGCTCAGCAACAGTCTTCTACGTTGCAAACCTAGAAGAGGTCCCAGTGTCGGGCAGAAAGAGATTCAACTGCTATAGCGATGAGACAGTGGAAGCTGAAGGAATGCGGATGTATCAAATGATCATGCAAGAGAATGCACGCTCGATTCTACCAGACTGGGACCGAAGGACGAGGATGGTTCACAGGGTTATGGCGAAGTTGATTCCTAACAGTGGACTGGAAGATGCGGATTGGGAAGTCCACGTAATCGATTCGCCCGGTATGCTACCTATCAAGTCTTTGGGAGATCGGAGCTAACATATATATTCAGAATGTAATGCCTTCGTAATCCCTGGCGGAAAAGTATTTGTCTACACCGGCATCCTCCCCGTTGCCAAAAACGACGACGGACTCGCCGCCATCCTCGGCCACGAAATCGCACACAATGTAGCTAGACACGCATCAGAAAGTATGAGCAGTATGATCATGCTTGCACCTTTACGCTTCCTCTTCATCTTCCTCGACAGCACAGGATACACCATGGGATTGGGCCGCGTTTTGGGAGACATGGCCATGGATCTTGGGCTTGCGAGACCAGCTTCAAGGAAACAAGAGAGCGAGGCTGATTATATTGGATTGATGATGATGGCGAGAAGTTGTTATAATCCACAGGAAGCGGTCAAGGTGTGGCAGCGGATGGAAATTGCGCAGAAAGATCAGAGTATGCCGGAATGGTTGTCGACTCATCCTTCCGTAAGTAAGCTTCAAGTCGACGTGGAGGTTACTTTACTGACTCGACATAGAATTCCCATCGAATTAGTCAAATGCAGGAATGGCTGCCGAAAGCAGCAACAGCGAGAAGCGACAGCGAATGTGCAGTCACACTTGGATACTCCGAAGACTTCAAGTCTGCGTTCAAGGGCAACGGATGGATTGACATGTTTAAGAATGAGTGAGATGCTGATGTGTTTTTTGGAGTAGAGATCAAGTAATTGTATAATCCATGATAAGCATAGGGAGTTCGGCAGGCGGCATGGTAGGCGCTTGGAGTTACTTTTTGGGGAGTTTTGGACACCACTCAATATCAATAGAAAACTAGGCATCTTCTATCTTTTCGTTATATTTTGAGACCCATCGAGCATCTGATTTGGGAGAACCCTGTTCGTTCATGCCTTCAACTCTACCCTTTTTGGGAGTAGGCCCTCGGCTCAGTCTATGTACGATTAGAAACTGGGAGCTGGCATGTACTTAACATTGGTACATCCTCGACCTTATTCACTACTCTCATCTCTTCCAATTTCGGAAACCTCTCTCACCTACATCGGAGGTTGACGTCCCCCATATATCTCGGTACATCTCTTCAAGTACAAAAGCACCCCATTCCTAGTCAAAAGCAAACGCAACGAAAAGACTAGATCAGGTCGAAAGTCCCTTCTACTGGAGCAGCACAGTTCAATAGAGCCCACGCGTCTATTTGCAAAAGAAGGAAACCCGATGACTTTTACTGGTCTTCTGGTGATTTCTAGAAAATGTATCTTTGTGCTCCAGGGATCAAAACTCGCTTGATTTGATGCGGAAGACTTGTGGTTGCCAATTAGCATCTCGCTGTCAATTTTTGAGCAAACGGAAAAGTTTTGGTTCTCTGCTCAAGTTCATGTATTCTCAGTAGATACATTTCCAGTATTATTTGGTACGATATATGCGATCATATCATCTAGAGTACATATGCCGGAGGAGTCACCACACAATGACTTCACAAGCGACACAGCATATTGGATGGCCGGTTTTATTCTTTTTCAAGGTAGCTTGACCCCTTGATTCTTCCAATGTCTGTCGTTATATACTGAAATGCTAAGTCGCTGGACTTTAGAGCTAGTAGAGAAAGGGATCTTGTGTGGCACGGAGCTGGAAAGTATACCACGCAGCAGTAGGGTTGGGGATTCACTACTTTCTATTTTAGATTAAAGCTATTGGTGGGTGCTTCGAGGTGATTGAAGTGTATATAATAATTTTTTTCGTGTGTTTCGTTTGTCTCCAAACTCTCGTCGAGAGTACCTGTAAACAAGCCATAACTTGAAATCCTGTGAGAGCTGATCACTGCAAGACACATCCAAGGCCTTCGAATATCACTTATCTTAGGATTGAAACTTGGTTGGCGTGTCTGTCCCTCCACATGTAAACATCCTGAAGGACCTACATTTCTTGTCATGGCTGACAAGTAAATTATCATTGTCAAGAAACAGATGACTTCCAGCAAGAGATTGACAGAGCTCCTGGGCATGACAGCAGAAGGATAAAATCTAATCTTTGCATCGCTCTTGCTCTAATAATTGGTAGCCTTCGCTGCCAATCCGGCTCCAATTCCAACACTTACTTGATAATTACTCTTGTCATGGACACCATCGCAGCTGAAATGGTCATCTCTATGGAGGTCACTACTTGATTGGGCCATCTTTATTCCTCTATAATTCACAGCCTTGGTGGCGTATATATACTTCCCATATGCCGCGATATGGCAAGGAAATCATGGATTTCTGACAGATCGAGTCTTTTGCAGTGAATTGTGAAGGATATTCAAATTCTTTTTGCAACCTGCATCTATCCGAGCTAGCCGATGTTTATTCTCCAAGATACATATGGCCATATGACCTCCTTTCAACATAATGAGTAAGCTAAAAACACATCAAGATTCCCTCGCAAATCGGCACCATGGCTCTGCAACGGCCGTGCAACTGCGTTGGCGCTTTCATATGACAAGTGCTTGGTTGTCGACGATCTTGTGATCTTCGACTGGTCAATCTAACTTGGCTTATCTGAAATTATCTTTTCAAGAATAAGATATTGGACTGTGGGTCTTTAAGAAGAATGAGCACTTCACTCCTTTGGATGTTTACTTCTGGATTAAGTGAGCAACCCCGCACTGTCAAAATACCAATATCACGAAGATCGGAAGGTGACAGATGCTTAGCAGCAGTATGTAAAGTACACAATCAATGCTGACCCTAGATTCAAATTCAAAACAAATATCTCAAATCCTAGTCAGAAGTTGGGAGGAATTGCGGTGCGGGGTAATGGAGACGGGAAGGTGCACAATGAGCGATCTGACTCCTACCTGAGTCTTTCAAATAAGTTACTCTGACACATGTATATCACTTGTAGAATGTTAACCTGAACAACAGACTGTCATTTCTTGTCGCTTCCGCCCAGAAAATTTGCTACGCGATCTTCAACTCCAGATAAATGCAAAGCAAAGACCCCCCCCCCCTGAAGCACCCGTCCCACCCGTCCAGCCTCTAAATACAGCATTTTGTGATTGGCATGCCTTCAGAGCTCACGTCATGAGCTCTTGATACCATTTAGGCCAGTCTGTCCATTGAACTTTATTTCACCATTCTCATTGGCCATTTTCGTGTCGCCAGCCTCACCATCAATTATCAGATTCACAGGCCAAGCGAATTTACCGCCAAGTGGTTGACCAGCTTCTTGAGACGTGAGGTACTCGACGAGGGCGATGACTGTATGAAATTAGCTCCATTATAAATCTGGGATCCGTTTCACTGGGAATCAACTCGATTAAAAACACCCGAGGTCCTTCAAAATGCCGTTCACTTACAGATATAAGCACCAACGCCTGTGAAGATATGCCACCACCCGTGCAGCTCAAGCACAAAAGACCACGGCATTCCAATGCTGCGTTTCCAAGTAGTCAGAGACGAGCAAATGGCGTTGTCGATGTTCCAGATTCCGAAGCCGGAAATAAAGATGACTTGTTCATATCAGTCTACTGCCAAATATGCCATGACATTGTTGTGGGAAGTACTTACCACCGCCCCATATGGCGAGTTTCCTTACTTCCTTGGCGACTGCCGGATCTTCAACCCTGACTGAGATGATGGCACGGGTTTTGAGACCAACGATGACTATCATGACAGCTGCGGATCCGACATCGAAATCAGTACCTTTCCAGTTCACTCCAACACCCTAGGGCGGAGAAGCAAGACTTGCACTTACCGAACAACACAGAATGCATGGTAAGCTCATCAGTAATACAATGCCATGCGCTAAATGCAGTCATCACGCCTGCAATAACAGTTCCTGTCACAGCAGTTCTAGTGAGTGATATATCATATGTGAAGACGCGGTGAACTACAGTCGCTACTGCGACGAGCATGGAAAGATCGTCACCTATTTGGTTCAGTTAATATTTCAAAGTTTAAAATGCTCAAGACATCTGTATTGAATCAGGGGGAAAAATTACACCATTGTGTATAGTTTTTCATGGTGGCGTGGAAAATCGCCGACCCAAATCCAACTGCTGCAATCCCCAAGTAGGGTAGATTGCGCAGTTCTGCATCTTTTCTATTGGCGTTGTTTCTTATGCCATGGAAGGCATAGATAACTGTTTTCATTTAGTAAGCTTCTCCAAACACGTTTCTCGTGCCTTCTCTGCTTCCCAGCGCCGGGAACTCCCACGTGACAAATTTCCATCATACCAAAATTGACGGAACAGAGAGAAAGAAATCACTTACGATAAGTGATATTCGTGAGGGTATTGATAACTTCGGCGATGTATGGCGTAAGAATATAATCCTGGAAGGAAATATCAGCCCCAACTCATTGCCTCAATACCGTCATTGTGGGGCTACCACATGAGACGAACGCAAAAACTCACTTCTTCGCAGAAACTAGATTTGCAAAGTCAGTCCTGATTATTCAGATCAATTTTGCAAGGCCACGTACTTTGCTTGAGCATTTATCTCTCCCCAATACGGTGTATGGGAATGTTCTCTATACGGCCAAGATAGCGACATTATTGATTCGCGCCTCGGCGACTGCTGAACTTCGAGATATAGTCAACTCAATCTCTAGAAGGGACGGTTAAACGAATGAGCCCGGTAACAAAACCCTTAGAACCTAAAAAGCTTTGTAAGAAGCTTTTCGGAACAGAATTACAGAGAAAAAGAAAGAACAAGTGAAACTAAACCTACTTTCTCTCCTCATCCAATCTTCGACTTACCTGGCGCTATAAAACAAGCCCAAGCTTCTTCTTTTTCGCCTGCCAACATTTGTACTTCTGGCGTGTTTCCATGCACGTTGCCTTATCCGTTCGCCACCTACTACTGGCTGCAACTGAGGGAATAATGGGCCCGAAACAGCCCCTCTAAAGGAACGGTTCATCCTAGTAGTACGTACACCAGATCTGATAATGGAGTTGCCTTGCGTTGCTCCTGGTCATGGCCTTGATGTCGTGAGTGGCACTTCCGCAGAAAGCATGTGAGAGGTGGAGTGCGAAGTGGCTTGGGAGTTGGTTGCGGTGACCACGATGGTCCCTAGACTTGAGCGGGTCCACGCCCGCCTCCGCGATTCAGTAACTGACGACATGGAGATGCAGCTGCCAGGCTTGACGTTTCTGCAGGAAGGATCCAGATCGCTGCTGGGATGCATCGGAAGGTGATGAGATTCTGCTGATGGTTATGTTGGGCTGCTTTCAGTTGAAAGCAATTGAAGTGAAAAGTTGCAAAGTGGTGGAAACCGGCACAACACTGCTTTTTTATGCTGGGCTTTGAAGCTGGATTTGTCTGTTCAGAGTAGAGATTTCATTGGCTTGAAATCAGTTGATTGGAGATAAAGTAAGTATTTCTAATGCCTCCCAAGAAGGGTCCCTGAAAAACCTTAAGTGGTTGCGGCCATTTTTCGGGTGGAGAAGGTGTTTTGTTCTTATTTGGCGAGCCTCGGAATTCGTGTGTCCTCTTGGCATTGTCTGTGAAGCATCTTCTTTAGGCGAGTTGAATTCTGCGGCTCGTTTGTCAAGCGTTGGTCTCTTTGCAAACTCAAACGATGTTCAGAGGCGGTGTCGTTTCTTTAATATCCTAGCCATTGATTCAACGGAACGAATCCATTTGCCGAATGACGATATAAAAGAGCGCAGAATGAAATCCCAAAGAAATTTGCATTGACGTGTCTTCTACACTGCCTGAAGGGAATGTTCAGACGATACATTGACCTGCTTTATCCCCGTTTCTCTACACACTACAAATGACACGCCCAATAATATCAACTCAATAAAACAACATCTACCCCAGCTTCAGAATCATACCTAGCCCTGTATGAGGAATCGACCTCGGTGAGCTGCTTCAACGATGGCACATGCTCAAATGGCCCTCTTGCCAAGATTCGGAAGGGCCCATGATCATCCGATTCCGGCACGAGGACACCTTCCTTCATGTTCGGTACATTAAGAGCTTTGGCTAAAGCATGGGAATCTTTTCCAGGCATGCAAAAGCTTGTATCCAGTCGTACAAAGATAGAAGTATTGATGTAGGCTGCATATCTTTCTTGCATCGATAATGCTCGTTTGTCTCTAGAACTGATGCCAGCGCCGACATCCAGAAAGCAGTTATCACCAATACAGACATCCTCCGGGATAAGAGTGAGAGCTCCATTGGATAGAAGTGCCAGACGATATGGGAAGGTCGAAAGATATGCATGGGCGAGTCGGAGCAAAGTGAAACATACTCGATGCATCTTGAGTTCCCATAGTTCTGCTTCATCTCTGCCCATTGGATCGCCTTGGCAAGGTGGCACCCTCATCTTAGATGTCCTAAAGATCTTTTCAGTCACTTTACGAAGAATCACTTCCTGGAAGCTGGGGAACTCGAAATCAAGACAACTTAATCCTTCCATCACTGATGCCTTGAAATCCTCGTCCCACGTTCTTGCAAGCATTAATCCGTAGAAGTACAGCATTACTTCTTGGAATTTGGCATCCTCATCCGTGGGAACACACCTGAACCGGTAGTAAGATCTGGACTCATCTTCACTCCAATATATATCGTTATTGATGGACGCTGGAGGGAGAATTTTCTCAATAGTTCCTATCAACTTGACATGGACCATAAGGAGTGTCGACTCTGGGTGAAGCAACTGGTATTTGTAATTTTGGCGCGCTTTAGGAGCAGCTTCTGAGCCGGACACAGAGATACCCGGAGGCAAACGCTTGATGGGCTGACTCCAGTCAGGTACCCAAGATGGAAGGCCCTCGAGCACTCGGGCTGGGCTTTGCGTTCCACGTATCTGTAGGATATCTAAAGATGGCATCCATGCGAGAGCTTGGCGAGCGAATTCTGTGTATATTGTAGAACAGCTTTTCGTGTAGTCGATTGATATGGCTGCCTGAAGTCTTTTACATATTATACCCAGATGCGCGTAAATGAAGTCTCTGGCATCTGTTGCACCCAGTCCACGACGAGAGTGCAAGATCAGTAGGAGCGCTGTGACCGCATCTTCATCTGTTGCCCAAACTTTTTGCTCGTCGGTTGCGTATCTGTTCTTCATACTGCTCATTCGAAAGAGGTTCATGTCTGTCAATGGTTGTATACCATCTTCCGTGGCAGACTCTAACATCCTGGGGATATATTTGGCGAGAACGTCCCATTTGCAACGTGAATTCCCGCATTGAATCCATGGGTCAGCTGATAGTACCAGCTCCTGCAGTGTCCATACTCTTGTGAACCAAGGGTATGTTAAAAGATTCAAAAGCCCTTGCTTGCCTTGGCTGTAGGACGCTTCTGTCTCCAAACTGACAAACGCTGGGCGAGGCGGAAGCGACTTGATTGCCTGAATGAGTCCTTGAGACTGCTCCGTTGCCAGACCCAAGAAGATAATTGTGTGATTCGCAACTTCATAAATTAGGCCCATCTGCGCAACCTGGATGTTTTTCTCCGACACATCCTGTTGATTGATGCATATCCCATCTGCCCAGACACGTATGGGTTTGTCGGATTGGCGAATATATCGAAGGGCAAGATCCAGCGATGCCGTGATATCCAGGGGCATTCCATCAACGGAGATTTGTATTTTATGGTTTGTGTTGCCCCACACGTACGAGAGTGCAGTATATTGTTCAACGATATCGTCATGGCACGCTTGCAAAGTCGTGGAGATCAGGGAGCATCGGACGGGCGCATCGATGTTGTGGTCGGGCTGGAGAGCAATCAGACGCAAGGCGCCTGGCTCTGTGAGCTGGTCATACTGGTATGATTTGGGAGACTCCATAACCAAGGGACGTGATCTTTCACGGCGAGTTTTCCAAAATGCGTTAACAACAAACGAATTTGTTGAAGGGAGTCTCGTCAGACCAGCAGAGATAGCAAAGTGTTGTAGCCGCCCGTGAGACATTTCCTGATCCGAGACATATTGAGAATCGTCAAAGGAGATCCTTCCCGCTGTACGAGGCCCGAACAGCCTGACAGCACACAGCAACCCTGCAATATTACAGGAAAAACTACCTGAGTTGAAGTTACAATAGGAAGTCAGAGCTTTAAAATTTCAGACCTGTCTCGCAAATCCAATTCATTGAGTAAATCGGGATTTTTCCAACGTGTCACGAGTGTTCGATTGAGGACTTCTCAATCCGCTCACGACGAGGGTCTTCCGAATTACAAATGCTAGAGACAAATTCCTCTTCGTGTTCAATTTCTTAGACCACGTAGAGATATCGCACAGCTCTGCTTTCCAGGATTACAATGATCTCACGATCTTCGGGGTCGGTTCAGTTCGAGCCCGAACCATGCTCAAACTCATCGTCCGATCCTGCTGAAGTTACATACTCATCCTCATTGTGCAGCTGATCCCCAATCTCAATGTACTCCTCGATCCCCCTCAACACCTTCAGATTTGGTAACAGTTCCTGTCGTCGTCGAAGCACTTCTGCCATCTCCCCGTTTTCGGTATGTCTGTATCCCACAATTTCAAGTTCTTGCAGAGTAGGAGGAAACCACTCAACCAAAGTTTTGCCTGAAAGTTCGGCGAATTTCAAGGCAAGTTTGATGCCGATGCGGAGATGTGTAAGATAAGGGAAATACGGCTCGCTTCTCGTCATTCCTTCTCATCTCTCTGTTTTCTTTCTGCTGTCTTCCGATGTCAGAGTCTCTGTGTCGGAATTTCCGTCGTCTGGGTCTCTGATACAGGCTTCATTTCGCTCCTTGTCCTCTCCTGTATCCTCCCCCCACTTCATTTCCTCAATCCAGTCCTCCATTTCTTGTTGCAGGCTACCATGAGCCTGATTCTCAACATCGATATCCATCCTCCGCATCGTTGACCTGTGCAGCGTAAGAGCCTTGGCTACCTTTGGTGACGTCCAGCCTATAATCCCACCATCCCCCGACCGTCCGCCGAATTGATAACTGAAAGCCTCCAGCGCTGTGGAAAAGTTGATGATGTTTGAAACACAGGTACCAGAAATCTCGCAGTGCTTCAAATGGATCTCCCGAACTGCAGAAACCTTGCTAGGTATCACCTCGTATCCACCACCGTCCTCTATCCCGATGCCCCCAACACCCCTCGATTTCATAACAGCAAGCTGGGGCAAGTTGGCGTAAATCTCAAATGCTTGCCAACTAATGCCATCCCAGGCTGCAGAACTAAAAGGAGCTTCTGGGCAAATTTCAAGACGCTTGACTGAGATGGAACCAAAAATTCCGTTTTTCGCTCTTTGGACGGCCTTTCCTACAAATGGTGGGTCATGTATCTCGCCAACCACCCAATGCTCGACATTTGGTAAGATGGGCAGAAGAATAGCTACTACCGCATCGGGAAGTAATTGGTGGGAGCTGCGCTGGTTAAAGCCTGGCGATTTCGTCGTCATGAGACGTTTCAATAATTCTGTTGCGTCTGGCTCGTCCCATTTCTGCTCGGCGATAGCTGCCCTGAATGTCTTCTCCTTTACGCGCTCTTCGTCTGTCGTGGCTGTGTATGGAAATGCTTCGGCTGGGTAAGACGCCCAATGCGAATAGGTCAAGGTAACCCTCCGCACGTATTGTGCTATTTTCTGATTCTGGAGTATAGACAACGCGAAATTCTGAATGGCGGAGAGGTTGGATCGATTGTCTATTTTGAGATGCGAGAACCTTTTGACCAGTGCAGGATCGTGCTCTAGCTCTTGAGATGCTGGCATCTTGGCCATATTTGGACCGCTATCCATTTGTATGTTACGGTGGACGGATAGATTTATTGATCTTCAATTTTTATTGCGTCAAAGTTGAGCAATGGATAGCGCATTGGAAGAGAATGTGAGATGGGCTCCTTACGTAAACAACGCTAGCCCACAATCTGATGCCTCGCGGTCGATTCGCCTGTTTTATGAGGCATAATGTTCCCGGAAATCATTCAGCGCTCCCAAGTTTCTCTCTACGCTGACTAGATATCTATCATTTCCGAGTCTATTTGAACCTCATCTCAAGTCTTAAGATACCTGTCTTAGTCCAAAGGTTCCTTCTCTAAACACACAAGCGAGCCAATCCGGCAAATGAAGAGACGACCATGCCGCAAACAGTCAAGTGGCCAACCCTAGCGTCCCTTCCCCAAATGCTCTCCTTCAACTTCAATTTGAACATCACCACATCTCGTCTTTCCTCTTCATTCGTTACAAACTTTCCTAGAGACAATTCAACCCTCTGAGCCTATTCTCGCGAAAAGCGATCAGGTTAAATGTGAGTACAATTGCTTCCTTCTTGATCTTTCACGTATCGCAGATGGAACAATGTCGAGGAACGAAGCCTTCAAATTTTTGCAGTGCGAATCGCAGGATTCAACTTTATTGAGGCAGTTTCTCTTCATCAAAGATTCTTATCTTCTTCAAGCAAATTCCTGCCTTGAATTGCCCAATGGATGTCATTTGCTGCTCGGCGGAGCTGTGAATCAATCCCCGTTGTTTGTTTGCTTTCCCTGTTCAAAGAGAGAGATTTGTAGGACGAAGCTAACGAACCTATCAGAGAAACTCTGAGCTTCTCAGACATATCATCCTCGGTACTTCGATATAACACCTAATCAACAACAAACTTGTAACTCGAGGTAGCCCAGCTCGACTCCACAGTGCTCAAGAATTAAGAAGACAACGAATACCAAGCTAATCAGCCCCAAGTCAGATCAAGATGGCACCCAAAGCCTACGAAACCCGCAACACTCTTCACCACATGCTTGCCAAACGCGAGGACAACTGGGCCGCCCGCGAAGCTGGAGTTGTGGTCGTCTTCTGCATTCTCGTCATCGTCGCATCTGGTCTGACCGGTCTCTGCATCTCGAGGGCTTTGAGTCGACGAAAGGGCAAGCGTCAGACTTCGCATGTCTAGCTTAGCAGCATGCCATTGTCTTGATCCTCAAAATTGAGGTGGACATGCATGCATGCCTTGACAAGATACGGCTTATGCGAGCTACCTGGCGTTGGAGAATGCTGTGAAGATCAGTATGGCCGGGTTTTGGCGCTTGGAGTATGGGCTATGGAGTATATGGTTTGCGGCGCAATGGCTGGTACTCGATGCGGTAAACCACCATTCTCTTGCTGTTAGGCGTCCGTATTCTGGCTACGGTAGGAGTTCCTCGTGTTGCTAGTCAATGGACCGAAAGCTTTCCCAGGTGTTGTTCTGGGATGCACTAGGTGCAGTCTTCCAGCCCTGCAAGTCTCAGTATTTGATGGTTTGCTTGTTTGAAGGGGTTGATAGACTCAAAGGGCGCTCAAAATTTGTTCTGGCCGTTACTCCGGTGAAAATCTATCCAAGTCGGATTTTCATTTGTCGCTTCCTCCTCTGTTCTGTTAATACTTCTGCTTTGGGCCGACCAAGTGGGTCTGCTGAGGCTTTACCAACAAGGCTGCACTTCACTCATTCTCCTACCTTCGATTTCAGTTTTAGTTGGTCTTTTAGGACTTTTCTTTCTGTTCTGCTCGTCACTTCTAGAAAATGTGTCTTGTTTTGACAGCTGGAAAACTTTCCACGTCTCTAAGCGAGCCGGAGATTCAGCATTTCCCTCGATCCCGAAAATTGTCATCTGGGCGACTACTGTCACCTCTTTCTTGGCTTCTGTCTCATTTTCGCATTATTAGCCTAGTGGCTCGCTTCTGTTGGGCATCCTATGCAAGCCATGTTGAAATCGTTCAGCCTCAAGGCATCCACACTTAGTAACACACCTTCTTTTGTCGGGCTCACGCTTCTCGCTAACGATTCTTATATCATCAGCAACGGGTGCCAGATACCCTTATATTTTACCAGCCTCGCAGGCATCATCAAGGCAATCGTTCCCATGACTTTCTTATCTTTCCCTGCCAATATCCTTGCCTCACTCCTCTTCTCAGCCAATTGGACTCGAGGCGAATGAAAAGGCGACCCGAGCCGTCTGAATTGGGCCCGCAGCCTCGAAGTCGAGGCACGGCTGCATTCAAGTTGCATGGATAACCAATCCCGCAGCCAAGGAAACAGTGCAAACGCCTCGCGGTAATGAAGTTCAAACGAATCGGCATCGTTTCCCCTGTTCGCTTAAGGGGATAAGCTTGGGCTTGGTCAGGAGCTTTATGAGGAGTCACTCTTCGGCAACCATCATGGAGCTCGCGCTCGCGCGGCCTGAGCTTGCAACCTCTTTTGTGTTCGACTTGACCCCACCCAGGCCCTCTTGCGTAGACTTGTCAGCGTCGTGCCATCACCGTGCCTGCGTTCTTTCCCATTAAAATTGTACTTGGTATCCGCGCGCCCTATTATTAACGACTTGCGAATTTTCTGCGTCCTGGTCGGCCAATCCGTCGGAGAAAAGAGGTGCGTGAGGCTGCAGGCGATCAGCTATCTGGACCAGCTAAATACTAACTGGAGATGGCAGCCTCAGAATTGCGATGCACCCGGTTTAACTCGATAGCGACGCGTCGTTCGCCTTACAACACCCGATTGTCTATTTACACCCAATTGGATATATATATGGGAGGCGATTTCCTCGCGATCGATGCTGGAGAGCTGGATAGCTGGATAGAAACGAGATAGCCGCCGGCCTGCCAGCGCACCCGCCGGTTCGAACATCTGCCCTCAATGCGACACAGCCTTGGACGAGGCCCTCCCTTCCTCGATCTTTACTCCGCCTGCAATTCCATTTTACTGTAATTGCGACATCTTGCCCATGGCTGCTCAGCATCTCCTTACGGGAAATAATACTCCGCTCTTGAATAGACATACGAATGATGAGGATCCGATTGAGACGAGGCTTCCGAGTGGGAGGTGCAATTATACGAACCTCAGTGTAGGAGGTAGCGCGCCAGTGTGTGGATGTCGTCGATTCTGGGACAAGGCGCTGGCAACTCCGAGATCAACCTTTGGGGATAGTACACCCAGATCACAACCCAGGTCAGGATTTTGTATGTGTGAACATCATGCTTGCTTCCATGATGATGGTCCACAGAACCAGGTTGGACAAGCCTCTGTCGATGTTCCTATGACAGATGCGACACCAACCATCGTTCAGAATGTACCCATTAGAAAGACTCATTCTGCACCCGATACAAGGGCGGAGGTAGGGGGCCAGGACTCCATCCCGGATACTCTCCAGTGGAGCCGTTATATTCATCCGGGGCCCGTTACAAGTCTTCCTGCCATTCCATCTCAATGTTTGCTTCCGTCTGAAAATGGATCGATGACCTCTGGCAGCCAAGGTGCCTCCATCCGCCCTTCTGGTCTGGGACTGCGAACTGTCAATCCCGTACCTATAATCACTTCTGGAAGTGCCTTTCACAGACGGCATCCTGTCAATGAAAAGAGAATGCAGCTTTACGAAGATACCAATGGTAATGCTTTCTTGCAAAGCCTCACCGAAGCCGCGACTCCAAGTGCTAGGGCCTCCCAGGACCCAGTGACAGATGCTGATCTTCTGAAAGACGTCAATAATGTTCGCGATGCTCTGAACAATTTCACTCAACAATCTGGAAAGGCCATTGCAAAGGATGACCAATCTCAGCGGCAAATCAAGCAATCTGGATCCGCCCCAGGGCCGCTGGTGCTAACTCAAGCTGAAGGCCCTGACGAGGACTCTCTCATCCCTCGACTCCGGCACTTGGTCAATGATCTCGCAGATTACCCCACCAAGATCCAGAATCACGAACACCGTCTGGACCTTTTGGAGAATACCTCCTTCTCCCATGCCGCTATCGACGATCTGCAGGACGCGGATGACCGCCTCGACAATCGGGTCTGTGAAGTCGAGGAAAGGCTTCGCGATGTCGAGAAAGCTCAAGCTGCACTTAATGACGCTAGTAGCGTGAGTAGTCGACAGCTTGTCAATGCTTCATTTGACTCCAGAGCTTCTGTCACTTCTACCGCCTTGATCGCTTCAGCGATGGACCGTCTTGACTCTTCTCGTGTCGAGGCACTTGAAGCTCAAGTTGCCGAACTCCAAGCTGCTGCTCTACCATCTCATGCCCACCCTTGGGAAGTTGAGGTTGTTTTCCTGCCGTTTGGATCACGCCTCATGGGTATTTGGTCTGGGCAGCAGTCTATGAGTCAACGGTCAAGGCTCAACAGCACGCAGACAGATGAGTGGACGCAGACACAGAATAACTCAATGGCTGCTGCTCAGGCTTGTCTCACTGCTCATGATCAGGCTTCCGCGTGGGAAAGATCCGCTACAGATCTTGCTGATCATGATACATCTTGGCTGATGGCCAGAGCATGTGGACTTCGGAGTAGGGTCGACGAACGACTTCGAAGTAGGGGTCTTGTCAGGTTGATCAGAATTCTAGGCGCTGATGCAAGGGATGTCCAATCTGCGATGCTGAAAGCTTTCGGAGATCTGCCCGATGTCCTCACTGAGGACCCATACACTCAACACGATGATGAGAACACTAGTATGGTACCGTCAACCCTCAAAAACTATCTCGGCCTGTCAGCACCTTGGATTCCTCTACGAAAAGTTCACAAGGACTCATGTCTTCGCTACTTGACTCCTGCTGAGATGGTCACGCCTGCTCTTTGGACGGTCCCATTCTTATCCGCCAGTGTTGCTATGCGACACTCCGGAGTTCGTCGACTCTATGTCACTCAACGAGACAGCTATATCCAACAGCTTGGCTACAACAATGCCGACTGGACCTGGCAGAAACTCCGCCAACTTCCTAGAGTGTACCCAGACCAGTCCAGTTTCAATCACACTCCTGAAGCCGATGCTCACGAGCCTTGTTGGGAATTTGATGAACGACTCGATCCACCTCATGAGAGCATCCACTCCTCTTTCGCATCTCAGATCTCCTCTCTCAGCATCCGCTCTGTCGCTCATGACCACCAAGATGAACATTACAACCCGGCTTCACCATCTGATCATTTCTCCTCTGCAGCTGCATCGCCTAATGCTTCTACAACACCTACATCTATAGCGGCGCCACGTGCAGCACCCTTATCTCCACTCAAAGAACGGAATCCATTTAGACCAGTCCATACACGCACCACATCAATGCCACTCCCAACCACAGTCCCCACCAAATCCTCCCAGCACGCCGCGACCAGTCACGCCCCCACGGTCAAACGCCGCATCGCTTCGTTCGAGCACGAAACTCAGTCCTCGCCCTCTCGAGCCCCTTCTGCTCCGGTTTTCAACACCCATCCACCCCCCAACCTCAACCTGAACAACCTCAAACGCCGCCGCATCTCACGCTCTCCCTCACGTCCGCGCGACACACCCCGCTATTCCACTGGTCCGCCCAGTCCCTACGCATTCTTCGACGAAGTGAATACTAAGCGCGAGGAAGGCATGACTCCTTTCGCTTATGCAACGCCGTATAGTAACGCACCCTATGTAGAGCGTGCAAGGACAAGGAGTACGACCAGGAGTAGTATTGGGATCTACGAGGATGGGGATGGTGAAGATGATTTTGGCTTCGGTCTTGGTGCTGAAGGCGTCAAGGATAGAATGAGAAGGGATGAGGACGATGGGAGTACAACGGATGATTTTGGCTTCGGTCTCGGTGCTGAAGGCGTCAAGGATAGAATGAGAAGGGATGAGGACGATGGGAGTACAACGGATGATTTTGGCTTCGGTCTCGGTGCTGAAGGCGTCAAGGATAGAATGAGAAGGGATGAGGACGAGGGGAGTACAACGGATGATCTGAACGCTGATGATCATGAGCAGAATGACGAAGATGAGGAAGGAGATGGTGGCGAAGCGAATGCCCTCAGCGATTTCGACTCAGATTATGCTGGTGAGGGAGATGAAGGTGGTTTCGGACAACCAAGACAGGGCGATGATGAGTGGGAGGGTGTGCAGGATGATCTCGATTTCAATCATGAGTACACACATACCAACAGCTATGATCCCCGTCTTCTCCCTGCCGGCAAAGTCGTTCCTTCTGGTTCGAGACTTCGGCACGAGGGACATGAGACGGATGATGTTGATGACCAAGCGAGCGATGCCAGCAGTGTTCCTTCGGAGTACCCGAGTCGTCAGCCTGATGGCATGTTTGATTATGATCCCGGATCTGGGATAGGCTTTGGTTCAGGTGCTGGTGCTGGGAAACCGGGCTTCCGGATTCATGTTGATGAGGAAGCTGAGTAGGTTGTGTCCCGGTGCGGGAGGAGAGTTCAAGGAAGGGGAGTGTGTGTATATTTGGATACGATACCGTATGAAGAAGACGTGCTCCTTACGCATACGACTTGGCATACAGCTTGCTGCTTTCGATAATTGGGATTTTGGATTTAATTAGGAGTTGAAGCCAGAGTTACGGATTTGATACCAGCGTTGGCGTTTCTGAATATTGCCCTGCGAGTTTGATTTGTTTCCATTTTGACGCAATTTATTTCTCCTCTATTACATTCGAATTTTGCAGCATCTCTTTGTTATCTCTTCATCTAGCAGACTTTGTTGGGGCTTGGCTCATTTCGCTGTCATTTGCTGAGGGGCTAACGAGTGGGAGAAACGTAGACAGCCAAAAGATCATCAGATTGGACTTGCAACGAGCGCGGCGATGTTAGACTATTTCACGGAGTTTGTTTATCTATGAGCGGTCGAGCGAGAAAGAAAGAGATCACTCCGCTTCTTGTATTCTAGATAGGCTGTGCCACGATACAGGATGCAGGTATACGCACATATGGAGGGGTTGGAAGAACAGGAACAGACGGGAAGACGGAAGAGGGCATGGATATCAGCATCTCTATCTCCAATAAGAAATTATGTCAATGGTGGCTTCTTCTGTTTTACTTTTCTGTGTGTGTACTTGATCAAAGTGTGAGTGATGCTCTTCTTGCGCCGTCTTGTTGCGTGTTGTGGTGTGTCACAACATTGTTTCGGATCCGTCGATGTTGAGAACTCAAGTCAGGAGCTCAAATTTGATGTTTTGCTCATTGTGCTTTAAATCCGTGCCAGACTCCAACTCTTTGTCGTGAACTTTCGAAGACGCAGCCTCTCATGATATCAACTAAATAGAACACTTCTGAGTCATTTCTCTCTCATACACTGTTTTTCTTGTATCTTCTGAAAAAAGAAAGAGTGTGGACACTTTCTTTTTGCTGAAGAACAGGGAATCAGGTATTTGTGCCGTTGGTTCCGCACGGCGGCGGAAACTTGCTTGCGATGGCGGCATTTATCGATGCTGAGTGACAGCCGGGACAAAGACAGAGCTATCTATCTGTCAGCCCCTCCTTACTTATTGCCTACAAACGACATTGTTTCGTGCGAGCTGGTTTACCTTCTCAGCCCCTGTCAAGTTACTTGCACTGTTCTCGTATCTGAAGCATTGTTAGCAAATACAGTGTTTATTTGGGAGACTAGAAGGAGATCATGGCTGCGAGAGGGTCCGAGTCACACCTACGTTACACAATTGATCAGATCCTCTCTCGTCCCTCTCATAGCATTCTGAGATATGCACAAATTTGAGTTGATCACATCCAGACAAGCGTACACGCCTTTTGGACATCCATCCACAACCGTCTGTGCAGCGATACCTACGAGTACGGCATACAGCGCGAGCGGGGTGTTGATTCGCATTTTTGAAATGTAGGTTGAGCTCGTGTTGATGAAAATCAAAGCTGATGGTTAGAAGTTCACGAGATTTCGTATCTATATGTTCGATCGGCTGCCACTGTAATTTTTTTCCATCCGAGATATCCATAATCGATATTTGGCAATTTTGAAATAACCCACCGTCGGTAGCATGAACCAGGCGTGCTGTCATTGTCTGCTTCGATACTTGGCACTCGGCAATTGACATACTTCGCAATATAGCCATTCTGGGAGGCATTTACTTGATGACTATTCTGCAGGTCTTAGAACTCAAAGACTCTTTGGGAGCCCTGCAACCCCAAAAATGAATCGTTGAGGATGACGTCTACGATGCTTAGTGCTTCTTCGACAGTGGGGTTGAAATTCATCTCTGTACAGAAATTGATAAATCATCTGAATTTGAAATGCAATGATCAGCACTCTATCATGCTCCAGTGCAACTCAAGCTCCTTGTATCGTTGAACAGCCTGTTTGTTGAACTTCGGCAGTTGCAGCCCACATATTAAGCGAACGACGAGCAGATCATGTTGTTTGGCTTGAACCGGGTGTGCAGCCTAAACAACAGAAACGGCCACAAAGCAGTAATCGGGTACTTTACACCAATCGGGACTGAGAAATGATCTTTTTTCCTAGACCCGGCGTGTTTCTTTCTATGGCCGTCAAGGTTGCGCATACCCAATGCCGAGATTGCATCCGATTAACCTCTATCAAGTAAACAAGTCCAAACAGGAAGAATACACATCGGAATCAATCATCCGCAGTCATCAGTCCGCAGTAATCACTGTCAAATTTCGACAGTTAACTCTCAGTAAGTTATTGGAAGTCACAAACGTCGCAAGAGACTATGCTCTGGGAGTTGATGTAGAATCCACATTTTCAGATCGCTTCTGTGCTCAAACTCCCTCAATAGTGCGGCGAAGATCAAAGACACTATGCAGTGGCCATATCTCTTCGTTCTGGTTCTTACCAGTCCGAGTATCGCATTGATTCGATTTCAGTGCTCCCAACTCGTCACACAAAGACTCGATCCTCTGGTCAGCCCGGGACAAATTCCATCCCCACATGTCCATCAAATCGTCGGAGGCGTACGTCCAGCTTCCCATTAAAATCAATCATCGAGTATCACTAAAATCGACAGAACTCATTCAACGCAACGATGGATTATGCAAAGGATATGCCTGGCGAATCCTCATGCACCACATGCCAAATGAGTGAAGACTTCTCCAACTATTGGACGGCTATTTTGTACTTCAAAGCGAGAAATGGGACGTATAAGCGCGTCCATCAACTTGCCAATGCTGGGTTCGAAGGTGCTGCTGGTGGAGGCATGACTGTGTATTATATGCAGGACCCGCTCTACGATACGGCTCAGAAATCAAAGGTTCAGGCTTTCCAACCTGTTAGTATTTCAACCTCCCTCATTCGACACAATCATGACTGAAGAGGTTGTCTAACAATATCTCCACAGGGCTTCCGCATGTTCATCGGCGACGTCCAAGCCCATAGTCTCGCCGACGCAGCACGTTTTCGCCAACTCACATACACCTGCCTCGACACGATGGCGTCCCGGGAACACGAATCCCTCGCCTTCCCCAACCGTATCTGCGCAGCTGGCATCATGGCATCCCTCCGCTTCCCAACCTGCTGGGACGGAAAAAACCTCGATAGTCCAGACCACATGTCACACATGTCCTACCCCGAGACAGGAACTTTTGAGAGTGCCGGACCCTGTCCTGCGAGCCATCCTGTGAGGACTTCGCAGGTGATGTTTGAGGTTATTTGGGATACGAAACCGTTCAATGATAAGTCTATTTGGCCTGAGGATGGCAGTCAGCCGTTTGTGGTGTGTATTTCCCTGTCGAGAAATGTCATCGTACTAAAAATCTGGCAGTGGTCATTCGGTGACAGGACAGGGTATGCAAATCACGCCGATTACGTGTTTGGTTGGAAAGACGATTCGTTGCAGAAGATTCTTGACACCCCTTGTTATGTCAACTGCAATACTGCGAAGACTCAATCGATTGCCGACTTGAACAGATGCTCCCAGAATGTGGTAGTGGAGGAGGATATTGATGGATGTAAGTACTCCAACCCCAAACTGTCGTCGGCGTGACGGGATGGCGTTAACAACCAGACAACATGACAGGGTTGACCGAGCTTCCTGGCGGCCACAAAGTAATGTAGAATGTGTCAAGAGAGTTTACAGACTTTTGGTCGATTCCTTGTTTGAGAAAATTACTTCGGTGTTGCACCCATGTCAGCTTTGCTGTCGCATTGAAAATGCCATGTGAGACGTCGATATATGAGAGACGAGCTCATCTACCGTTAGTCAAATTGACCGATCTAAATTTATGGAGATGAGACTGCTCTCATTTTTTAATTTTTCGTACTTGAAGTACAATAATAGAGGAAAGTATCTCGAAGTGACCAAACTCCTCATCTTGCCACAAGTGCCTCTACTGGTTAAGCTAAGTAGCATTACATCTACGACAAACCTAAACTCTGCTCATGGTGGATTTTACCAATTCAGCAACAGCATCTGGTTCTGTTAGATGCGGATTGTGTCCACTGTTCTCCGGTCCTTGAACAACTTTGTGGTTGGTAGATAGTTTCGTTGCTTCACTCTGGAGTCTGAAATCTATTTCTCCAAAATTCGCAGCCCACCTCTTAAAATATGCCACCTCGTCCGGGGTCCCAAAGCCTCGAGAAACTGCAGTGTCATACATCATGCTAAGGTCTCTTCCGTTGGTGCCCACGAGTATGCTAACAGGCTTGGCTCCTAAGAGAGGTTCCTGTCTGTCAAGGGGATGATTCGCTGCCAACAATGGAAAGCTGAGCGCATACTCGGCATTTTCTGCCTTGGCTTGTGCTTTATGCCCGTCTCCATTCTCGTCTTGCAGATATTCAGTCCACTCGACGGGAAGCATTCGATGACGACTCTCAATTCTCAGCGTCTTAGGGTAATCGATATCAAAAAGGTTGACCCATTCAACAAACACCCGCCAATCCAGAATTTTCAGAGTATGTTCATTATTGGCTTCCACGAGGACTAGACCAGAGAAATTGCCGGGCGGAGAAGTTGCAATAAACTGCTGGGCCAAGACTCCACCCCAAGAATGTGCGATGATGAGAAAAGGAGGTTTGATGTGGGTCACCTCCAAGAGTTTCTTCAAATCTCGGAGGATATTGCACATGTTTGGACGTCGTTGTGATGGCTCGCTTTTCCCAAGTCCAGCTCTGTCGTAGATGACGACTCGCATGTGAGGACGGAGGAGACGTACGACCGCTGCCCAGGATGATGCACAACAGCCCAAACCCGGGATGATGAGCACGATTGTTTGGTTGGGTATCCGATCGGGGCCGCAAACTTGAAGGTAGAGACGAGTTGTGCCGATATCAACGAGGCCGTTCTTGTCACCGGTATTCCAGTCGGTCTGTTGTGCCATGTTTGGGTATGATTGGAGGTACAAATATGCTCTGATGAATTGTTTTGAGATGGATTGTATTGAATCGTCACTTTGTAGACCGAAGTCCTAATAGCACAGGAAGTGTTGAAGGTTAGAGAAGGAGGTTGATCGTGGAGGTCGTTCCTGCATTCGGCTCGGTAAGGCTGACCGACCTATGGGGAAATGTAAGCGACGATCCTGTGAGGACAGGACAGAGACGGGAAATAGAATATGACTTTTCAGATAGTGCGGGGGGGGGGGGGGGGGGGGGGGGTATAATTACGTTGTTAGAGAAGCGGGACGCGGCTCTGATCTCTTCTTTGCCATATTCCAAAGTATCTGGCGACACGTCTCGCCTTGTATTCTGAATATCCCTGTGTTGGTCTGGTTATCATTCATTGACAAGCAACGGCTTGTCCAATTGCATTGCAACGAGGAAATTTAAGTCTTCTGACTTCTGTAGAGGAGGAATGCGTTTGTTCTTGAAGTATAGAAATCTATCATCAAATCCGTTCATTTCAGCTCCATCGCAAGCCCAGCACGAAAACAACTATACCCCACCAATATAAGCCTAGTGTTGAAAGAAGCAATATCTCACACAAGTACGATCTCCCTCCTGTCGACATGATGAAAGTAGTCCAAGTCCCGCACCAAGCCTAAACCAATTCTCCTGAACTTCCCATCCCCCAAACCACTCTTGACAACTGCCAAACACGTAATGCTCCATCGAAATCCGTGCATTTCACCTCTATCCTCACTCGAAATGATGGGCAACAACTCTATAATCGCTCCACCCATCTCCCCATCCCTCAGCCCAACCAAGCTCTTCTCCTCATCCAGAACCAGTTTCCCGATCTTCACAAACGGCGCAGGGTCTTCACCGGGAGGCGTCTCTCGGAGAAGTTCAGGGGTTATGTCGTACAAATATGGATCGTCTTGTCCGATAACGAATACGGAGAGTAACATGCCCTCGACGCAAAGCTCTGCATTTGAAATATTTCCGTATGGATTCAAAGTGCTGGGTGTCCATTGTGTCTTGGCCAGAATCAACTTAATCCAATCTCCGCCCCAGTCTGCCCAGAAATGCATCCCCCATGATACGGGCGTCTCATGCATACTAGCCCAGCTCCATGTTGGCGCTCTGTACAGCTCTGGAGGCCGAGTTCTGCGGTTCTTAGGTGGGTTACCGAGTGCTCGCCTTTCGTAGAGGTGGACGTGCTTCCGGGAGTGGAAATGTGCCATGCTTGTTGACCAGACTAGCTGTCTCGCGAGATCGTATAGCCAGATGCCTGCGACGTACTTTTCTTGCGAGAAGCGATCTGATAATACCTCCTTCGTGGCTTCGGCCAGACCACTTAGAGCAGGTAGTCTATCGGCGGGATGAGTGATTTGGCGGAGGAGATAAAGCTCGACAGCCTCGCACCATTCCTGATAGATATTCGCCCGCTTCGATATGAACTGTGTCCTTAATAACTTCTCGTCATATGTTGGATTGCGCGCTTTGAAGTCTTCCTTCTCTTTTCGAAGGACGGACGGCATGCGAGAGTAACGCTCCCCTAGCTTTATGGCATATTTCAGGTAATCAGGACGTAAATTATCATCTATACCTGCCGGATCCTGCGATGTGACCATGCTGTACGAGCACTCCCACGTCATGCCCGTTTCTGTGAAGGCTAGAGTGGCGTGTGAGAGCTTCTCTTCTTGGAGAACCCATGCTCGGTCATACAAGGGTCCTTTGAGGTCGTTCTTCAGAAATCCCACATCTGTTGGTTCGGGATCTCGGGTGAGGTGGATATGAATTTGATTCCCTCCTTTGGTGACGAAGTCGTATTGTGGCAGTAAGCATGGAGTATGTAGGACGGGCGTCTCTGATGTAAACAAGCCATCTTTACCACTAGATGCACGAGATGCGGCAATCGTAAAAAGTGCATTCTTGTAAACTGCACACATCTTGGCTGACTCTGGAGTTAGACAATAGTATTAGCTTGATTCTAAATTCATATGGGAGTGACACACCTTTTGCCCAGTCTTCTGCCGAGTCTTGTATGATACATAGGGAATCGATCCAAATGTATCGCATTCCGAACTGTCTCGTGACATTGACCGCATCTTGGAAGGTTTTTGGTAGGCTTTCCATGGGAATCCCCCGGCAGTTCTGGCTATGATTGCTGGTCGTGGTGGTGACTATCTGGTACGGTCCCCAGCAATGGCTAAGTGTCAAGTATCTGGCGCGCACATGTGGTGTGCAAAGGCGGGGGCTTCTAGATCCATCAGGCGGACCAACGTCGATGACTCGAGTTGGCATAGGCGGAATGTTAAACTGAAGGCAAAGTGGATGATTTTTCCAACATGCTGCCATCCATGTCTTTGCAAGACGTAGATTGTGCAGCACTGAGGAAGAAGAATTGGCGTTGTCTTGAAGGATCCGCGTCATAGGATCTGGTCCCACTTGTCAACACTCTGGCATGCTGTAGTACTTGGAAGGACTGACTTGTGATTTGCAAAAACCGCAATTGAGCCCATCCATAGGGCTTCCCGGCATATTGGACACCCATATAGTTCCCGTTACCAGGAAACCAATCCGCATGCCACGCAACTTCTTTCATTCCGAGGGAATCGTCAAGGATAATCGGATCCCGGACTTGCATCTGAACCGCGGAGAACTGTTGATTTGCAAAGCAGTTGTTCCAAATCAATGTACAGCAATGGCAACCACTTTGGGACGATTTGGAAAGAGCTTCTAGGCTCGGCTGATGAATATAGAATACCATCCTGTCAAATGCCCAATCAGTCTTCTCCGGATAAGCTCTTCTTGCCATTTGATATTCATCCTCGGATAGTCCGGATGTTGGCAGGAAATAAATAGACCGGCAAATATCGCATAAAGTAGCTGGGAGCAATGGTTCGTTGAAGACCGGATCGCCTTCTTTGAAGTACGGTGGATCGGTGAGGTCAGGGTTCCTGTGGACGAGCTCGGATTTCTTACTCGATTCTCGTAAAAACTCTTGAAGGGGACTCAGAGTGAGACCCGAAAGCGATGTGTTGAGTTCCATATTGCACTCACATCTTTTGCATGTCGAGAATACACGTGCGGACGCAGATGTTGAGGTGGCAGCTGATAGACCCCTGTCAGTAATTGAGCCTCAACCAGATTTTGGTAGAAGATATGTTTGTAATGTTTCATTGGCATCGGCTTTAAGATCAGGAAGATAAAACAAGATTCGGAATGCGTAAAGATAAGGGTGCCGAGATCTTTCTCGTGAAGCCATTTACTTACGTGGGCCACAAGACGACTAGTCCCCGAGTACCCAATCCGGTACTCGTGCGAAAGTGGAATGGGGCTCCGAAGATAAGCACAAATACAGATGGAATATGTACATTTGGATTATCAACGCTCGTCTACAAGTCCTTGCGGAAGACCTCTGTTGACCACGGCTCGCTCGTCAGATTTGTCAATCCCGCCAGATTCTCGCAAGTCTTCCTTCCACTCATTGGACCAGGAGCTGGAATCTTGACACCACCCTTATTGTATATCCTCCCAGAGTCTTTTCCAACATCCGCTCCGCTCTTAACATTCTTGTCCTCCCCGGTCAATGCGCCCTTGCCAGCCTCAACATCTGGGCTGGATGCAGTTGTCTCTACCGACTTCGCACTTTCTTGTAGAGCAGTCAAAAGCGCAACTGTGCTTTCCGGGGTCAAATCTTCGTAGAAATCGTCGTTGATTTGGACCATAGGTGCGTTAACGCAGGCGCCGAGGCATTCGACTTCGACGAACGTAAAAAGCCCGTCCTTGGTTGTCTGTCCAGCCTTAATACCAAGGTGCTCGGAAATCGTCTTGACGATCACGTCACTGCCGCAGCCTCCAAGTTGGCAGGGTGTCTACATGTTCAGCATCAGCCATCAGAATTGGCACCAGTCTCTTCATCCCTACTTACTGTTGTACATGCCTGTACGTGCCACTTTCCAACGGGATCCCGGTTGTACATGGTATAGAATGTAGCGACTTCGTAGACTCGCATTGGTGGCATTTCCAGTAAGCGTGCAACCTCGTTCATGACACTCAAGCTACAGAACCCATGCTGTCTCTGTCCGAGGTCGAGAAGGGGCATGACAGCAGCCTTCTTGTATTGTGGAGGGTATCTCTTTAGGATCTCATCGACGAGCTTGTTGTTCTGTTCGGTGAATTTGAAAGGAATGCTAGCATTGTTCACGGGGGTATCTCGGTGCTAGAGTCAGATCCATTAGTCTATGCAAGCTCGATTGGAGCTTCAAGAAGACGTACAACGTGAAGGGCATCACTCGCAACTCTTGAGCTAGCCGTGAAAGAGCGGCATTGCGTCCGTGTAGCTATGCGGGCAGGTCGGGCGACAGTGCGGAATATGAAGGGGGCGAGTTTGGATGCCATTGTCGCTGTGAGGTGGCGCAATGGCTGTTGTGATGTTTGAGGTTATTCAGATATGAAGTTCGCAATGATTGATGCATTTCAAATGGTTCGTTCTGATTGGTGATTCAGCCATGCTTAGTCAGCTACTTTCAGCTCGGCATTCGGATGTGCCAAGAATCCAGAGCTCAACAGCAACAAATCAACACCGAGCACCAAAAGCCATATCCGATAGCCTATGGGGATTCAGGAGATACTGGAGAGCCTCATCTCTGTGTATATTATATGGGGGTGTCCTCCTTCGGGCATTGAAGGTGTCCACCGAGCAGTTTCACTTGCTCAGGTTTGACTCTGCTTATTCATGGTTGTGCATTGTTAGCACGGCAATCTTTGCTTACCATTAGCATTCCAAGCATGAGAAACCATTTCAAATTGATTTACAGTCCTTTTACTTTGTTTGTTCGTGTACAAATTCTCCCTTGCATGTATCACCAATCTTCAGATTTTTGCATACCCAGAATGGAGGATCTCATATCAGACTCGCAAGGCAGGCTCATCCCATCCCAAGCAACTCAATTTCCTGGATCTTTTGCACCCGACCTTCGTCGTGACAGCAGAAAGTACGTCAAGTCGGCCAGATGGGAGAAAGTTCTGTTCCAATACTTGACCGATGGATGGGATGACATCAACATATGGAAGTCGGCTGTAAGTGAACTTCCTAGGTGTTGACAGCCAGCACCGTTACTGGTACTGCTGACAACGTTAACTCTGCTCCCAGTTCATTGAATTTATTGGCGAAACGGCGCTTTGTTATTTGTCTGGGATGATCGATACAGTGATCGGTAACTTCCACACAAGCCAACCTGCGGCATATGTCGGCGTTACAAACATCTTCTTGATCAGTCTGTTCATTTATGCCATGGCTCCATCATCTGGAGGGCATGTGAATCCAATTATTACGTTTGCAACAATGACAGCGGGACTTACTGGTTTCTCTCGAGGAATCCTCTATCTGATCGCCCAGACGGCTGGAGCAGCAACTGCTGGTGCTCTAATCAGAGGAAGCTTTGGTGGCAAGCTTGCAACAGCGTAAGGCGCTCCAGATCCACAGCATTTCTGGGTTAACTTTCAGATCAGATATCAGGGAGGCGGGTGTCTGCTCGACACAACAGTGCTTGAAGTTGGTCAAGCATACCTTATCGAGTCAATGACAACATTCATAATGCTGTAAGTTCTTCAGATGAGAGAGAGGTCCAGACTGATAGTGCTCAGATTCCTTGCATTCGGAGTAGGTCTTGATCCCAGATGTGGCCAAACGTTTGGTCCAAAGATGGGACCTCTCCTTGTGGGATGCGTGCTTGGCTTGACGGCATTCTCGACGGTTGGAATTGCAGAGGGATTTCCTGGAGCGAACATGAATCCTGCTCGTTGCTTCGCTTTTGCTGTTGCTAGGAAAGACTTTCATCGTATGTAGTCGACGTCCAAGTTCTTGCCGTGTTACTTACTGTCCGCCTTTAGATCAATGGGTTTGGTGGGTTGGACCTGTTACCGGGACGATGGCCCACACAATTGTGTATCATATTGCACCTCCATATCACCGCGAAAAGGCTCTTGAGCAGGCTGCTTCGAAGGTCCAAAACTCGGCAGGAAAGGTGTAAGGGTGGCAAAAGCGCCTTTGTTCCGGTCTCTCGCGATAGGTACTGCGAAAAAGTCACACTGCAGCTCAGTAACTGGAGTGTGGACATTTGGATAGAGGGAAACGCGATCGTAGGTGGCGAGCCGGTCATCCTCGACTTGCACGCGTGAAAGACGAAGAGAGTAGTGCAGCTGTGGTGAAGCCTCTAAACCAATCACGGCACATTGTGCAGAATGCCACTACGATTCAGGTGCCGTACGACGATTCAGGTGCCGGCAAGCTAAGTATGCAGATACAGGGAAGCTTAAAGAGAAGTTGGTCGAAGGAACACAAGAAGATATTCCCAGAATGCACTGTATAGACATATTCGCCAACTGTGGTGCTCAACATATTATTCATTCCAGTGTCATGAAGGCCGTTTGGGACATGAAAGTTGGACTTCAGGGACGAAACGAAGGATCCCAAAAATCGTCTGACTTGACAATTCAGGCAGAACGAGGTTTTTGAAAATATTTGGCAGCTGCGCCAGCGATGGTTATTAGGAAATATCACGATCTCCTTGCTGCCAGCCTGGTGTTCACAAAATCTTGGTTCGGAATCCCTGCCATAGTTCAAGCCGGCTATCCGTTTCGACGTCAGAATCCCAACGAAGCCAAGTCATGCGCAACAGAGTTTAATCAACAAACAGCTTGACGCGGACAAGATCTCCGAATCAAAGTATTTGAAAAGAGGGGGGATTTAGTCCAGACCCTCCCTCTCCACCTCAAATCTGGGCGATCAGCCACACGTCGTCAGCCACGACAGCGGTTAAGCCGCCGCTAACCTTGGCAGGCGAATCCTTCTTCCAACAACATTCCAAGAATTCCACCCAAACATGAATCCAACGTCCAACCAAGCCCTTGCATTTCCTCCCGCAAATCTTATTTCACGCAACACGGTGAGCTGTCTTTTCTGAAGTATGGATCACCAGTTCTGAGAATTATCGTCGATTCGCAGTCCTTGTAGCTTTTCAGCCTTTCTCGCCAAGTCATGCCCTGACATGCAAGTGGATGGGCAGAGATCAGGTGCTCCCTCCTCACGATTTTAATTGTCCAACGGTAACTCACGACATCCAATAATATTCCACATCAGCTTGCTTTTCGCAACCTAACCCGTCACATCACACCGCATTTCACTGTCCGCTTGCTTGCTTGCATTTGCTTCGCTTTGTTGTGCTGTCCATGTCCTCCCAAGCAAGGTTCCGATGACGAAGGTAGCGCCTTTGTTGTTTTTTAATAGGACGTTGTGGACAAGGATTTATGTTTCAGATATGGCGACGCCACAGTTAAAGAAAGAGCGCGCGCCACAGAATCAAGGAAGGAGGCTCTTGTCGACCAGTCTGGGGGCCTGTGTATGACTTCACTGGGTTGGCGCCCGGGGCGCCTGGTGGTGTGGTACTGTAATCTTCCCCGGATTCCATTTGCTTGGGTAGACGGGTGTTGTGAGCCTGGGGTGGTGAAAGCGGCCTCGTGGCTTTGAGTCAGGCAAGGCAGGGCTGAATCGCAGGACAAAACGGTGAGCCAATCTCAAAGCCTTGGATTGGAGCTGGGCAATGTCTTGTGTGTGGAAATGATCTTGTTGCTTAGGCTGCGTCACGCAAAGAGAGAAATGTTGCATCATAGTTTGTTCGGCTGCTGGCCTTGTTGTAGACCACTTGGTTCCATGACATGTACCTTTCTACAAGTACCAACCTTTGCCCTCTGATTCGCCCTCTCAGTGATCCAAGCCATACAAACACTCTCCCATACCAAAGCATCCCAAACAACAACTCGCCTAACCCGCAACAATGGTCTTGTCAAACGTCCTCTCCCTCTGCCTTCGCATTGGCGAGGTAAGCATTCCCCCAATTTACCCTCTCAATCCAAACACCAACTAACTTCTCACCCAACAGCTGGCATTCTCAGCCGTCGTCGCCGGCCTCAACGGTGAATACCTCCACAACACCCGCCACTCCTCCGCCGGATCCCGCAAGCGCTTCATCTACGTGGAAGTCATCGCAGCCCTCGGCATTCTCTTCAGCCTACTCTTCCTCCTCCCCTTCGCCACATCCTTCCTTCACTGGCCAGTCGATCTTCTCCTGTTCATCGGCTTTATGGTTGCGTTTGGCTTGCTGGCCCACTATGATAAACAGTGCGGTAGCGTGTGGAATTGGCGTGGGATCACAAATGGAGGCGCTTGTGATAAGTTTAAGGCTACCATTGCTTTCTTGTTCTTGGCATCTATCTTCTTCTTGGCCAGTGCGATTCTGGGATGGTGGGTTAGCCGGAAACGGACGAAGACGGCGCATGTGGATGCTGCCCACCACGGGAGACGCAAGTGGTATCGTCGCTATTAGATGCCTGGCATCTATTTACGGCTCCAGGATACTGGAATCGAAGATGTTTGGAGGAGTTTGGACGGACTTAAAGTTGTGAGGTGGAGTTGAAACGTTGGTATGGGTGATGGCTGGGAGAGGAGGGAGTTTGAGATGAGATACCCGACGAGTTTGAATAAGCGCTTCCCTTTTACGATTGTCATGACGGAGTCCTCTATTTTGTTCTACTCACCAGATTTAATACCATTTATGTATGATGAGCAAAGCTAGGAGTCTAGTTAACACCAATGATAATAATGACGAAGCTTCTTTCTATCTCGCTTCGACATCAAAACATCGCTTATCTGAAGCAAAAGTAATAAAATTTTCTCCTTGCGAATGTTAAACGGGTGGAACGGAAACTCAATATTTTCTTATTCATTCAGAACATGGTCCGGCCTCCATAGTCCTGTGGTTACCCAACACAACCAACGTGGATTAATGCAGAAGCATGTTGTCTTTCAATGATCGTTGAATTTCCATTTTGCTGGGGTCTGCTCGCCAATGTGGGTCATCTCATAACCCGTAGAACATCTACTCCTGGTTTGGCTTCGCGCCCTGCTCACATAACATCAAGAAGCAAGATGTAAGCCAAGAAACGCTCTAAATTGGTAGAGAAGTCACCATCTACTCTAATGGTACATATATCACAATTCATCCTTCCCATTCTGGGAAACGGGTCCATGCGGCCTCTCACTATCAGCCTGCAGATCTACGCCATTCTTCTTCCTCCACTTCTCCCACAATGCCCAGAAATCCTTCTCCATGCCCTTTTCCATCTGATCTGGTAATATGACTTGATATTCGACAATCAGGTCGCCGAATTCTGTTGTGTGGTACACGCTGTCGCCGTCCTCGTGCCATTTTGGCATTCCTTCGCCCTTTACACGCTCGATTTGTCCGGGTTGGATGGGCTCCCCACGTTTGCGGGAGAGCGCTACGACATGTCCGTCGAGATGGGTCAGGTTGCGCGTCCAGTGTCCCATCCATGCCTCTCTGAGCGAAAGGACTTCTCTCCAGTATAAATCATCGCCCTTGCGTCTAAAGAATGTTCCGTCGACTCGCAACTCGTTATCCTCGTCCAAGTTCGCCTCCTTCTCAACGAGCGTCACGCGCAAGTCGCCCGCCACATAATCCGGGCTCTCATCTGCCTCGTTCTCATAGTTGATCCGGTGTCCCTTTGGGGCTCCCTTGTCAACTACCAATGGATGTGTGACAACCTTCCGTACAACCCTGTGGCCACTGCAAACTGGACATTTATGCTTGATCGTCTTGCCCTGTCCTCCACAAGCATCGCAAGAAACTTGCACCTGTTGGAAGATTCCTGGCGCAAGCATGTGCTTCTTGATCTGCACACCATGACCATGGCACACATTGCAAGTATCGACCTGTCCATCTTCACTTCCGGTCCCATCGCACTCGTCGCAGATCTGCTGCTTCTCTAATTGGAACTCGGTTGTATGGCCATTATAGAAATCTTTCAAAGGAACTCCGACTCTGACTTCCATGTCTGGGCCTCGTCTCTGCCCTTGCTGGTGTCCAAAGTGTCCACCTCCACCGAAGAACCTCGAGAACATGTCGAATGGATCATGGTGGCCGCCTCCTTGGCCCTGCTGCCGTTGTTTCAGGCCTTCATGTCCATATTGATCGTAGACTTTGCGGGATTCGGGGTCGGAGAGAGCTTCGTAGGCTTCCGCGACTTCGACGAATTTCTGCTTCGCGCTCTCATTTCCACTGTTCGTGGTGTTAGTGAGGGTTGCAATGGTATAGCCTGAGTAGCCTGATGTAAAGGAAGTTGTACGGATTCTTATCGGGGTGGTATTTCTTGCTCAGCACTCGGTATGCACGCTTGATATCTTTGTCAGAGGCGTGCTTATCAATCCCAAGAAGCTGCAAGTAGTTAGCATTGCACTATTGGAATTTCAAGTTACAATCGACGGTATATTTTTCTTACCTTGTAAAAGTCCTCCGTGCAGACAGCTACTTGTATTATGCAGAATATGCATAGCAGCAAGAGGGAGGTTGAAGGGAACCACATCTTTGCGCCTCCTTGCGCCTGCTCCTAAAAAAGCCTAGAGCTTCAACAAATTGCAATTGAAGAAACAGGTTCAAGCATCAGAAAGAACAGACAAACTCCTAGACCTGGGATTATGTGAAGTGAATGTGGAGGTGTCTCAACAATGGGTTCTGACAAAAGGTGCTGCACCGGAGCGGAATGGGCCAGATTTATTTGGCGGGCAGTTGGATACTGACACGCTGGTCTCTCCAGGGGATGGATTGACGGGAGGGCAGGGGTTTGGTGCTGCGGGCACGGAGTAACTTTGATCCATGGCAGCAGCCAAAGCTTAGCCTTTCGAGAAGGCAGAACAGCAACCTCGTGGATTTGATTATTTTCTTCACGCCATTCCTTCTTTTCTCTTTCCTCCCAGGTCTGTTATTCACCACCTCATCGACATACGGAGCTCGGCTAATCGTTCTATCAGGATTTGATAGCCATCTCATCCTTCCCAATCACCAAATATGAGCGGCAAAAAATACGCTCTTCTTCCTATGGAAGATGATGATCTGGGACCTACAAAAGTTGTAGAGAGAAAGAAGGAAAAGCGACGGCATGGCGAAAAATCCTCTCGAAGAGAAAAGAACCGAGATCGAAGCCGAGAAAGAGAGCGATCTCCCCGTCGAGAGAGACAACGATCCCCTCGGCGTGAGGACAACCACCGTTCAAAGACCATTCGCAAACGAGATGTGAACGAGGCCGAGTTCGAGGACCGATGGGGAGATGAGGAATATATCTCTGAGCCCGAACCAGAATTCCAGGAATCGGCTTCTAAGCGGGTGAAGACTTCACACGACGAGAATGAAGATGATGGGCTGGACGAAGATGAGAGAGAAAGGCGAAGAGATCAGGCAGAGAAGGATGCGTTTGTGCAGCGATTACATGCCAAAGACGCGGATAAGACGAAGAAGATTGTTGAGGATCGGTCATCTACGAAAGAAGGCACTATTCTGGCTCAGAGGAGAGCTTTGGCGGAAGATGCTGCTGCCAGAAGCGCAGCTATGCCGGATCTGCGAGAGAGGTCACGGCAGGACTACCTGAAGAAGCGCGAGACAGAACGACTAGCGCTTTTGCGGAAACAAGTTGCAGAGGAGACGGAGGAATTGAGAAGTGGCGCGAGGTTGACGGAGAGGGAGAAGGCAGAATTCGCGAAGAACAGAGAGGTCTTACGGATTGCAGAGGAGCGACTTCGGATCGATGATCATCTCGATGGATATGCGATGCCAGATGATTATATTACGGAGAAGGGGAAAATTGACAGGAAGAAGAAAGAAGAGGCTATGTACAAGCGGTATGTGGAGAGGGACGAATATGGCCAGGAGAAAATGGTTACTGAGCATGATGAATGGGAAAGAGAGCAAGCTTCGAAAGCCAAGGCTCAGATACAAAGTCGGGAACGTAATGACGATAACGAGTACGACTATGTTCTGGATGCTGAACAGGGTATTAAGTGGATCCAAGATGCGGCACTTCCAGGGGAGGGCAAAGGACTGAGCAAGGAAGAGAGGTTTCTCTCCGAACAGTTGAAGGCTGCGGAGACGAAGGCATTATCAATGGAAGAGACCCGGAAAAGCTTGCCCATTTACGCATACCGAGAGCAATTTCTAGCCGCGTTAGAGGAGCATCAGATTTTGGTTATTGTTGGAGAGACAGGAAGTGGAAAGACTACCCAACTGCCGCAATACTTACACGAAGCTGGATACACAAAAGATGGCCTCAAAGTAGGGTGCACCCAGCCCCGACGAGTGGCCGCTATGAGTGTTGCAGCACGTGTTGCAGACGAAATGGGGGTGAAGGTAGGAAATGAAGTTGGATACTCGATCCGATTCGAGGATTCCACGAGCGACAAGACCATCTTGAAGTACATGACGGATGGTATGTTATTGCGAGAGTTCATGACAGAGCCAGATCTAGGCGCATACTCGGCTCTGATGATTGACGAAGCCCACGAGAGAACTGTCCACACAGACATCCTTCTCACTCTCATCAAAGATCTCTCAAGAGCCAGACCAGAGATGAAGATTCTTATCTCGTCCGCAACGATGAATGCGACAAGGTTCAGCGAGTTCTTCGACGATGCACCAATTTTCAACATCCCAGGTCGACGATACCCCGTTGATATTCACTACACTCCGCAGCCCGAAGCCAATTACTTGGCCGCAGCTATTACCACAGTCTTTCAAATCCATACCTCGCAGGGCAAGGGTGATATCTTGGTTTTCTTAACAGGTCAAGATGAAATTGAGGCGGCGGAGCAAAATATCACAGAAATATCGAGGAAGCTAGGGAACCGAGCTGCGGAATTGATTGTGTGTCCTATCTATGCAAACTTACCATCGGAGTTACAGAGCAAGATCTTCGAGCCTACACCGAATGGCGCTCGCAAAGTCGTTCTAGCTACCAATATTGCCGAGACCAGTCTTACTATTGACGGCATTGTTTATGTTATCGATCCAGGGTTCGTCAAGGAGAACAACTACAATCCCGCAACTGGGATGTCTCAATTGGTGGCTGTACCATGTTCCCGTGCATCAGCGAACCAGAGAAGTGGTCGTGCTGGACGTGTCGGTCCTGGAAAATGTTTCCGACTGTACACAAAATGGGCTTTCATGAATGAGATGGAAGAAAGTACTACACCCGAAATCCAGAGAACTAATCTCAATGGAATCGTGTTGCTTCTGAAGTCCCTCGGTATCAATGATCTACTGGAGTTCGAATTTATGGATCCTCCACCAACGGAAACCTTGATCGGAGCACTGAATCAGCTTTTCGCTCTGCAAGCGCTCAACCACAATGGAGAGCTGACTTCACTTGGTCGCAAGATGGCCGAATTCCCCATGGATATCATGCTTGCAAAATCTGTTCTCGCAGCAGACAAGCTTGGTTGCGTCGAGGAAGTGCTATCTATTGTCTCTATGTTAAGCGAAGCAGCTGCACTGTTCTTCCGTCCCAAGGACAAGAAATTACACGCCGATAGTGCCCGAGCACGCTTCACAGTCAAGGAAGGAGGCGACCACCTCACTCTTTTGAACATTTGGAACCAATGGGTTGATAACGATTTCAGCCCCATCTGGGCCAAGGAGAACTTCCTGCAGCAAAGATCGCTTACCAGAGCTCGTGACATCAGAGATCAAATCGCTAAGCTTTGCGAGCGAGTTGAGGTTACCATGTCCAGCGTTGGAGCCGCCGAGCTAGTCCCGATCCAGAAAGCTATCACGGCGGGTTTCTTTCCCAATGCAGCACGCATCCAACGCGGTGGCGACAGCTACCGAACCGTCAAGAACAATACAACAGTGCACATCCATCCGTCATCTGTGCTGATGGACTCGAATCCGCCTATCAAGATGGTGCTGTATTACGAGTTGGTGCAGACCACAAAGGAGTATATGCGGAACTGTATGCCGATCAAGCCGGAGTGGCTTCATGAGGCGGCACCGCATTTCCACAAAAAGAAGGATCTTGATGCGTTGGAGGACAAGAAGATGCCGAAGAGTAGGATGTGACATGTGTTGATCTAGGTGTATATAGTAAACGGGATGGAATATCTCCGTGTACAAAGTGTGGCGGGATGTCCACCATCTATTCTTACACCAGCATTGATCCAATGAGTCAAGTGGCTTGTGAGACGGCTCATATCTTGTGTAAAGAGCAGGAGAGCGCATAATGGTTCTCGGCGATGCCTCGTCTGTTTATATGAAGCTTTCTCATCTGGCCGAGCCCAACCTTAATTCTGCCAACAGCAAACGTGAACTGCAGCAACTTTTTCCAACCTCACATCTCCGAAACAATTACACAAGTTCTGGTCTACCCATTAGTCAGTCCACGTCTCAAATCGGACATAGAGATGGATGTAATAAATATATGAGCGCGAAAAACGGGGAAACAGAGTTCCTACTGGAAAATAGATGACCTTTAGCTCGGATGAACCTCCCGCCGCGCTAGCACGTCTTCTTACTATAAATATGGCTTTCCCGCACATCCCCCAACTCGCTTCACTTCCCAACATCCCATCCCACCTTCACAACACACCACCTCAAATCCACTCCACTTATCAACAATGGCTCCTTCTCCCGAGCCCAACCCCGCCCTGACCCTTATCGACATCCTCTGGCACCTCATCGACCCTCTCCTCTTCATGGCTTACTCGGCCTCCTACCTCCCACTCACGATCATCTCACTCATCCGCACACAGCAATTTTCTACTTTTGCTTCCCCAGCTAAATTTAAAGATGCATGGTTTGCACGTTTTTGGGGAGAGGTTGGACCGCAGACTCGTGAGAATGCTCTTCCTAGAGCAGGGCCACTGATTGCTGAAGCGAGGGGTGTGGTATTGGACAGTGGGTTCTCTTGTTTATTTTTGTCTTTCCCCGTCGACATAAATTATAATACTCCTCTCTAGATTTGAGCAAATGAACCAGTACACGGAATTGTATGTCTTGCTAACACCCACAGTTGGTGCTGGCTACGGAGAGTGGGTGGGCTGCTTTGACAAGGAGAAGGTGACGAAGATCTATGGTGTCGAACCCAATGTGGACCAACATGCTAAGCTGAGAGAGAGGGTCAAGGAAGCGGAGTTGGGGGATGTGTATGTGATTGTGCCAATTGGAGTGGAGGACTTGGGTGAAGAATGGGTGAAGAGAGGGGAGGTGGATACTATCGTTACGATTCAGGTTCGTGAACCTTCATTTTTCCTTTCATGGGTACTGTTCTTTGGTTCTGATATTGACAATGCGGGGACAAAAGTCAATAATTGAGGCGAAGTGACGAGTGGGCTTGGCGATTGCATGGTGCTAATGCGAAATAGTGCCTTTGCAGTGTCAGTGAGCCGAAGAAAATGATTGGCGAATTATATGGGTATTTAAAAGAGGGTGGGTCTTGGATTCTATACGAGCATGTGGTTGTATTCCAATGGCAAGGTTGGTTTGTGAAATGGTGGCAAGGTTCGTCTTCGCTCTCATCGGGTTCTTTCCACGGGCCTGAGACTACAAGAATAATTTTCTAGAGGAATGGATGACTAACACCCTTCGCAGCAACAATCGACCTCGTTTGGCCACATTTTCTCGGCGGGTGCTCTATAACACGCGACTCGGGGAAGTGGTTGAAAGAGGCTGGGAGTTGGCAGAAAGTTGATCTGAAGCAGCCTTCTGATGAGCCCTTTTGTCATGTCATTCCCCATATCATAGGGACTCTCACCAAGTGAGTAGTATTTGTCTTGATGGTTACCAGAGAATGGTTTCTGGAGGCATTGTTGCCGCAACATTGGAGACTTATGATAATTTCGCTGGATGAATCGCCAAGAGACCCCTCGATTGGGTGAAGTTTGGGCTTTTGGCATGTCAGGAATATTAGTCAAGGTTTGGGGCAGCACCCAAATCCCTCAAGTGATCTTACACGAGGGATGCGAGATCATCTTGGCTATTTCCAGGCGAAAATCCTGCAGAATTGCCTTTATCAGAGCAATGTGGAATAAAGAAGTTTTATTATCACACTCCCGATCTCCATGTGTGACGATGATTACTTTTCGCACCATTTCACGCAATCGGCCTGAGATCATATCTCGCCACGATATCAATTCTCGATGCACTTTTCTGACACGACTACTCCTAAGAGAAGAGGTCCTTAGCTCACATTGAAATCTACTTCGTCAGAATCTAGAGCCTCTCGATTGTCGAATATCGAATTTCAAGGTATTCTCTTGCTTTCGGGGTTCTCGGTTTATGATTGGAGCGAGTCAGGAGGTGTTGACATTTGCTAAGCGAATACCCCATATCTTGCGGACGGGAGATCAATGTCGATGGGATCATGGCGGTATCGCCGACACTAAGGACGCCGATCGATACGCGCCTTAAAAGACTGTACGAGAGGATCCTGGCTCCCGCAACATAATAAAATCTTCCTTAATCAACAGTACCTAGAATAAGGGAGTCTGCCAAGCTGACTAAATGCTGACAATTCACATGATGACTTTGCTGTGCTGTGCCTCGGCTTACCACTTTACAACAATCTTACTTCATTCTCGATCGACACTTTTCAGAAGTACAACATTCACACTAGTAGACTCTATTTTGTCATTCCTGATGGAGTCGGTTCCCGAGCTCGATCGCCCATTGACCGCGATCTGGCGGGATGGCGAGCTCCGGCCCCGACGCGCTCATAAGAAATCACGAAAGGGCTGTAAGACCTGTAAAATTCGCAAAGTCAAAGTAAGCATCAAGTCGTCTCAATTGACCGTTTACAGTTACACTAAATTTCTCTTCACAGTGTGATGGTCGGTTGAGGTTTCTCCTTTTTTTTTTGAGATGAGCAGGCTAATCAAGAAGAGCCACTACGCGTAGATCCAAGCTGACTGAACCTAGAACAACAGCCAATATGCGGCGGATGCGCGCGAAGATTTCATGGTCGGAAGAGCTGCGATTATGAAGTATTTATTGAATCATCTGGGGGTTCGTTCCGATCATCTCCGCCAGCAGTTCATGCGGCCAGAGCTCATACAGAATTTAAGGTGCAGGGCAGCCTTACCATCCGTCCAACCAGATCCGCTTCGTCGGATCGGTTGAGAATCCTGGAATTAAGGCTCATGCATCACTATACAACATCTACCTGCGGGCAGCTGCCAGAGAGTAATTCGTCGAAAGGCAAACATATGTGGTCCATGGACATACCCCGCCTTGCATTTCAATCAGACCTTGTACTAAGTGCATTGCTCGGAATCTCTGCTCTGCATCAAGCGGCTCTCACACCTTCGGACGTCGAGGTATCTCGTGCTGCGGAAATGTACTTCGATAAATCTGTGACAAATCATAGACAGGCTTTGAGCACCGCCACCCAAGATTCTGCCGAGTTTTTGCTGGCCACTGCAATTTTAATATGCCATCACGCATGGCTGGCCGGACATACATCTGTCCCAGGTCGACAATATGAGATACCTTTGCAAACTTACTACATGGCTCGTGGTATCCAAGCACTGTTTGATCAGATGTGGCCGTGGTTGGCAGGTTCTGCATACCTATGGTACGTGGAGCGCATGCCTATCGAGGATTTTGAAACTCCAGCTTCGAACAGTAGCTTTTGGATAAGGGGTCAGGAGGATTTGGATCTCTTATCGAAGACCTTCGAGCACTCAGAAGTATCCAAGCGAGACAGATCCGTGTACAAGGCTACGGCGAGGGAATTAAGAGCGCTCTATCAGGCAATCGACGCCCAACCATCCCAACCAGGAATTCAGAGAAGAGTTGCGACGATGCCCCTTAAACTTCCAAAACGATTTCTCGACCTTGTCGAAATGAAGTATCCCCGAGCTTTGGTATTGCTGGCAAGAAATATTGCGTTGCTAAATATGATTCCTCACGTATGGTGGTTGCATGGAGTCAGGTCTTCTCAATCGGTTACTGACACCGCAATATCTGGTATTGCAGCTATGCTTCCAAGTGAATGGAAGTGGTCCATGGACTGGCCTTTGACAGTCATCTCTGGGGAATTCAGCCAATAGTGAGAAGATTTCATTGAGGCTTCTATCACGTTCAAGGATCTTTTCCACTTAGGCACGTTCCGAAGGAAAAGAGCTTGCCAGTCATACTCGTTTCACTGCCTCGATCAAACCCTCCGTTTCGGAATCGATCGTCCAGAACTTCACGATATCCAGCCCTACACAATTCAACAACTCTTTCCATTGAGTCTGGGTTCTCTCCATACCCGAAAGGAGAGCCAACATATTGATGTCCAGCAGTGCGGGGTACAAAGGTGTACCAACATCTGGCAAAATCCACTCAAAGATCAACAGCTTGGAGTATCCAGGCTTCATCGCTGCCACAATTTGAGTCAAGATCTTGCGGCAGACATCATCAGAGTAGTCGTGCAGAATTGAACGGAGATAGTAAGCTCTTGCGCCTGGATCACGAACTTGTTAGCAGACGAAACGACAAAGCCTAGATGCTCAGGCTCAGGCACAACCAACCTTCTACCGACTGCGGTGTGAAGAAATCATGCTTCATTCTCACGATATCTTCATGCAACTCTTTAATATCATCAATCACAGGCGGCAGATCTTGTAGTACTAAGGATCCTTTCGCTTCAGGGAACTGTTTTCGGAAAGCTTCAAGGTCATGACCACGACCGCCGCCGACATCGATGAGCAAAGTGCCATCCACATGGCTAGCGTTATACCCATCGAACAAAATACTGTCAACATCGGCGAAGTTGAACCACTCAATACGATTCATCCTTTGCCCCATCATCAAGTCGTTGAAATTAGACATCTGCTCTGGATGTTCCATAAGCCAAGGAAACATCTGCAAATCAGTGTTGAAAGCGCTCTGGAAATTTCCACTCGGTCCCTCAGGATTTTTGAATGATGTTTTGGCGAGGTATTGAGGCATGTGGACAACCGAAGTTGCTGCTTGGTCGAACATGAATTTAAATCCGCCTCCTACCGAAGGCACGGTGAGGATCTTGGTGATGGGTGTCGCGGCGTACTTCTCATATCCGGTTTCATCAACTATCTTCATCGTCGATAGAGGTCGAAGTATTCGAACTATTGCCCTTGTTAGATATCCTGATCTCAGCCAAGGTCGAAGCGAAGGCTTTACCGATCAATTGTTTGTCGCATCTGGTCAAGCTTGCCAACTCACTGGCTGTCTTGGTTCCCGAGACGATGAGCTCAATCAAACCCATCGCCATAGCTGCTCTGAGAGAAGCACTCTGGTGGGGCTGCAAGGTATCGAGTCAGCACGTAACTAACGCTGCTCAAAGATGTTTCTTGCCTCCATCATCATTCGCCAAATCACCTCCAGTGGAGACTCAAAAACAGCTACATACTGTCGAAGAACTCCTAGAATATTTTTGCGGTGCTCTTCATCCCGAGAGACGTCGTTGGAGAGTTTGCTTAGGATCGTCTTGAGCTTAGCAATGTCATCGAGTCTGGCCATGACTGTTTCGGGTTGGCGAAGAGGGTGAAGGGCAGTGCTAGTGACGAAAGGTTTTATGACTTTGGGACATTGGTTGTGGATAGGTTCGGGACGTTGATACCTTTATGTACTGCCATCATCGAGTCTATCGAAGGTTTATGTATCATGAACGACAGAAATGGTACGTTCTGACAATTGGGAAGCTCAGCATTGTTCGGGTTCGTCTTTGATACCAGAAAAGGTATCAAGCCCGACTTTGGCGTTCGTGCTCTCGAATCAGCTCCTTCTTCTATAACAGAATCTGTACCGGGGTTGTCCACGTTTGGATTTAATTTACCAAACCTGGCCATTATTAAGTCGTCCTGCAGTGAAAACTGACACTGAGCTCCCTCCAGCTTCGCCCTAATCGCCCTCGCTTAAATCCCCAAGCTCTTTGGGTCTTTCCGATTGATGAACCCATGCATCTAGCTAGTGCTTATTTTTCTGTTCCTCTCCAGATTTCAGTTGCCAAGATCGATTGATTGGTGAGATTACCGCGTGACTGAAGCGTTTGAAGATGGGAAAAGAGGATCCCTTGCTTCTGCTCGGGTTCGTGTTTATTTCTGAATAGGAACTAGCCCGAATTGACTAAAGAAAAAACAATGCAGCAATGCAACTTCAATGACCAAACGACATTTGTTGTGCCACTGTCATGCAAATATCAGAAATCTTCATTCCCCAGCATTCTTCATACCCCTCGCAATCTCTCTGCTCCGCTCTGCCAATTGAGATGCAAGTGTCGTCTTCATCAGCATGAACAAATCGTCAAGCTCCATCTGATCCCGCATTGACCTGACTACAAGAACGACCGAGTATCGAGTTGCATTGAGGGACATGACTTGATATTCCCCATCCGCTATATGCTTTCCAATACTCGCAAGCACTTCTTCCAGAGTCGAGATCATTTCAGTTCGAAGTCCGCGGAAAGGATTTGGCGACAATGCTGAGGGGGGCAGGGTGATGTTGTGAACGAAGAAGTCAATTGCTGGAGGGCCGATAGTACAGCCTTGAGAACCTATCGGTTCAGTAATGCCGGTGTGAGGATTGACGATGTCATTTCCGGGTTGTACAGGACGGTTGTGTTGAGCGTCCCAGAAAATAATATGGCGGTCGAGGACTTCGTTTTCTTGTCAGAGGTGAAGAAGGGAGTTCAAACTCATACTCACTTGTGTTTTCTGATTCTTGTGTGGTTGGAGAATTCATGATGTCTTGGAATTGTCGGCATTGGCCGTATAGTTCTTTTGAGAAGTGGAGGTGGGAGGAAGCGGTGGAAACAGCTCGAGGACAAAGAGGTGAGAACGAAAGTTGGAGCCGTGTGCATTTCCATTTCGTCATCAGCTACACGCTCGAATTTTCAAATCTTGAAATTACCATAGACGAGAACACCGATGATCTCTGGTTGAGCCGTCACAGATGCCAAACCGACCCCTCTTCCAAAAAGCGGCGTTGAGTGTTGTTAGGAACTCGTGAATCTCTCTGGAGAAGCCGTGTCGGCTTATGATTCGTTACGAGAACCAACGATTGATTTGGATAAATTACGAATTTACGAAAGTCTAAGTGATAACATATCATACTACTTTTCCACAGGCCTAAACTGCTGTCGCGGTGGATAATGATGCAGTTGGAGATGGAAGGAGGAATCGATCTACCATTTCATAGGTGGAAAGCTGGCGTGAACTTTGCTGTATATTGAAAAGTTGATTAATAGTAGTTCTAGATCATCATGGGTTGTTGAGATCATTGAATATTGGATTCCCGATTGTTGAAAATGTGCTAAACATCACGTCACTCCTTGCAGACAATTATCGGTGAGTTGTTAACCACTGAAATATTCTTCCTATAAGTTATGTCAAGTGAAGTAATTATGTCAAAAGTAAAGTATGACACGGCATGCGGTTTGAGTGCCGTCGGCAATTTAGATGTGCTCCCGGCCATGCTACTGGATTGAGGCTGGAGAAAAGAGTGAAGCACAGAGTGGATTATCGAATCACAGGAAAAGGTGGTTGCTCATGGTATCCCCTCAACTGCCACTTGGAACACACCTTTTTTAAAAGCTCAAAATCAGTGCACGTGCCCTTTAGAACAGGCAACTGCTAGCATTTGAGCGCCTCGCTTCAGCGGCTGTGCCCTGTAAGAGTGTGTTTCTGGCAGTTAAGGGGATATTTGCCACTGAGATTTGAATTCTAAGGCGGGCTTCAATGATGATAATTGTAAGGTTCATATTGCAGAGCTATCTCGTCTTGTGCTCGCTGGTGGCTACCAGGTTCAGACCTTAAACATGCCGCGAAGGCTAGAAAAAACCAATATACTTACGGCGCCTTCATCCTATGCACTCGATCCAGCTTCTTTCTTGTCAATAGCAGCAACATGATCTGTAATCAGAGTCTTGTAATCACTGCTGCCGTAATAAATCGTGTAGCTATCATCAGCCGTCCGTCCAGTGCTCAGAGTATCGCCATATTGCCAGTACATATCAGCAGCGATGCCAGAGGTCGAGAGAGCAGTCGTTTGCCATGGACCCATGGTCGCAGGCTTGTTCGACTCGATGCCGTATTCTTCGAAGATGCAGGGTTTGCCGACTTTGGCACAGATGCTGCCGTGTTCTTTGATCCAAGTGTTGCCGAATGCAAGCGCGTTTGATTGTCCCCCTAGAATCTGTCAGACTTGGGAAGATGGGGGTGAGGGGTATGAGAGGGAAAGGGAGATGTTTACATTGTGTTGGATAGAGATGAAAGGTGCCGAAGCTGATGTTCTGGGGAAAGTCAGCGAACTCATCGAGCTATGAAAGTGAGGTCAACTCACTGCGACTCTAAGATTTGCTTCAAAGTCTACCCCCTCAGCAGTTGTAAAAGGATAGCTTCCATCTCCACCGCCTTTCAACCAACCCTCGTCTCCGAGAGTTATCATGTGATTCGGATCAAGTCCTTTGATATAATTACTGGTCTTGGTGACCCAATTAGTCACAACTGACGTCGGACATCCATTGCACCTTGGTTCATTCGCCAGTTCCCAAGCGAAAATCGCCGGGCTTGTGAGATATCGGCTGACGACAGCTTTGATGTAAGCTTGATATTGTGCTTGGACTCTCGAATCGCTGTACCATGTAGTCTTGGTGGTTTTGAAATAGTTGTTGTAAGCGAGCATCCCGCCGTAATCACCCCAGTTGTTGACGAAGTTGATGATGAGCTTGATGCCGTGGGACTCGGCACTTTTCACGACGTAGTCGAGTCTTTGAAGTCCGTTTGCACCTGTGTTGATTACAGGCTGTTGGCCGGCGACGAAACTTTGGAACCAGACTCCACCTGAAGTCTGGGTGACATCGTTGAAGCCTAATTCGATGGGTTAGATAATGTACTCGTAGCATGCGAAAATTTCTCGCTTACCCCAAATTCGGAGAACCTTTAGCCCTGATGCCTTCAAATGGCTCATAACCAGATCAACATCGGCATTGTTGGTTAGGAAGCCAATCCAGTATGAGTTCGACCCCGCGAAATACGCAACTTTGCCATCGATATTGAACTTCAATCCTGAAGTGGATGGGTATGTAGCTCGTTCCTGTAAGCTGTGGGTTGATCCTGGTGCAGCTTCTGGAACAGGAGTCGCTGTTGTCAAACAAGCCAAACCCAACGACAGAAATTGAGTGAATCTCATGGTAGTGATCAGGTATGAGTTGATGTAGAATAAATATCACAACAGAGGCGATTGTAGGGAGATGAAAGGCCGCAGGATCCAAGCTGAGGTAGAATGAGGAACTCGACAGTTCTTGGAGAATATATACATATTTACCTTCGACTAGTGGCGAACAAACAGTTCCACGTGGTGTATCTCCCACAAATATTAGATGAACGCCGAGATCATATGTTTGAAGATGCAACATGGCTGTGAAGAATCCATCAAGTCGCGGTGTTTTGCTAGCAAGCTGTTCCTAGCTGGCGCCGGGTTTTATGTTTAAGCGACAGACGAATCGGGCGACGGAGGAAGGGCTCCGTGCTTGGAATTGGAGATCCGAGAATTACCATCATGATCAGCAATATCTTTGAGGGGTATGGGAAAGTTTGTGAGATTGAAACCCACGAATGACTGAAAAGGGGAGATCGTGAAGGTAGCATTTGAAGGACAAATGACCCTGACAATGCTGGCTGAATTTGAAGATAACAACACCTCCGAGAATTTCGATATCAATCACCAATGTCTGATTGGTAGGGTGTTTGGAGACTTGGGAAGTGAATTCGAGGTTGATGAAATTGAGAATTCAGCGCTCGGAAAAAACGGGGTTCTTTCTTGAATGGCAAAGGACAGGAATACAGGGAACATCCAGGTTGGCAAAGTGATCATCAGTGTTTCATGGCCAGAGAGCCCTGGAAATCGATACGAGAAGGAACAGTAGTAAAAGTGAATGACACGCAGAGAATGGAAACGGTAGACAGCAGTAGAAACTTGTTGATTGTTGACAAGAGATGTAGAGAAAGAAACGGGGCACCACACCAGCCCCTTGCTTAGACAAGTCACATGATCGCCAACCCTATTCATTTAGCTGTTTTCGCTAGCGCAAGATCATCTAATCTGCCTCGCTGACATCCTTCCTGAACCTGCTTTCATCCTTCGGGAGGAACGCGTTTGGCATCTTACTATCATTGATCACGATCAAAAGTACCCTGATATATCACCTTCAAAGATGGTGTGCAGTCAGCCCAGCTCAATAGTCCCATATTTATAGGCTGCCAAGCTGGCAGTGGAAAGTCTATTGTCCGCACGCTAAGCCTCACCTGTCAGCTTGAGCGGAGGTCGCGATATGGATTGTCATCACTTTTGAGACTGGGGAACTCCAAAGGCATGGGGATGTCGCTAAAGATGTCTTATTGGGTGATTGTGCGACGTTTCAATTTCAATGAGTGCATTTTTGCTTTGCTTCTACGAGGCTGTACAGCCTGCTTCAGCCCAAAGCCCTGATCTCGATGGGTAAGCCCTGGAGGATCCAAGCCGCTAGGCAGCTGAATAAGGATCTGACGCATCGGCAAGTCCCTAACAGATAAACCTTGCGAGATGGCTCTAAGGGAAACTCCACGCGATATCCTCGGTTGGTTTATTGTTAAGCATACAGTATATTTTCCTTGGCTTCGTCATTGGACGCCATCCATCAGCGCACGTATTTCATCTGAACTCCAGGTCAATCTCTCGCCATCGGGGCCATGTTGGATTTCAGGATGCGGTGATATTCTGAAGCAAGGCTTCGGTGAACTCCCAGATCAAAGAACTGTCTTGGGTATGGAATGCTGCTCCTGTGTACCAGGTGTTCTGTTGGCCTTGAAGGTCAGAGAGTGACTTGTAGAAGCCTCGGGCGATTGCCGTGGTGGAGACTGTCAGCTCAAAGGGCGCATGTCTGGAGAAGACGACGAATTCTGGCTTGCTTGGACCTTTACCAGGATAATTCAGTCTTCGTACGTCTGAAAGGATTTTCCGCTTCACATCATGGTCGGGCAAAGCCTGAGCACTGCCAAAGGTCACCCCCACAAGCCCAGGAATGTTCGTCTCTGTAAGGCTGTAGATTCCTGGTAGAATCATCTGGTTGTACTCGGTCTTGGGGCTGACGTTAACGAGGGAAACGTTATTCGGGATGCCAGTGTTCCTCAGCAAGCCTGTGTAATAGCCAGTGTTTGTGAATTGAACAAAGAGTTCACGCTCAATTGGGGCCAGATCCCATCCAGAAAGATTCTCCAGCTTTGGAGGAATGGCCATGATCAACTTCTTGCAAGTGAGCTGTGTCAGACCATCCTTCGTTGAGGCTACGATTCTGATGCCCCCTTGACCAGATCGATCGATCTTGACAATTTTGCTGTTTAGCAACAAGTTTCCATTCAAAGCCTCTGTGGCATGCTCATAAAGCAGGCTGTTGTCGTTGAGCTCTGTTGTGAGGAAGCCTAGCTGAAGATTTTTCAAGATATCTAGCCCGAAGTTCTTCATCACGTAGAGTGTTGACTGAGCCAGAGTGTCACCCATCCCCTGTGCAAATCGGTAATGAAACCCAACCATGGACTCCAAGCAGTACTTTTTGACAAATTGCCCCCATGGCAGTAGCAGATCTGATGGGACAGGATACGGAAGATCAAATCCTTTTTCCAGGTAAGGATATTTTGCACATTGAGTCCCATACGCGGCGAGGCCGGCGCTGAGATTTGCAGCTACATTGCTGGAAGCGATGTTGCCTGTCTCAAAATCGAAGAACTCTGTGTTTGAAGATGTGAGAGGGCGTCTGACCAGGGATACATTCAGCCGCGCAAAGTATTCCTTGACGAGTGGTAAATCATGCCACTGCACTTCAAGGTCAGCAGCCGCAGACTAAAGAGGATTCAAGGCATGGAGGTCTCCACCGTCTCTGCCTTGTGGGCGGTATGCATGATTTGGATTTCTGTCTCCACTTACGACTTCCACTCCAATATCGCGCTTTAGGCCACTCATTGGATCTGTGTACGTCTCTGTATGGCCACCCAAACGACCCTTCTGTTCGATGACAACCACGCTCTTGCCCATGTCCGACAAACGAATCGCCGCATAGGTTCCGCTCGACCCACCTCCGACGATACAAACGTCACGTCTGATGGTAGAACCGACTCTGTACTCATTGCCTTCAAAAGTCACTGGAGCTGAGGCGCTGGCCTGCAACGTTACCATCAATACGACGAACACAGCCAAGAGGCCACTGAAAGCTGAAGTGCTGCAGCCTCCCATTGTCAGTCTCACTGGTCGTCTATAGCAACAAATTTAGAAGTAATGGCCTGTTGAATTTCCTTCCTGAGAACAAAATGCCTGGCCGAAGCTTTGGCCGAATTTGGAGTATGCGAGATGGCAGAACTTGGGGGTTTGAAAGCCTTTAAAGGATTGAGGTTGTCTGTTTCTTCTAAGACGCTGGAGATACTCTTTTAATAGACCAAGCCAAAATGATGGTGATCGGAAATGACCTGCCAGCTCCTCTGGGAAACAGTGGCGGTCCTGGTTATCAAGACATAGTAAGTGATTTCAACAATCTGCATAAGCGTTGGGATTCCATAGCCAAACGGTTCGTGTCTGCAGGAAGTTGCTGCCGAGATGGGTGAATCATACAGCGGAAGGCTTGCCGTTCAGACGGCGCCAGGTGGCTGTCAGTGGGGGCGCAATAAAGATCAGATCCTCCGACGAAAATACATCACCAAAGCGGACATTGCACTGGCAAGGTTCGTGGTTGTGCAAAACTTAGTCTTCAGCTTCCAGTGTGGGCACTTTTGGCGCAAACCGCCTACCCCCATTCGCTAGCCCTACAGATGCCTTCAGCTGCAGGTCTCACACGATTTTCTATTAAGCCATGTAGAAACCAGCTAAAAGTTGTCAAGACGTCGTTATCGAGCCCAGTTCATTACTTAATCATCTCTTTTCACGTCAAAAGTTCGACATATCTGCCGCAACAATGCATACCTCCAACGCCTCGCTCCGACCCCGCCAAAGGACCTTCACCTCCTGTACTGAATGCCGCAGGAGAAAGCAGAGAGTATGACTGCACTAGACCCCAAAGTTTTCGAATTTCTGATTGACCCGTTTCAAGTGTAACCAGGCCAAAGATCGGCCATGTAACAACTGCGCGAGAAGGTATCCGCCAGTAGTTTGCACATATGAAAGCTCCAGGTATGGCATGGCACCCCCATTTCAAAAGACGAACATGGACTGATGCATATACAGCTCACCACCACCGACCGACCGTGATGTCGACATGCGAGATAACCATGTCTCGCAGCAGGACAGTGGTCGAGGGAGCGGGAATGATGTCTCAAGCCCTGCCTACATGCCAACACCCCAGTCCAGTGTCAGCGATACACCCATAACCTCAACATCAGACGCATACTACAGTTCCCATGGTTACTATGCAATTGCAACAACGAGGGCCGAATATCGGCAGTATCAAGGCGAGGGACCAGCGAATACTCAATATGTCGCGACATCGGGTAGCTACTCGGTGAACGGTGGTTACTACCAAGACCAAACGAATTACAGTGTCGCGGGATCCACCCAGGGCCATACTGGATATTACCCGATTACAGACCAGCAGCGCACTGACTGGCTTTCTTCTAATGGCGACCCAGCTGCCTTTGTGGGCGCTGGCTCAGATTACTATTATGTCGAGCCCGATCCAGACGATCACACGGCCCCAAGGCGATGATACCAGGATTCCAATGTGATGGTTTGACGAGTCGGGGACTTCCTGCTTGTTCTATTTTGGCCTGGATGGGGTGGGTTATTAATGGTGGCTGCTGAAGTAGGGTAGCCACATGGAGGGGCACATGCAAGTTATCGGAGGTAGTGTCACTGAAGTCTTGGCCGGGAGGAATATATGACATGTGGTGGTCCTCATCCTGGGCAAGAAAGCTGGACGGCGCTGGGAATGTGCCACAACTGGTCGTACAGTTGTGGGACATGAGGAAATAATGAGAGGCTGGAGGTGCAAGTAAGGTATTGGTGGTGACCGGCTTGTACGACAGTCGGGAAGGAATGGATTCAATTACCCCGCACCTGGGGCAGAGGGGACATAGCATGCAACAGGAGTTTGTTTTGTACTTTGCGGTTGCGTGTGTGGCCCGGAGCATTTTGGTTTCTTTGCTTGCAGTCCTTTATTCAACTTCATAGACTTCATGATTCCGACTTTTATGCTGCTTACTGATGAAGCTGTTGATTCAAAATTGAGCTCGCCTCGAACGGTTGGGTAAGCGACTGCGATCTGTGTAACCTCGATCCTGCCGGCCTCGGAAGTACCTTGACTCGGGATTGATCCAATGTTTTGGCTTCGCATCGGCTCCTTCCCGTAATAGGGGGACCTTGGACGAGAGGGGTTACCGAGCTGCAGAAGCCGGCACCTGTGAACGACATCCCCGGTCCCTCATATCTTCAATTTTGACTTGAGCTGACGATCAGTGAATCTCCAAGTATTTGTCTGCCAATGCAGAGAGCTGCAATGCCACCGTCGTATTTCATATTCTCACTCAGAACCATATCGCTGAATCCGTACGGTCCTGGAATGGCGGTCAAGCAGACTAGCACTTGCTTGTTCGACCTGATAGAATAAGCTGCAGAAGATGAGGTAACGGCATTGGTGATGTCTCGGCATATATGGGTTTAGGGTTTGAAATGAACAACCTTGACCAGTCCAATATTCGCTTGAGTCTGCACAGAGAAACTGGCCTCCTCATAACATCTTGTCTTTGATCCATGCATGATTGACAGTGGCGCATGGTTTTCGTTACTTGGAAGCAGAGCACTATTAGTCAAGATTACCAAAAGTGACAGCTGTGAAACAAGAGGAGCAAATGTGTCTCGGGGAATCATGTCTCTGATTTTACCATGCATGTTGCATCCGAAGCGTGCTGTGTTTGCTGGCAACATCACTTCTGCCTTTTGGGATTCGCTCCATGATCCTCCAATGACTCTTCAAAGAGTGTCTAGAGAAGAGTCAAAGCAAATTCGTGTACGACCGGGGATCAGTCACCGCTCTGAGCAGGAAGATGGAGAATTAAGGAACATCGTTTCAAGCCGGCCGGGTATTCGCGCAGCAGTGCACCCAGCTTCTCAAGTTCCGTGGCCCCCGTGAGGAAAATCTCAATTCCCTATAAAATCCCAGTGATATTTGTCACTCTTCTTTCCGCAGCAAAGTCATAAATCGTTTTGAAGTCCCTACAAGTATGTGTGACATTCCAGCCATCCGTCGCTTCGTCATCGACCGGCTCCAGTGTCATGTCACCCGCACACATGACAGCCTGACGCAGAAAGTCGAAGCAATGTGCCATATGCTCTTTCTTCATGATGTACGCTTCGGAGGATTTGTTGACTGCCGTGTTGTCTGCACTCTCGAATATCCATTTCAGGCCGGCCTGTTCCAGTCGAAATTGTTAAATCTGTCGTGATCCTCGTGTCTCAAGTGCTGATCTGAAGATGACATACGATGCAGTGAAGCTGATGGAACATAGATACGCAAAATTGTTTGTCTTCGACTTTGGTACTTCCATCTGGCTGAGTGATTTCGGTTGGGACGTTGATAAAACCTCTCCCAGCTACAGTGTTGACCCGGTCAGAAGATACTCCTGCAGTGATAGCTCTGGTGAGACATACGCGGTAGCAGGTTCTTCGTCCAAGGATCGTCTATTCCGTTCATGTATGCTGCATACGAAGCATCGGCGTCAAACAAAACCGCTCGATCAAATGGCACTACAATGTTCAATTAATGAGATATAACTTTTGGCAAGATCACCATACCATTTGGAATTCCAACAGCTAATACTACATCAGACTGCGTGTGTTTCCAATTCAAGACATCATCGTAGGTGTATGACGCCACAGCAGTGATGATGTACACCACCAAGACGATGTAAAATGCCGTCCGATAGCTAAAGATCCATTGCGCCAAAGGCCCCGACCTGTTGCTCTCCAGATCCTCTCCAATTGCTCCATTTGTGACCTTCTGGTATCTCGTATTGGGCAGCATGGTTTTTATCTTGGGTCCGAGATGTTGTGGTGGCGCAAAGCAGGAGAAGCCAAGGGGAGAGGGAACACGCGACGTCGACGCGAAAGACGTGGACTCTTGTACCCGGGGGATTGAACCTTAATAAGGCGTTACATCGTCCGAAGTTCCGAACTTCAAAACCCCCAAATAGATTCAAGTTGTTTTAAAATGAAGATCAAATGGAGTTGAAATGCTTTTCGGGCTCCCATGACTCGGGCTCGCTTAAGTCCTTGAAACAACTGTTGCCATTCATTCTGCCTCAACCGGAGAAGTAAAGGAGTCATTGAATCGCTCCTTGCAGTTGTTGAATAGCCTCTGAATGATTCATTACGCGCAATTGATAACAAATCGATTCTAAAAAGATGCTGGCGAAATGCTACTGACCTCGACCTGCGAAGTGGAGTAGAAATAGACTTCTCGCTTCCTGAACTTCGGGATCGAACGACCCTGTCAATCGACAGAATGAAGAAGATCGCCGAAATTACACTTACCAGGGAATCAAGCACACCGTATTCCCGGGGTTTTCGCTGGAAAACATGCACTTGAGCAGTAAGGTAAGGGAAGCTCAGATGTGCACATGCATGTCACGTGAACACGTCTATCCACTACCAAGGAATGTCATTCAGACAAACAGAAAATACCACGCGTACAATACCTTTTAATACTGTGACTACCAGCATGTCTAGAAAGCGGTCTCCGAAGACTACTCGCAATCTTGCCATATATCCCGAACTTTTCGAGGAGGCGAGTGAATGACAGGGTCAACGGCTAAACTTAACAACAACACTGGTCTGGGGGAAATCAATAAATGAAATCAGAGTACTAGTGATACTTAGGCAGATATCCAAAGCCAATAGAGGGACCAAATTGGAAGTAGGCGTGCTGGCAAATATTTTCTAAAGATTGATCGATCCCTTGAACGACTGTCGGCAAGGAGAGTCGAAAAGAATCTAGAAGAGAACATCCCAGATTATAGAAACTTATCAGCCAAGAACTGACACAAGAGCTTAAAAAGCTGATGACCGATAGAACCAATCAAAACAGCAGAGAAGTACACAGGGGCGAAGAAGCGAGAATGCGAATCACGGTTTCCTTCAGTGTCACTCACGTGACTTTGACACCCCTTGCCGAAATGGCGATTTGGACTCCATGATGTGATTACTTCAGGGAGGAATAATCAAGTTGCATATATACTGAAACTGGGAGTTGGAAGAACATTTGCTCCTCGACCAGTATAAATCCTAGAGCAGCCACAACCTGCCCCCTCGCACCGTTCAAGTCGTCATGAAATTAGCTTCTCAGTATCGTTGACACATAGAAAATGCCTTACCCGTTGCTTTTCCGCCCTTTAAAGTCCGGCATTCCCATCTGTCTTAACCATCTCTCTTTCTCTTCAATTGCTCTTCTTCTCAGTTTTTGCGGCTCATACACATTACTTAAACCAGCCATTTGGCAACGTGCCTCCGCATTCGTGTCGATTGCATTAGTTCTCCGCGCCATGCCACCAAATTCTCACCTCCAAAATCGGTCCACGATGGATCGCCTCAATATCAACCACGACCAAGGGTGCTCGGTGTCTTATTATTGTCCGACAAAGACGATCCTCATTGCTGGTACCTTGGCGACAGGGACCGGTCCAAATCTTGAAGGTTGAGACCCAGCGAAGAAGAGCAGACCGACTTTGTGGTTTTGGTGTCAGCAGTCATCACACACTGAGGGCCGGACACCTGTCCAATGCAATCACGTTCACGGCCAAGTCGCGTATTGAGTGCTCATTGGCAGCATCGCAGTCGTCCATGCAACGCGGGTATCACGAACTCACGAGAGTCGAATGAAATACCTGCCGACTTATCAGGGACCTGCATGCCCTGCATGGCACCAGGAGTTCAAGGTGCAATTTTTACAGAATGGTTTCTTGTCAAAGGTCAGATCCTGCCTGCCAAATCTCCACAGTTGCTTGCTTTTTTTCCCTTTCGTGCATGGGGTATTCCCGTCACAGTATCCACTCTACAAGTCTTGTGTAAGTAGATGGAGGGCAATGTTCTGTATCAAGTTGAATATATGCATTGTCTTCCTTACGTCTTGTCAGGTTTTCTATTAGGAACCTATTATTCAGATCTCTTAGGTTATACTTTTTGAAGAGATTACTCTTGTTATCAGCAGTCGTTAGCCCGTCCCAACCCCTGAGAAAGTTTCTTATCGGGCCCAGCCGTCCAGTGACAAGCTTCATCCAAGCTCCCCCGAAAATCGCTTATCTTGGCCCTCTTGCAGCAATTTTTGTCATGGCATCAAACGAAGACCGAGTCCCGAGATCATCATTTGATGGGCTGAATGCTCGGATATTCTGGTTGGCTGAACAGGAACCCAGAGATCTGAAGTAAGAGGACTGTAAGCGGTAGACTTATGCAGAGAAAGATAGGTCATGACATGCTAGAATCTGCACCCTGGTCTGGAACTTGTCTTTGCTTATCAGGACCAGCAAGCCATCAGTGCGGGTGAAGCGTGGATAGACAGGGCGTCCTGGAATAAGAATGTCTGCTTCCCCACGCATTGGAGTTGCCATTGAATCTCTTTTTCTAGCAGCCCCTTTGAAACCCCTTTGGGTACTAAGATTTCGGAGAGTATCCGATTGTATCGAGGATAACTTCAGCGGAACTCGAATCGAAACAATGGCCTCACAGCCCAGCTACGAAGATGGTAGCCCAGAAGGCTCCATCACACGCGACGACAAAGTCAAGAAAGCGCACGCTGTCCTGGGTATGGAAGAAGGTAGCACGGCTCTGATTTCTGCCGATGACCAACTTCTCGCCTCATTGGGATATAGAGCAGAACTCAAGCGAGAGTTCTCCTACCTCACAGTCTTCGGTCAAAGTTTTGGAGCAATGGGAATAGCGCCAGCAATCGCAGAGTCGATCATCTTTTCCTTGGGCAGTGCTGGAAGCGTGGGAATGGTTTGGACGTACCTTGCTGGCTGTCTGCTCTTGATACCCGTGGCTGCCAGTTTGGGCGAGTTGGGTAGTTCTATGCCAACGTCTGGAGGACTTTACTATGTGAGACCCCTATCTATCCGCATGTATTTCCGCGCGGGTTTGCTGACGTCGAGTCTGATAGTGGGTAGCACGACTTACTCCCCCTCGCCAGAGAGCCTTCATGTGCTGGTTGGCCGGATATATGAACGTCCTCGGATATATGTCTATCTACGCTTCTACCATCTACGCCGCGACTCTGATATTAGGAGCTACATGCTCCATTGGCAGTGATGGAACTTGGGTCGCAAGTAAATACCACAACTACGGCATGTTCGCCGCCACAACTCTCCTCACCTTCTGCATGACTTGCGTTTCATCCGCACTACTTTCCAAGCTCAACGCTTTCTACATCTTCGTGCAACTAGCTATGCTGCTCTCGCTCATCATCGCCTTGGCAGCAAAGACACCTAGCGAGTACAAGAACAGTGCCCATTTTGTCTTCGCTGGGTTCGAGAACACTGGCTTTTGGCCAAACAACGGATGGGCCTTCATGTTGAGCTTCCTGACACCTGTATGGGTCGTATCCGGATTCGAGAGTAGTGCAACTATCGCAGAGGAAGCGAGCAATGCTGCCAAGGCTGTTCCTTTTGCTATGATATCCTCCTTGGTCGTGGCAACCGTTACTGGCTGGGCAGTCATAATCACAATCGCGTTCTGCATGGGAACTGGCGTGATCGATCTTGTCGAGAGTCCTCTCGGTCAGCCATTCGCGCAGATTGCCTTTAATAGTCTAGGAAAGAACGGAAGTATCGCACTATTGGTATTTTTGTGGTTCAGCTCGATTTGCAACTGCTCGATCTTGATGGTTGCTGCGTCAAGAGAAACGTTTGCATTTGCTAGAGGTAAGAAAGTCATTGGATGATTAAGAAGACGAGACTGATAGGAAACAGATCACGGCCTCCCCTTCTCAGGGTTTCTCCGCAAGCTCTCAGCAAATAAAACACCCGCACGTGCCGTCGGCTTCGTCGCCGTATGCACTCTCCTCGAAGGACTCCTCATGCTCGTGAACACCATCGCCATCAACTCCATCTTCAATCTTGCCATCATGGGCCTGTACTTCGCGTACTGCATGCCCTTGGTCTCCCGACTCTGCTTCGGGCATTTCACCCCTGGCGTATTCTACATGGGTAACACCATCTCTTACATCTCCGCCATCTATTCCGTCGCCTGGATGACGTTCATCTTCATCCTGCTCCTGTTCCCTATCTATCCGAGCCCAAATGCGCAGGAAATGAACTATGCTGTTGCGGTGTTGGGGTTCGTGCTGGTGTTTTGTGTGGTGTATTTCTGGTTCCCGAAGTATGGAGGAAAGACTTTCTTCACGGGACCAGTGAGGACAATTGATGAGATTCTAGAGGAGAGTCCTGAGGCGAGGGCGGCTGTTGAGCAGGAGATTGCCAGGGAGAGGAAGGTCGAGACTTCGGGATCGTCCGACAAGGTGTCTTCATGAGCAGGTAAAGGTGGTTGAGTTCCTTATAATTGAATCTAATGTGTCATTAGATGTCAAACAGAATGGTTGTAAATTCTTCGTTGTGGAACTTTTCGTGCTGTGAATAGTAATGATCCTATAGAAGGCTGTTTAATTGAATGCAGCGTTTACACTATTCGAAGTCCAGACTCCACGATCCGGGAATTGGTCGCGCGGCTGGTCGCTGGTCTGACTCTTCATGCCCATCTTCTGACAACTCATCTTCTGAAATATAATCCTGCGGCAGTACATCATCCATCCGGTCGTCTTGCTCATACTTAGATGGCCCGTAAAGATGAGACACGTCATCGCCGTTGCCATCGACCATTTTATTGAATTCCTCATGATGGGACCCTCCTGGAGTATATGTTAAGATCCAATCCTCAGGTCGTGGTCCATATGAAAATGCGACCGTAATTCCTCTACATGTGGCAGATCGAATATACCGGGAAGCATCGATTAGATAATGCCAATATGAAATGTGCTGCTTATAGCATACTCCCACCAGCTGGGTGCTTAGGGTACAGGAGCATTCAAAGCCACACTTGCCTGGCTTCCAATGCATGGCTTCTGCTTCGCCATACTGCAGAAGATCAACACCACAGTCCATAAGATCTTCGAGCCACTCGTGTACCACAACCTTTAAGTCTTGAAGGGGCGCCTCTGAAGTATCGTTCTGTCAGGAATTCCAGAATAAGAGTCCAGAGGATGCTTCGTCCACTGTTATCAACAGCCACAACCGGGCATCTTGCTAGGATTGCTTTACGCAGAAGCGGTCGCCAGGTGCAGCGCTTGTTTCTTGTCGTTGAAAGTTGGCACAAAATCTTGCCATCCAAACTTTTATCAAATACTTTTTCGTGGATAGTGCCACAGGAAGCTCGAGCAAAGGACTGGGCTAAAATGTGTAAGAAATTTCTGCCCATCCCATCCTTCCAATACGGAAGCTCCCTCTCTGTGCTGCCTTCAGCTTCCAGCCAGTACTCTACCAAGAGCGCAGTGTTATGTCGGCTAGCTGACTTCGCGATCCATGCAGCAACAGCTACCCGATTCTGGGCAGAAACAGAGGTTTCGATAGTATATGAGTGATTGACTTCCCGATGTAGAAAACGCAACATCTCGAGGGATCCATGGAAGTATTGAAAGATTTTGCGATCATTAACGAGAATGTCGATAGCCCCTTCCTTGAGTAATAAACGACATATCTCAAAGGCACCAGTGCTTCCATGAAATGTGTTCACTGCTCCATAGAGTAGGGCGGTATGGAACGGGGTACTAAGAACAATCAGAGGAACGAAGTTCGACTCAAGGGCGAGGTTGGGAAACACAGTTCGTTCGAGGACATCTCCCTCGGGTCCTCTTATCCGGTTTAATCTTCTTGCTTAGGTCAAGGACATTGCTTTTAAGATATTCCAAACTCTGCTCCCTAAAATATATGTCCATTTAAAAGATCCCATCATCAAAATTGGGCCTTTCAAATAGTTTATACCTCAAAAGCTTTGCTGGCCGTACAGCAGCATGTACATCATCAACCAAGCTAGGCAATTGGACTCGGAAGGGGACCATAGGCAGCGAAATAAACGGTAACATGCTACGGGAGAGGTGTGAAGCAAATCTGTTCAAGTTGTCCTTGCAACGCATTGAAATGAAAGATACATAAACGATTATTACCAAATGAAATTGAGGAGACTTACTCGGAGTCGCAATCTTGAATGGAGACATCCGCACCTGCTAGCAATAATTCTCTGCATATTTCAACATTGCCATGCTGTACTGCAAGCTACTTTCTGAGTCAATCCAGAATTCAATAATTATGGAGTAGGGTCCAATGCTCACGTGAAGAGGAGTTGTATTGTCCTCGTCTCGGTCCGTGACAAGGTATTCTTTATTCACTAACATATGTCTGAAAGCGGTAATATCATCATTTTCAATTGCTTCGAAGAACGGATTGTCGAAGGGTATCATACGAAAAGTATGTATGTCTACCCTCCAGCCGGTCAACATCTTGTGGCACTGAAAATCCAGCACTCTATTGGACAGGAAATCAGGTAGCTTGTATCTAGCGTTCACGTCGTTTATTTCTCGGCCTTTGCACATTCGTGTACGTCGGTGATATTCGAACTGCCCGAAAAGGTATGCAATCCACGAGGGAGACGAGATCCACATGTCGTACTGTCGCTGGACGATAGAGCCAGTATCTTGGATTTCGTTAGTTCGACCTAATGATGTTCCTGACTCTTCTTGTGTGGTATTAGCTGTTGTGAGCGTTGTGAGGTGGTTGGTCATTCTGGTGACAATGATGTCAGGCTGGAGTTGGATCATAGCACTGTGTAATTGAGCGCCACTTCCGTATGTTATGTTGTAGCACATACTTGGTATGCCACTGGTAAGACAATTGCAGCACCTGAATCGCATGCTTCATGCGTTTTTTCAACTTTTTGATATCTTCCTTCTTCAGGATAACCTTCACCGACCCTACCTTTACCCTCCATACCTTCTTATCAATCTTCTCGGCCAGTTCATCGGCCAGCCCACGTAGCTCATCGGCACCTTCTTTGCACAAGGAAAAACTCTGTTGTATGCAAAGATTATGCACTGACAGTCTGGTTTTTCCTGCTTCGTCTGACCTTCTTGAATATGGTTCAGTATGAGGTTGAGAGAGTCGATCTCGCGAAGGAGATATTTGATATCGGCAGGCGCTTCCTGGACTTGATCCCAGCATTCCTTCAGCTTGATAACGCTCTTCGCCACTTGTCCAGCGAGCTGAGTCACGGCTATACCGCTGGCAACAACACCTAGCACCTCTGCCATTGTATCCTCTCTTGACCGGCGTAGTTTCCAGTCGCGAGGCTGCGAATAGGGTCAACTTGTGGGGCCAAAGAATTAGGCTGGGAGATCTTGGATAATACCGCAGCTGATTGGGATGTTCGCAAGTATATGTCACTTCACTAGATATCGTTTTGAAAGGTTCATGAGGGAGAGGGGTAGTCAGAAAAGGGAAAGACTGTCAATGTTGGCGGAGCCTTGCCAGGGCTGAAGTCACTGGACCCGTATGCTGCACCAATCAAAGGAAGAAATACCAGAGTACAGACCCATCACATATGTCGACCCGGAATATATGTAGTCTGCAGTCATTGACACGTCCTGCTATTATAGGGTTTGGAGAGGAGAAGAGGATGGTGGTTGTCAAGTTAGCTTTAGGAACAAGGCTAATTCTGGCGCTTCTGGCACATGGCAGTCAGCTACCAGGAGCTGTTATATCCAAGGGGTATCGACTCAAGTACGACAAGTACAGTCCTGCCCGAAGCGAGTCGCTAAAGGGTACGATCAAAAGGCCGAAAGCGCTCAGCAGTTAGATCAACGCTTGTATCAGTCTCGCTAAACTAAGAGCCTAAAGAGGCTGAGATGGGGCGCCCAAAGGCCGTGTTCTGAGTCGTGCCTAACCTTTCATAAGGCGACAGCAGAGAGAACCCAAAACAGTTCTAGAGGCTGCAAATTCTGGCTCGCTGATGTCCTCTATGTCCCTTCCCTAGCAGTTTTGTATCAGTTCACCAACTAATGGACACATTGATTTTATTGGCCTGTAGGGCGGTCGCCTTTCACTTGCTTTTTTTATAGCTAGATGGAGAGAAAATTGGCTGGCAAAGAGATCTGGGATTGATTTTGGGCTCAGATAGATCAAATAATTACCGTCTTGATGAAGTCAATTTCTGGAGCTACTGCAGTCTCTCCCAACGGCTCTTGACAGCTCCCCAATACCTCTCTCCATCATTCGCCATATGTCCTACATGTGGGCTTCCAACCCACCTCTCCCTCATCACATGCTCTCCCTTTTGCTCAGCATCCAAAGCATGTCTTTCAACATCCTCCCAGCCAACCATGCGATCTACAGTACTATAAAAATACAGTCTTCCCCTCTTCGACTGTATCAGGGTCGGGTCATTCAAGTCCATCCTCGCCCTCTCCACCAAATTTGGGCCTCCAGCAATGAATGTGCAGCCAGATCAACGCCACCAGTAAGTGTACCACACAAGCCAGCAGCTGTCGCAGAATGGGAATGGTGGGTAATCCGACAGTCATAGCATCGACGATGCGAGAATATGTCGCAATGCCTGGGGTACTGTCAAACACCATTACCCCGCACTTCAATGTTGTTTTGGTCTGGCCTTGATGTGCTCTTGCGATTTGACTAGCTTTATGAGCACCGGCGTTGCTAAACATATGAAGCAGGATGTCTAGTTCTCCATTATCATCGTTGGCTTGCAAGACAGGTAGAACCGTGTTGAGATCTTCCTGTTGCGAATGGTAAGATCGGTACACCATGTCTGCAGCTGTGGTGCAGATGACGAGGATTGAGGCGTTGGGGAAGAGAGATTGATATGCGTCCGTGTACTTGGTAATATGACGAGGCTGAGCTGAGAGCCATGGGGCGAGGATGATGAGTGACCGATCCTGGGGAGTGGCAGGGTGAGATTTGGTGTTCGAGTCGGAGGGGCGGTAGAGAGAAATGGTTGGGCTGAGTTGCTGGAAGTCCTTGAAGCTGACCGATGTTCTTATGTCTGAAGATGGCATGGTAGGAAGATAGTGAAGTTGATCAATTGAGCTCTTCGTGTACATTATCATCGAATTTCTATCAAAAGTGTTGAGGTATTGTGTCGCGACATTGGTAAGCTAGCGGGGTGTACGGCGTATCCATGTCCAATCAATCCAAGCGGCACAGTGCATGCATGATGCTCAAGTGGTCGTGATGTCCAGCTCCTCCACTTCCAGCAATCGTCTTGGGCTAGGATTTACGATATTTCTAGTACCTATATCATCAATCTCGCCATTTCTGTACACCGAATATGATCTGACAAAGACTGTGAGCTCGATTTCCCGCTGCTTGAATAATCGCGTCAAAGCTCTTGAGGATCCCAACGCTGAAGTTTCGCACATTATGGGACCCTGGATCTGGGTCGGAATGCTCTGCGAATTTGACTCGTTTCAAATTCGGCAAGTAATCTGGTTTGAATGTTGCCAGCTCTTCGATCCAGTCGTACTCCTCATCAACAAAGTTGTGACTTCTGGAATGGTGTTTGCGATCTAGTATGGCAGACCCGAAATCGAAGAAGATCTGTCGTGTGATCAGCTGCATGATTCTGTAGACTGTGAAGTGGTTCGACCTACTACCAACTCCTCAAGTATACGTGGTAATCTCAGGTAGAGACCATTGCGAGAGGAAGGTTCCACGACATGCTTTCCGCCTTCTTCAAAGATTGTGAAAAATAGCAGTGATCGACTAATTTCCAGAGTCCTCAACTTGGGAAAGTCATGGAAGTCAATAAGCGAGCAATGGAAGTCGTCGGTATGACGACCCTGTAGATCCAAGTAGAATACTGTAGGTACAATTGGAGCAAGAAACTCTTGTAGTGTAGATGGGGCATGTAGCCCCGAATCGTCATACTCTCCAAAGTCGTAGAGCAGGGCTCCCAAGTTGCTGCTCCACTGCAGTAACTCATGTACAGAGGGCACACATTTCGGATGACCTTCGAGGGCAAGATAACGGATCTTAGAAGTTCTGCCTGCCGGTCGCTGTGGTAGATGGCCTTCAACTCTTGAGGGATCTATGTCCATTGGCATAAAAAAGATAGCGCTGATCTTCGGGAGAAGAAGAATGTTGCCCATGGTTTGCCACTTCTCAATTAGTATTTGTAACTTCGAGGTCTCCGGGAATAAGGGGTATTAGCAAGAGCTGATGGTGCTAGATCCTACCCACAGTGATGTTGATACATGATACCTCAACTCGCCAAAGCTCTGCCATAGGATTGACATCCAAAAACGCACCACTGACTACCGGAATTGGCATAGGATATTCTTTCATAGCAGTAACTTTCATTTTCAACGTTCGTAGCCGAGTTGTTCGTCGAAGTAGGAACTGCACAATGGACTCTTGGTCTTCACCAAATGTCGTCCCATTATCGGCCCATGAGAAGCTGAGCTTCAGTATCAAATTCGCTCGGCTCGGGTTGTCCTTGAGGGTCTGGATGAGGCTAAATCGTCTTTCGTCGTTGACGAAACGTCTGGCTTTAACGTTTGAGTATACGAGCGGGGTGCTGACCACGTTGAAGTGCTTGCATGTGCGTGCGACGGAGCACATGTCATTGTTGGAGAGACGGTTTCTGTGGAAGATCTTGCTCAAGATCTCGTTGGGCAGACTGCCCAAGTTGAGGGCCATTCTGTGCCGACAACTTCATTCCTAGGCCCCAGTCCAATTTTCTTTGCTGTTTGAGAAGTTGAGCTGTTGGTTTTTGGAGGCTGTTACATACATAGTGGGGTTGATGCCCACACTAGTCTGCTTTAAGGCGTTACCTTCGGCATTCTGTGCTGCCCTTCCAAGCTTCCCATCATGATATTATTTGAAATAATAATGGGAAATTTACTGAAATTAACGGAAGTAAGAGATAATGAGTATTCATAGTTTGTTTGTGCCGAAAATATCGCCTGGCAATGTGAATAGTCCCATACTTTCTGACGGATCTTAAATCATTCACTGATTTTGAGTTTGATCCGCTGTTGAGAACATACCAGCCTATTCGCATTTTGTCCTTCGAATTTCGTCGGATTATCTTGATTTGGCCAAGTAGCCTTCAATGGTCTATTATTCATTATCATCGTACTCATCAAATCCTCTGAACTTTTCATCCAACGGCCCCTGCCGAGTCCAGATATTCATTCCCAATTTCGATCCGCTTGTCACTGGCAAGCCCGCATGAATGGTCGCTGGGTTTCCACTGCCATCCTCATGTAAGTTCTGCCAGAATACCGCATTCCCCGGCACAGGTCTAAACGTTACCCCACTCTCCCACTGCTCATCACAATCCACAAACTCGCACCACCGCTTGTCATACGGTGCATTCAATATAGGAAAGTTCGTGCCGCCACCAGTGAGGTTGTTCGCAGCAACATAAACGAAGAATGACGAGAGACGATTTCCGCCAACTTCAGGAGTCATTCGAGATGGTGCTTCGAACCAGTCCGTATGCAGGTGGTAGTTCTCGCCATTGCCGTATTGTACCAGTTGGAGGGGCTCGAGATGTGACCGAGGGGTATCGAAGCCTTGGAACTCGAGCGCTCGAGTTTCGATACAGCGGACGGTGGTGTCGCGGATGACGCTCGTGGATTGGGATGTTCGAGTTTGGCGAAGGCCCTGTTCTCCAGATTCATCTGCTACCGCAGAGTTTGTGAATGTGCCTTTGCTGCGTATCTGTCAGTTCATGGCCCCGGGGGCGACTCGTAATGATCTTACGTGATTTCTTGAAGATGGTCGCGCTCCTCAGCTGTCAGGAAGTTGGGGATATAGATAACCAGAGGGTTCTTCGAGAAGATGTGTACTTTGTATGGCGGGTGAGTACAAGAATATTCAGAGAGTGGTTTCTGGCTTGCTTGGACATTGCTCATAAACAAAGCAATCACTGCCAACAACATATATCTAGGTCGTGTCATCTTCAATTGTGACTTGTTCTGCAAACGAAGAGAATTGTCGATGTAGGAAGTCGAAGATGAGCTACGGCGACGATTTACAGCAAGTCAACCCCTCCAAAAGAGTTAAGGACCCTGCGCCCATATCGTCCGATCAAACGGCTACTGTGCTCCAATCTTCCAATTAGACAGCTGGATCAGAGTTCCCGGTATGCCAAATGTCATGATGGTTTGGTCATGAAACGGGAGAAGTCGATGTGAAGCAAAATATGTTCCAGGATGATGTACTGACAGGGTGCAGCTCCCCGCGTTTGGGCATCAGCTATCCCTGTAGGGTCAAGCTCAGGGGTAAAGCTCCCCTGTGTCGCGCTGAACCGAAAGCCTCTCCCGCCATTTCCTCTCGCGGGGTACTTTTTTACTTCCTCAATTTAACAACTTCCAGAAATTGATACATAAATTCTTGGGGGCACTTGTTCTATTATCAAAATGTTACCAAGATCGCTTCTCGTCTGTGTGATAGACCTTCTGTTAATTAGAGAAGCATCTGGATGGAGTCACGTCGATAGAGATCAATTCGAATCCATTACAACCAAAAATGAGTTATCACTAGTCGCTTGTAAGTCGAGACTGTCATCTGATTCCTATCATCATCGAATTTAACTAATGGTTTCAGTTGTTGCGGTAAGTTCAACCCCCATGTTTGCAAGAGCCATCTGACTCGACCTGTGACTGACTTGCTGGTCTTTCGAAGCCATGGACGTGAGACTACCCCACATATCCGATATAGATTTACGGCTAATAGTAACTGTACAGCGAATCAAGCAAGTCCCTGGAATCCGAATGGCTCTCAGCAACAGCTCGAAGTCAGAATTCACTCATCAGTATCGACTGTACCGTGGACGCGGACCTGTGCAAAGAACAAGAAATAATATCCTATCCAGCGATACGGCTATTTCAAAGCAATGGGCAAAGGCGGAGATATCGAGGGCCACGGAAAGCTTCTTCGTATGAACATGTGTATCTGAATCTCCTATGAATACCTGAATTGACATCTAGGATAGAATACTGGAATTCATAACCCGAGCCACCCTCCCCTCAGTATCGGTTGTGGACAAGTCAAACATCACAGCATTTAAAGCCAGTGACAACGATGTTTTCATCGCTTACATCCCAGACGAGGACGGTCATATGAAGAAAACATTCACGACTCTCGCCAGACGACATGGCGACAGGTTTACTTTCGGAATCGCTACCGACCCGAAAGTCGCCAAGACTGAACACATGCAGTTTCCAAGTATCGTGTGCCATAGATCGGTGGAAGGAGAACAAGAAATGTTTTCTGGACAGCCCGGATTAGATGCCTTGGAGAAGTTCATCGAGACTGCGACTGCGCCGTTGATTGGGGAGTTCACGAGAAGGAATGAGATGAAGTATATGAAGGTACGAGCCGTAGGCAAAACAACAAACCTGTGTGAATTTTGAAGACTTCATATTAACTTCATCCAAGGCCGGAAAATCCCTAGTCTACTACTTCACGTCCACGGATGAAGATCGATCCGCCTACGTCGCCGCCATTAAACCCCTCGCCAAAACATATAAAGAATACTTAAACTTTGTGACTGTTGATATTGCTGAGTACGGGCACATGCTACCAGCTCTAGGGTTGGCATCTGATTCTGATCCAGCTTTGGCTGTTTTCAATCCGATGTATGGACAGGTTTTCCCGTTTAAAGAGGATGAGGTTACGCCGAGAGCTGTGGAGAGCTTTGTGACGGAGATTGCACAGGGTAAGGTGCAGCCTTTGGGAAGTCAAGTTCCAAGTACGGAGGGACATACGGAGCTGTAGATGGGTGAGGTAATGAGAAAATGATCACAACTAAGTGTCTGCCAGGGTGCGCTTGAGCCCTTTCGTTCATCTGTACGGATTCCCGCCGTGGTTTTCTGCTGATAATTGACAAGTCACAACCTGTCGTTCCAACATTTGGTACTACCAAGCTAATGTCTTCGATCAATTTCATTGGCTCTTCTTCTATATCATAATCTATTTCTGCCTCAAATTATTCGAATGCTCACTCAAGCCTTCTTTTCCACACCATCAATCGCCTCCGGAACTTCCTGGACAGGAGGTGTTGTTGGTGAGCTGATGTCAAACTGCAAGCGATTCTGCTCAAACCCACTCCAATCACCAATCTGCTCTTCAAAAAACTGATCGAGATCCAAGCCGTTCAACTCAGCCTCCTCAGATACTCGCAAATGCATGCCGGGGATATATTTCAAGATGTAGAGGAGAATGGCAGAGACGATGAACGAGTATGCACTGATAGCAGTGATCTCGGCGAATTGTCGTCCAACCTGGATTCCATTACCATCGATACCACCCGGAGCAGATGTTGCGCCGTCGAGCATGGAGATGGTCTCGGAAGCGAAGATACCAGTCAAGAAACTGCCAACCATTCCGCCGATACCGTGGAGTTTGAATACGTCAAGCCCCTCGTCGATATGGAGCCAGGTGTTCAAGTCCTGGAGAAGAGCGCAAACGGCAGCAGTGACGAAACCAATCACAGCGGCAAGCCAGACACCAACGTATCCAGCGGCAGGCGTGATCCCAACAAGACCAGCAATAGCACCTTCGCAAGCGCCAACAATGCTGAATTTCTTGCCGTTCTTGAAGTAGTCGACGAGTGTCCACCCAAGAATACCAAAGCTGGCAGCGGTATTGGTGTTGAATCCAGCAAGCATAGCACGGACTGAAGCATTGAGAGCACTTCCACCGTTGAAGCCAAACCATCCGAACCAAATGAGGACGGTGCCGAGAAAGACAAGTGTCGTGTTGTGAGGACGACTGTGACTTTTGCCTTCTCCTGGGATAGTTCGCTTGCCGAGGACGAAGGCATACGCGAGTGCTGACCAGCCTGAAGCGATGTGTACAGGTCCACCTCCAGCGAAGTCAAGAGCGGGGAGGTTGAACAACCACCCGTTTGCGTTCCAAGTCCAGCATGCGATGGGACAGTAGACGATTGTTGCCCAGAAGAAGGCAAAGATGAGGGAGGGAACGATGCGACCACGCTCAAAGGCACCACCGATCACGATCTGTACAGTGCAAGCACTGTTCTTTGGTCAGTCTTCGTTTCGCACTTAGATTTCATTCGACTTACCAGAACAAGAGTTGGTACAAACAGAACACAATCTCAGGAAGCACAGCGCTTCCTGGCGATGGAGCAGCCATTACATTCTTCATTCCAAAGTTGGCAAGATCTCCAATGAAAGGTCCAGCGGTCCTCGAGTATGCAAGAGAGTATCCCCAGAACATCCACTGGAACGTCGTGACGGCTGCAACCATCAAACTCTGGAAGAGAAGTGTCAAAGCAGACTTGCGGCGAGCCAGACCACCATAGAGCAGACCGATGCCCGGAATGATCAGCCAGACAATGAAGCCGCAGAACATTATGTACGTGTAGTGGTATTCAAACCCAGCATATTGAGCGTTGACATCTACGAGGAGGGTGTCTCCGCCCTTGGGCTCGGACGAGTTGAAAGAAGGCTACTCATGGTCAGTACGAAGGTACTAGATTTTTTTGGATGCCCTCGACTCACTGCGCTCATATTTGCGTCTGTTACTGCAGCTTTCTGGAAATATCCGGGACAGGTGGAGAGAGCTCTCCTTCGCGGACAACTTGCGAACCATGTGGCATACCCATCCACTTTATATCCTTCCTTCATCCGCGCTGGCTTCTACTTCTATCACTCATCCTCCGAAGTCAATATCCCTTATCTCGACCCATGGGCACCACCAAATCTTTCCTCGGGAAGTGAAGCGTCTTGGCGACCATGCCACAAAGTGCACTTTCCCTGTCTTCGAGATATTTGACTTGCTGAAACTCCACAATCCCCATCTTACAAGATTGCCAAGTGAAGACGAATACCTGTGAGAACCCTTGAATGGTTCAAACTCCAGGTTATTCCAACTGATAAGACGCTTGGCGCTGTGGTGGGATTTGGTATCCACTTCGGGCATGGCTGGCTTCGCTTCGCTTCGTGGCTTGTTTGATAAGCTGGACGACTTATCTGTGGATGATGATTGTCAAAGGGGAAGGTAAGAACTCAATATTAGAAGTGCACTTCCTTCGGAATATCTTTCAATAATCACGACCATGAAGATAAATGTATATGCAGGTCCGAAACTTGACCGTGGAATCGGTATCGTCGTGGTGGAGGCGTTTGCGGCACCATGCGCGTGCTGAGCTGACAGGCTGCAATCCGTCCCGAACGGGATCCCACATTTAGCCAACCGACCTCCCACTCTTCACGAAATTTCGGGATAGAAACCATTCCACATTTGAAAGATTGAATGGCTTTCTATGAGCCTCTGAGACTCGAGGCTCTTGAAGAGTACGAATAATGTTCAATACTCTTCAAAACCAGCTCCGGCCCGTTTCCACACAAGAAAGCCATCGTCCACCATGACAGCACCTCTCAAAATTGGCGTATTGCTCAATGGCTTTGCTTCACCCAATATGGTCGGGATCAAAATCTCATTCGAGACAGCAATCAAATCCGCATCCAGGCTCAATTCCGATGCTGCCTGTCCAACAATCGACTTCTACGATCCCATAGTCGCCCAAATTTATCCGGATCCTTCAACATATGACCTAATCGTCCTAAGCGGAGGAACAGCTGATCCTATGGGTTCGGATCCATGGGTTCTTAAACTTCAAAATTATCTTCGTACCACAGTGCGGAATTTCCCGAAGCAGAAAGTCGTCGGGATTTGCTGGGGCCATCAAACTATATGTGTTTCCTTCGGCGGACGTGTAGGAACTATGGAGGGTGCAGCTGAGATTGGCGTTACGCAAATCACTCTGACGACCGATGGCAAGAAGTTTTTTCCATTTGCTTCAGAGGGGACTCTTCGGATTCATGAGTTCCATGCTAGAGAGGTCAAGACGCCTGCAGAAGGGTTTGTTGCGCTTACTGAAGGGAATCAGGTGTTTTTGAGTTCGGGAAATACGATTTTGACATTCCAGGGACATCCAGAGCTAAATGCGGATTTCGCGAGGAACTTGCTTGCGAGCGCGCCGGCGTATATGGGCGTTGATCCAGAGAGGAAGGAAGCTTTGGTTGAGATGGCGGGATTGGATCATGATGGCGTTGAGAATTGGGCGAGGATCCTGAAATGGGTTCGAGAATGAGATGACTTTTTGGATGTAGGGGCACAATACTTACCCGGAGTCCTATTATAGCCTTCAATCTCGAGATCAGAGAGCAATCTCGAAAGGAAATTTATGGACAGCAGAGATGCCCTACTTTGGGTGATTCATACTCCTGTTCTTGAGCAGATAGGTAGCTCTTTCCAGTATGCCGATGATGTCCCGAGCGGCGGTGTCTTCACTTACTGTCTTGCTTCCGTTTGTTCCAATCGATTCTCCGAGGTGACGATTCCGTTAACGAGCAGTATTATCTCATAGAGAACAAACGGGGAGACGGTCTATATCGTTAGAATTTCTCTCTTGCTGGCGTTCGCCAAAACGTTAGTCTCGGCCAGTCTCGCATCTCGGCCTCTGAATCGCCACCCCGAACGTCAAAGATACCGGTCTCCGGGGCTCAACTATTTCCATGCGGCTCCACATAGAGGCTCAAAATAATGGGCCGGAGACATAATTATTCCTTTCCTTCGACCCACCTATTGTCCACTTAATTGAAGGTAGTATCATTAAAAGAGAAGGAGTAGGAGAAGGAGTTCGCGACGAAATATCTCTCGGCTACTAAGACTCAATATACTGAAAGCTTCAAGCCACTCAACCGTGCAGCGACCGATAGATTTAGACACATTCCAGCCGGTTGCAGAGAGATCGTCCTATCGAATCCAGGCTGAGGCAATAACCTCAAGGTTGGAAACCTTAAACTTTATCTCACCATCGCAAAATAGCGGGTGAAGGCGGAAAGTTAGAACACGCGAAGAAGCGAGAGAAGAGGGGCCTGTGTTGGACTAATACACACGGGTGGAGCATCCACTCATGCGTTGGGCTGGCTGAGGAATGACGTGAAATCTGAACACCAATCCACGGACTTATATGTGAGTCGAATTCTTCTTTGAAATGCTTCCTCTTCTCTTGATTAAAAGTATCACTGTCTTAGCGATTTTTCTTCTACTGCCTCTACTTCAGACCAACGATTTCCTCTTTGGTTATCAACCCTGGTCACAATCATGGCCCGCCTACTTTGGACAGATCCATTTTGGAATGGAAAACGGAAACCATTCATAATTGGCGTGGTCATGTCATCATTATCAGTCATCGTGATGTTCTTTGTCGTCATGTCGTATCTCTACGGTTCTGTTTGGAGGAGTACGCACCGAGCGAGTCATTTGAATATCTTGGCAGTCGATTATGATGGAGGGGTCGTTGGGAAGTCCTTGTCAGCTGGATACTCGGCCTTGGAAGGAGACAAATTTCCGACATTGCATTTTAGGTCTTCTGAAGAGTTTGCTACAGTGGAAGATATTCGAAATGCGGTGTGTAGGGGAGATTATTGGGCTGCAATCTTTGCTCAGAATGGTGCTTCAGACCGTTTGTCGGCTGCGCTGGGGGGTGGCGCTGCTGCTTCTGGATACAACTCGAGTGAAACGTTGACATATGTGGTAAGAACCAGGTATCCTGCACCAAGTCTTCGATATCACGACTAACAGCGCCCAATAGTACAACGAAGCTCGTTACCCCACTGTTCAGTCAAGCCACATTCTGTCGAACATGCAAACACTCATCGGAACTGCCACTTCCATATACGGTTCTCTAAACGGGACTTCAGCTGCCAAATTCCTCAACACTGACGACGCAAACGCTACGCTTGCCCTCCTGAATCCAATCTCAGCATCCTCGATCAACATCATGCCTACACCACAAGGAACCAAGGTCCTCTACAATACCGTCACCTTGGTTCTCCCTATAATCCAGCAATTTTTCTTCCTCTTGGCACTTAATGGCATCTCTACTCACTTCGGTATTTACGGATATCTCTCTAGCCTCCATGTTGGGCTGATTCGAATGGTCGTCGCCATCAGTTATACATTTCTCGCCTCGCTGACACTCGTTGGGTATATCTGGGCATTCAAGGAGGACTGGGGTGTGTCAGGCGGTCAATTTGTCCTGACCTGGATGGCGATGTGGTTGTACATGCACGTCAACTTCCTGGTTCTCGATGCAGCAACGGCATTTGTACCGCTGGCGTACCTGAGTTTCTTTGTCTTGCCGTGGGCGATCATCAATATCACATCTACCATTTTCCCGTTCGAGCTCAGTCCTGGATTCTACAAGCTTGGATACGCACTTCCAGGTCATCAGGTGGTTAGCATGTTATTCCAGATTTGGTCCGGAGGATGCAACAACGAACTTTCGCGCTCTCTTCCTGTATTGTTTGCCTGGGAGATATTTGGGTGGGTCGTAAGTGGGTGGGGAGTTGTGTATCGAAATAGAGCTGCACGAGAGGAGGTTCTGAAGGAGGAGGCGGATGCGCGGAAGCCACCGCAGACTTCGTCAACTTCCAATACCCAAGAAGTTCAGGAGAAACCCAATCCGGAATTGGAAAACTTGCGCAGAAAGATAGAACGAAGGAACACTGGACCTCCAGGATTACCGATGCCGTTCCAGGGGATGTATCTCTTGGTGGAAGATGGAGGAGAGCTTGGGTTGTATAATGTGAAGGATAAGCGTACCTGAGATTGTGTTTAAAGTTGGGAAGTCGGCGTTATGGAAGTATAGACTGTATATTATGATAGAAGCCCCTGCAATTGGTTAGTATTTAGAAAGCGTTCTTAGATTGTTGCAGCAGAGAATAAGATAAAAATTCATTCCATGGCCTTATGAAGCTCCACGAGTGCTGTCCTGTGTTGACCAACTTGAGGAGTGAGAAAAGGGGTCCAGTCACTAAGCGAAAAGCCCCTGGCAAAGTGGCTGAAGCCCCTAGCTCAACCCCACAGGGAACACATGCACCCCTGAAACCTACCCACCCCGCTCATCAACCTCACCAAACGCGGCTCTCCAACGACAATTCCTCGAACGCGACAGTTTACATCATCTTCCTCTACGAATTCGACCGAAAAGCAAAAATGCCTGCCGAGAAACACACTTTCGACCCTGACGGTGATCTTCTCCTACAGCTGCTTTCTCAACCCGCGAAGAAAAAAAGCAAAGATTCGGCGGGAACGGCAAGAGAAGGATTATTCAATTGACCTCGATTCACCCTTGGAACCCGAATTCGCACATGATGCAGCCAATGATGACGTTTCGGAAGGGTCTGAATCTGAAGATGTATTTCAGATGATGCTAGTGAACATGGGGAAAGATAAGCAGAGGACTGGAGGGTCATCTACGACGCCTGCAAGCGGAGCACAAGAGCAGGACCCAGACAAGGACGAAAAAAGTCTGCCGGGCGAAGCGGCCATTGATATGCTGGTCTCTTCACGGCATATGGCTCTAGCAAGTCCTGTTTTCAGGGCAATGTTACGGCATGAGGGGTTCAAAGAAGGGCATACCCTCGGTGCAGAGGGCAGTGTACAGGTGCCTCTCCCAGATGACGATCCTCGGGCAATGCGAATCCTGCTCGATGTCGTACACGGCCTAAATAGGAGAGTTCCTCGGAAGGTCAGCTTGAAGACCCTAGCTTCAATTGCTGTTTTGGCGGACAAATACCAGATGGTAGAAGCTCTGGAATCATACTCGGATACATGGATCAATCGGCTCAAACCTAAACTGCCAACAGAATATATCAAGGCTGAAGACGAGAAGCTTATTTTCAGGTGGATGGAAATCGCATGGGTCTTCGGCAAGTCGGAGGAGTTCAAGGCTATGACTTGCTTGGTTGAGCGTGCCGGATATTCGGAGTTGAACAATGAAGTTGTGGGGATGTATTCAGTTCCGAGTACGATTATGGGTACTTAACAAACCCGTTCAGGGGCATCGGAATGGCTGGGCTTTTTGATTGAAATAATGCAGATACGCTCATGAAGCGGAGGGGAGATGCACTCTATGAGTGCTACACCCTGATATCCCAGACCATTCATCGGTACCAGAATTGCCAAGAAACTCTCTGTCCACGAACTGATGACAAGAACCTCAGCAGTACATGTGATTCCATGCTTCTGGGGTCTCTCTTGAAGAGCGCTTCCATAGCCGGACTGTACCCGGCGCCTGAAATGCCGTACGGAAGGGTATCATTTGATGATGTGGTTCGTATGATGAGTGGCCTTTCTGTGCAGGCTTTGTGTGATCGTATACGCCCATATCATATCGGAGGTGAGCGGAAGGAAGCACATGGTCTGAAAGCTTTGTTTGAGGAGAAGATCAAGGACCTCTATGGACGCCTTTCGGGGCTGGACCTAAAGAGGCACAAACAAAGAGCTTAAGAACAAAAATAAACTGGAAGCTTCTGCGAGACATCACCTGGATTATTCGCGTGGTGCAAGATCTCTAGCTGCCATGATTTGCTGTTGTGTGATGCACAGCATGATGCCATCGCTTGGACGAATTCACAGTGGAAAACTATTCACTAGAACTGACGACTAAGGCAGCGCTCATCTACAGTTCGTGTAATCTTTTAGGCCCCGGTCGGGAATCTTCCTGTTCGGAAGGCACAGCTTCACCTGCTCCCCTTTCAGGTTCTTGAACACGGCACCATATTCTCGCTACGTTTCTATTAGCCATAAGCTCCAGCAAGACCGACACGGTCAAAGCGGACACGTCGGAAACATGTTCATAGCGAACTCACCTGATTTACTGAGATGAAATCTTTATAGATACCATCTTGCTTCATCTTCTCACGAACAAAGTCCCCAATACCATTAAGAACAGCAATCACAGTTGTGATCTTACTATCCCATGAAACAAAAGACGAAGTAGCAGTTCCATCGATTCTTGCGGACTCACTACTTCCATACGGATCTATCACTTCTCATCAGCTTCCGCTTCGTTAGGCAATCAAGATATGTCATGCAAGACAAAGGATGCTTACTCTGCATCTTCTTCCCATCAGCCATATTCTTCCACCATGCCATTCCAACACCTTTATCGAAATATACAGTGGGGAAACTTCCATATGGCGTAATCACGTCGAGTTCCTGGTCCGTTTGATTGGATATCGAAGGGATGCCGGCGGCGGAGATGTATCCGATTATTTCTCCAGTTACTGGATCGGTGGAGTTGTTTACTGAGGCGTAGAGGCCTGGGACCCCGGTTACGACAGAGTTGCAAGTTCTTACTCGTTCGGCGTTGTAGAAGAGTCGCCTGAGGAATGTTAGCTTCGTCTTGAATCAAAAGCATGGCGATGGAGGAAGCTCACTTCACTAGGTCAACGTCGGTGTACGGCATCTCAAGTATCTTCCACTGTTCATGACTTGAGAACCAAAAGCCTGAGAATCAAGATCAGATATGACTCAATCCGTTGGGACGTGGTCATCCTACCTTTCGGTACAGTTATAGGGCCAACCCCTCCCATGTTGTACTCTACACTTACAAGCTGGGGCCGTTTGACTTCCCAGAGAAGGGCTTTGTCTCTTCGAGATAATCCACCAAAGAAATTCAACCACCAGGTGAACAATTCGCCTTCATATGGGTCGTTCAATGTGCCGGTTCCTTCACAACTGTAGTTCTGCCGTGGATCATCGACTTGTAGTGCCTGGTTGAGTGTTGTTACAGCGCAGACTCTACCACCACCGTCATAGAAGACCTTATGATGTTCAGTCATCATGACACGGTGTCACATGGGTAGGTTATCTCACCTTGGCCACTGTTGACTTGGTGTAGTCAAGCCAACCCTGCCAGCTCTTTGCGAGTGCTCTGTACCTCTGGTCGTGGCTCGACTCCAGAACCTGTACCAGGCCATATACCGCCCAAATTAGTTCGCTGTATTCCATTAGCTTCTCTATCAGTGTCTTCAAGACGAATCGTACCCATTGTCAAGTGCTGGAACTCGATTCACCCAATCATTCGTCGGCTTGATATCTGTCTCATCACCCAAGAACCACGGGATGAACCCACCGAATCCAGGAAATGTCTGATTGAACTTCAAATACGTTTTCAATTTCAAAGACATGATTCCAAATGCAATCTCCGGTGCTTTTCCTTCATCATCCGGAGACAAGAATCTTGCCGCGTCCCTTGAACCAGCCAACGCATGTGTATACAGCATAATTTGCAACGACTCTTTGCTCGCAGCGCTGAAAGGATGTTTAGCTGTTGCGAGCCCTGTGGTTGGGTCAATGAGGGTGCCATCGTATGACATCCCGTTCAGCGTGTTGTAGCTGACATTGTTGGCGTGGAATTTACCTTCCCAGTAGAGGAAGGAGGAGATGAAATCGTTGGGATTGCGGAGGATTGATGATTGAGTGTAGGTTGGTGAGAAGCGGCATTTTGGGTGAGGAGGATTTGGATTGGGGCCTGCGAGGACTGCTGTGCAGAGCAATGTCGCTGCTAAGAGGTAGGAGGGAGATATTAGATGCATCTTGCAGCGTCAATAAGCGATGTTTACACCTTTTGATAAGTATGATTCAGGTATGTATCGTACGACTTGGCGACATGAGTAAAACGATTTGTATTCCCTGGACATCGAAGTTAGAAGGCCTCGCAAACTTTACTTTGACCAGTACCAATCATAGCACACCAGGATCATTGGGCACATCAAGCTTCTTCTCCTCTGAGACGATCTTCAGATGACGGCTCGGCAAGTGCCTGGCGGTGCGGGGTCCAGTTGGCGGGAGCGGGGTTGGCAATCCTTCCCACTTTCAGCATCTGGTGGGGTAAGCAACGATGTCGACAGAAAGCTATTTCCCAGTTCCTGAGTTCAAATTGAGCGGACTTGTCTCCATCTAGGAAGGGGCAGCCGATTGTGACTGCACAAGTTGATTTTGAGTTGCTTTTGCGTCATAGTTGGGGACATAGGGTCCGCAGAAGGGCCGGCCGGGATGTCATTGAGTCCCCGACTATTTGTGAGGACCTGGACGAAGAACTGGTGATCTTATGTTCTGGTGCTTCGCTGACACTTTTGTTGGGTTACCTTTAAGATTTCAAGCTTCTCTACCATTTTCAATGTTCGTGTCTCATCCAATTTCTTCACAGTGCTAAGCTTTCCTCGACTATTAACAACTCATCACACGTGTTCAGATATCTGAGATACAAAGATGTTGCTGCCACTATTCTCGGTTTTGCTTCTTCTAGGACAAGTTGTTTCTCAAAATGCAACATCCAGCACTTCTGCCTCAGCCCCAATAACCCCACCAACACCCACCATTTCTTCAAATGGGACTGCAATTACAAACCCGGCAGCATTCACATCGGTAATGACTGTCAATGTCGAGGATCTCTGGAATCTTTTCGTGGGTCCCGTTTCAACTGCAGCAGTCAATACCACTGTCTCGGCGACACCAATTCCAACTCATGAGCTCATTCCTCCTCCAGGGCTATACTACGACCCATTTCCAGCTGGGCAGCAAATTCCCATGACAGTCAAGAATGAGAGTTGGAAATTTCCTGCTGGGTTCTGGTGGGGTGTCGCCAGTGCTGCATATCAGGTTGAAGGAGCTGCCAAGGACGAGGGACGAGGACCGTCCATTTGGGATGTTTTGTTGCATCGAGTGACTGGTTACTCTGTGGCGAATCAGACTGGTGATGTGGCAGATAATCAGTATTTCTTATATAAGCAAGGTAATTTTGATCATATCTCAAGCCTCGAGTGCTCAAAGACTAACTGATCGTCAGATATTGCTCGTATCGCAGCATTGGGTGTAAAGACCTACTCATTTTCTCTGAGCTGGTCAAGAATCTTCCCATTTGGGAATGGACCTGTGAATGAGCTGGCACTTGCACATTATGACGACGTTATCAACACGTGCATCGAATATGGCGTTGAACCTGCTGTAACGCTTTACCATTGGGACTTACCCCTCAATTTGCAAAACAGCTATGGCGGCTGGCTAGGTGGGCAGATTGTAGATGACTTTGTAAACTATGCCCAGGTTGTATTTGAGCGATATGGTAATAAAGTACCTCGATGGTTTACTGTCAATGAACCGATTGTTTTCTGGTATGTCGAGCTCCAAGGGTCTTGCTAAGTTGCTAACCTTAATATTTCAGTAACAATTATCCATTACCAGACAACTATTTCACAAATACCACAATTCCCAAGAGACAGCAGCCATTCTGGTGCGGCCACCACGTCCTCCTCGCACATGGCAAAGCATACCGACTCGGAAAATCAATGGGTCTGAATGGGACTATCTCGTTCAAGACGAATGGTGGATACAAGATCCCACTGACAAACTCAAGCGAAGATGCTCTTGCTGTGCAGAGAGCTTGGGATTTCAATGAAGGATGGTTCGCCAAGCCTACTTTCCTCGACGGAGACTACCCTCAATATTTGAAGGAGTATGTCTCAGGTTTCTTACCTGACTTTACAGATGAGGAGAAGGCTATCATTAATGGGACTTCTGATGTCTTTGCTCATGATGCATATACTTCGCAATTCTATATGGGTACGTTATTATCCTGAATCTTCTGAGAATAGGAGTAACATCAGGCACAGCTCCCGACTCTGGCATCGAAGCCTGCACAAGCAATAGCAGTCACCCACTCTACCCGACCTGCGCTAACACAACATACACCTATGCCGCTTCATCCGGTGGCTGGAATATTGGTCCAGCAGCTGACCCACTTTCTCCTTGGTTGCACAAAGCTACAGACTGGGTTCCTGCATTCTTGCGCTACATTCAGGACACCTGGAAACCAGCTGGCGGAATCGCTGTTACAGAATTCGGTTTCGCTGAACCGTTCGAGCTATTGAAGACGATTAAAGCAGACATTGTCTTTGATCCAATCAGGAGTAGTTACTACCGAGATTACATGCAGGCCATTTTGATGTCGATCAGTGAGGGTGTGAATGTGGTTGGGGCTTTGGCTTGGAGTATTGTGGATAACTTGGAATGGGGGGCGGGATATCAGGACAAATTTGGTATTCAGTAAGTCTCTCAAACTTCTCATACTGAGATTGATGAGATGTGCTTATTCATCTCATAGATATGTCAATTTAACGACTCAAGAAAGAAGCTACAAAGCTAGTTTCTTCGAGTTCGTTCACGCATTTGAAGTTTACGGCACGGATCCAGTTGTCCCTCACTATGTCTCCACCTAGGGCATGAGTAGAAGCATTGTTTTGGAGTTGGAGAAAAGAAAATTCAACTGCCCTTTGGAATTCCTCTAATTTCAAAATAATTCTCAATTCTGGGATGTCTCACGTGCTTGGACGGGTTTCTTGACTCGGGTTATTGGCTGCACAACCGAACTAGGTACCCATCCATGAACAGGCTGCCATCTTTTCATCCGCCACGTTCATCTGAGCCTCGAATGTCAACTCCCACCGTCAGATATCTACAATAATCTCGTGCTCTTAACATTTCAAAGCCAGATATTATCGACTACTTCTGCTCTCTTCTCAATTTTGAAACCACACCCCACGTCCTCAAAAATGGCACCTAAACCTCTTCCCACCCCTCTCCCAACACCTCTAATCCCCACCTCCCTCGACCACCACTCCACCACCCCTTCCCAATGGTTCACCCTTCACCCTCGCATCGCCCGTCTCTGTGTCGGTGCTCTCATTTTCCGATATAATATCACCACCGATCCGGTCACGTCTGCCAAAACCACCACTCCGCAAATCCTCCTCATCAAACGCGCCGCCTCAGATTTCCTCCCCAACCTCTGGGAAATTCCAGGTGGCAGCGTCGAGAGCAATGATGAGACCTTGTTACATGCTGTGGTGAGAGAGGTGTGGGAAGAGACGGGGCTGCTTGTTAGGGAGATTAATGCGCAGGTTTGGGATTTGAGAGTTGGTGAGAAGAGGGTGGTGAAAATGGGTAAGGGTGACAGCGATGAGCTTCATGGGAAGATGGAAGAGAAAGAGTTGGTGGCTGTGGTCGGAGAGAAGCCTGGAGAGGGAGAGGTTGAGTTCTTAGGTGGAAAGGGCGAGGTTTGGTGTAAGTTGAATTTTGTGGTTGATGCTGGGAATGTGGGGGAAGGAGAAGTGGTGCTTGATGAAGAGGAACATCAGGACTGGGGGTGGTTTGGGAGGTATGATATCCTTGAAGATGGTGAGAAGGGAAAAGGTTTGAGAAGAGAGTTTATTAGTGAGCAGGCTGTTCAGATTGTTGAAAGGGGCTTTGAGGCTTTTGAGAAGCTTGAGACGAGAGGGAAGTGAGGGACTCACAGAGATTGGGAAGCAGCAGGATGATAGATCTAGAGATTAGATATCGGGACTTGTTGAGTTGAGTTTTGTAAGCTTTTAGAAGTATGCTGCTTTATGATGATCTATGATTATAACTGAATTTATACTCGTTGGCTCATATTACATGGGGTGGATATCGAGAGTGTTTATTTCGGTACTAGCAACGCAAAATATTTACAGCTGCGAAGCTTGCGCAAATGAAAACATTCCACAGCCTAAACAGAACCCACTCACTCCTGACCAAATAAGATTGCAAGCGTCTCATATGTTTGTTGAGTGAAGATGTGAAAACTTGGCTTCGAAACACATGGCTCTCCGCCAGACTCGGGATCCTGGCTCCTCTCTGAACAAGCCACTCGATCATATCATCATTCTTCTCCATTATGGCGTGAATTAGGGGAACATCACAGCGGCAGTGCCCAAATTTCATAATTTCCCTCGCATCCACGCACAGATCCGGGATTCTCTTCCAGTCTTCTTTCGTGCCGTTCAAAACGGTATCCTTCCAGAACGGCGCGCCTGGCGTATCGAAGAATGCATTCGCAAGTTCCGTGTTTCCGAATTTAGCTATCTGTACCATGGCCTCCCCCCTTCTTGCTGCTCCTTTCCCAACGAGTCTCTTCACTTCGCTTGGTCGTCTTTCCCTGATCGCCTCTATCAAAAGTAGAGTGGATTGCCAGTTCCACGCTTCATGTTCGCGTGAGATATCATTGGCCTCTCTAAGCATCCATGCACAAGCACCTTCCTCTCCGCATTCAATCGCTTGGAAAAGCGAAGATCTTTGCTCAAACTTCTCGTGTTCATTGACGCTTAACCAGAACATGTATTGCTTGAAAGGGGCGAGGAAGCAACTGATAATAGAGACGTGTCTGTAAGCCACGGCCAGGTTGAAAGCGGCATCGTGCACTGTCCAATCCAGGTCGGGCCCCAAGCCCTGTTCATGATTGATCAGGAGATTTACGACCTTCTCGTGGCCAGCTTTGGCTGCTGCATTGAGGTATGCGTTTCCGTGTAGATATGAGAATGGTTTCTCGGAAAGAGTTGCCCCATTATCTAGCAAAATCTTCACTACGTCGTGATGCCCTTGTGTACAAGCATGTTCCAGAGGTGCGGTAAACCATACTTGTCTCGTATTGACATCTATGCCTCGTTGAACAAGCTTTTCTATGAGAGGTAGATCCCCAAGGTACGCGGCAGCTACCAAGGCATTGGCGACAACATTCGTGTCATGGGGGCTCCTGACAATAGTTGCAGTCTCCATGATTTCGCCAGCGTCCAGTACTGTGTTGGCACGGCAGAGTACGAGAGTATACTCATGTCTTCGCTTTTCGATTGCTGCTTCATCCGTACACTCGACGTCAGTATCAATATCGAGATGGATCTCTTGCGCAAATTCCACAGTTTCCAGGATTGAATTTAAAAGCGGGTTATTCTTGGCACTAGGCAGCGCAAGTCGTATCATTAGAAAATTAGTGACGAGATTTTTCATGCTGCTATCTCGCTCTAATGAGATATCGAATAATAATTTACTGTTGGTGAGTACGTTTGAGGGACCGGGCCGGCAGACTGATCGTAGTACTTCCTGGTCGAATAGTTCTACAGCTATTACTTAACTCCCTTTCTTGAGTTGGAGGTGGTATAACTTACTGTTCAGCCGTCTCAACTCCATAAAATCTGCGACGGATAAGTGGGCGGGTAACGAGTCGAGGATGTAGCGGAAGAGATCGAGAGGAAGATTGAGCAAAGGCGTAATTCCTGCCATCTTTGTTACTGTAGTCTTCATGGATGTACGGATCGAATGGTTATCTCGAAGTTGGATGTAGGAGTTTGGACAACCGATGCTTTGATTGTGCCTTGTTCATTTGATATCTTAGAATGAGGGTTGTTGGTGTGGGTAAATTGCTAAATTCCACTAAACCTCTAGCCTACCAAGTTTCCCACCCAAACGTCTCCTAGGTATTCATTAGCACCGGACGCCGGAGGTATACCACTACATACTTCGGTAGGTTGGGAAATAAGAAGTATCCTCGTGTCTGGGACTTTATTTAGCCACTAAAGCCATGTTTGACGGCACAGGCGTAGTTAAACTACGAATTTTATTGAATATCTTGATAGACAGACGTATGAACGAACACTCTGACACACAAAAAGAGACTACGAAACTTACGTAGAAACTTTATTCGTAAAGTGCAAAGTTCCATCCAGGACGATTCATACTCGATGCGACTCGTCTGGGGCGCCAAATATATCCCGCTTAAGCCCCTTTTCACGACGTCGGCTAAACTGCTTCCCCCATCCAGATGTAAACAAACCGCCTGCCATGAGATAGTTACAGAAAGATTATCTGAGCCGCTGAATACTACGAGAAAATAAATAAACGACGTTCGTAAAGCACAAATACTATGGCGCCTGATCTAGTTTGCAAACTTTGTCTCGTGGCTTCATGGGTCTAGTGGCATCGGGCTTGGAAGCACAAGGATTTTATCGTCATCGCTCCTCGTTTGCTCCTTCTTGAAATGGATATGTCAATGTGATAGAAGCAAAGCGACTACGAACCTCCTGTTAAAAACAATATACCTGCTTGGTATCTTAACTAACAAACTCTAGGTATCACGTGGATCTACCAATGGTGTAGTCTCCGCCCTTGCCAGCACTCTGCTACCTTGAAGTTACCTGATTGATTCATAAGAGTCTATCTTGGTAGTCTTGTTGGCGGGTCGTAAACAAAAGGACAGGCAAATGGTACAGAAACAACCTACTTCCGTCTCAAATGATTTGGCGTGTCGATTGTGCACGGTCTCCCAGGCGCGTTTCGCCGCTCTCAAAAACGCGTCTTCTCCTCTCCGAATCCAAACTTAAATCCACCAGTCCCAACTCGAACATTTAATCTCTCTGCAATCACCACAGATCTTTCCGCAGGACGACTTGATCATGAGTCTCTCTCTCTCCCTTACACCTCGCTGCCCAACATGCAACAAAACCGACAAACTCCTTCGCTGCCTGGGTTGTGGCGTCATGTTCTATTGTGGCAAGGAGCACCAAGCCTCTGACAGACCAGCTCACAAAAAGGCATGCAGCTCTGTGAAGAAGGTACAAAAGCACCTTGAAATCGAAGAGCAGAAATTGCGCAATCACCCAGGAGACTTCATGACCCCCGACAATATATTCGAGAACGGTGTCGGTCATTTCTGGGGAATCCACGAGACCCGACCATACATGAGAGCTCGACACGTTCTCGTCGATGCACTTCTTACAATTAAGACGAAAGCCGCGGTACAAGCAGCACTAGATCATGTTTTGGACATATTGAGATTGTGCCGGGGTGACAACATGGGCGTCCGCAGTATCGCTCCTGGATTGTATCTTCGTTTGGGAAAGGACCAAGAATGCTACGACTTTGTCAAATGTGAGTTGAAGATCTTGCTTTGGTAGACCATGGGAAATGTAGCAAGCTAACATATGGAAGGGTGGCGGACAACTGGCCAAGAATCAGATTATGACTGGGGAAACACTGATAATCCCTACCTTGACGTCAAAGATGCCGATGCCTTCGAGGAAAGTGGGTTTGTTGGAAGCAAATACACCGATCCCAGCTTTGGGGCTGCAATTACTGTCTTGAAAATCAGACTCCTCTTGGACTTGAAGGCTTTGCAAAATGCTTCTCTTATTGGCAAGAAGGTCCCACAAGAGCTTCTCGACCAAATTCGAGGCCAACTGGTCAGTACGATCGTTGGGAACAACAAGGATATCATGGATAGTGAGGATCAGGGACCACTTGTCAAGAAATTAGAGGACCAGGTGAAGCAGATGCATGTTGCCGTTGGCAAGAGCAACAAGTATTTCTGGCCTGCTCTTCTCAATCCCGGACCACATTTGACAGCGACTTTGACCATGTATAGCCATGGAACGATACCACATATGCAGCTGTGCCTTCAGCAGTCATACGACTCTTGGGCTGAAACACCTGGAGCTATCGATATCATTCGGAAGCTGGAGAAGGGTGAGGATCTCTAAGTGGAACGGGCCAGCATTATGGAATGCTGCTGGCCGTGACGGGTTCTCGTTTCGCAAAGTTCGATCGAGGCCATTCTTCTATTGTGTTTCAAAATTCTTGTCACGTCTGTTGTCCTTTCACATTCACATGTGGCAGACAGACGATGGTCTGGAATTTCTGGAAGTAGGACACCAGATAATGGCGAATCAGAGATCCGCCAAATTTTCCCTGATTTGCCAGAAACGACAGACTTCGTCCTTAGCCACTTATATAACTTTGTGTCCTCTCCATGTTCTGGAGATTGTTTCAAAGTACTCCTGAATTGTGGACAAAAATCCCAAGCAAGCGATATGGAACTGCACCAGATTCCAAACGGCTCTGGGGCAGCCATGGCGATCGGTACAAAGATTGTTGGAGACAAAATCGCGGATAGAGTGCGTTTCTGGGAGAGACTTTCTTGAAGAGAAGTTCGCCCGTCCTCAAGCCGACTGCCGCATCTGATAGATTTGTGCTCATTGTATGACCTGATCGTCCATCGGAGATGCAATGACCTCGGCTGCTTTTGTAAAATATTGGAGCTTGCAGAAGTTCGTGCTGTGTATATTTCCCAGGACGGTATGAAAATTCTTGAATGGAGTCATTCTTGCTGACTTCCACTGAGAATTTGAGGTCTCTTTAAGGCTACAGACTAGTCTCAGCTCCAGCTCCATTCAAAGATTAGAAACATGAATGAGGGGTCGCAAGAAAAGGAAGCTGCCGAGCTTCAGCTGCAGGCGCAGCTGAAACTTAAGCAGCCACATTCCTAGCCGCTCTAAGGTCCAAACCTCAAAAACAGGCTTCTGATAACCATACAGCTGGGACCGAGCCAGTACTCTAGTGTTGATCCTAATCAAGATTACTTGCATGTCCTGGGAAGTACCGGCATTTATGGCACGGTGTCGCCGTTCATGCACCTGTAGGCGGCACTTCACTTCACCTTCACTTTGCTTACAATAAGTAAGCTAGGCTAGTCGGTGAGAAAATCTGCGTTTGTGATTTGAGTGCTTACTTGCGCCGTGTACGAGTGACTTCTTTGAGATAGGTGGTATCCGAGGCAAGCGAGTAAGGTAGGAAAAAGAGAAACAGAGTCAGCATTTAACTTTACAAATGCGAAGAGTAAACAAATAGGCGACACGCTGCTGATTACCGGCCGCAGAGCACACTTCCCGTTCCAATTACAAAGAAAGTAAGGCTGGATTACTAGACTATGATATATTGATTCGTTCGATCAATTATGATCTTTGAATGTCTCACATCATCGAAATGATGTACCGCCAAGTCATGTATCTCGAAGTCACTGCCGCTCTAAACTTATTGCACCAGGGCTGAGGCAAGCCCCTTTCTTTAGCGCGTCTCGCTTGGCCCTATCACTGGAACAACAGCGTTTCCTTGCAGTAAAAGTCGGCAACCAAGGAGACACTAAAAGCCTTAATTCCGAAAGGCCGCATCTGTAGGACTCAATTTTCCTTTCTGCCTTTCTCCTCATGGCTCATTGAAAGCCAGATTAAAAAGCCAGCATTCCCTTCTTTCTACATGCGGTCGCAGATCAAGCCATGGGATCGTTTGTATGTCCGACAATATGCAGAACCGACGAACACGCGAATATAAGGGATCTAAATTCACTGAGGGGCGATTGAAGTTAAGCACCTCGTGTGGGGAGTGCCACAAGAGAAAACAGAAGGTAAATTGCGGTCCTGACTCGATTGAGATGTTCCACAGCTTAGCTGTGAGAGAATCTGGGACTTCCCCGGCGCCAGGGGGACTAACCGTGTCGACAGTGTGATCAGAAGCAGCCATGTAGGCATTGTGCTCGACGCTATCCCCAACCAGACTGTATTTATCGAAACATCAGGTATGCTGGATTTCATGTCGCTTGACTCCTATCTAAATTGATCTCAGAGATACGTCCACTACCTTAAAGGGAGCATCAGACGAACCCAGTGAGCCACATGCTGAAAGTAGAGTCGCAAGTATTTCTGGTCAGCAGAAAGACCGTTTCGAGACCGAGACTACTTCCGACTCTACTATCAGCTTTTCAGATGATCTGGTTCCAGCTTGGCTACAGGTCGAAAACGATGCCACAAAACGGGATCTTTCCGTCTCCGTGGAAACGCTGGACCAATTCGGTCCAAACACATATCAGGATCTCTTGAGTTCCATGGTCTCACAGATATCATCCAGTGTCTTGGCTGATCCTGCGAATTCCAATGCGGCGGTTCTTGGCTCCTCCAATAAGACAAGGACTGAACTCCCCGCCATCTCCTACGATAGACTTTCTTTATATCCAAGATCGCCATCGGGCACCCCAGACCAGCGCTCGCCTCACTTTGATCTCGTGCCTTCTCCACATGATATGAACATCAGCTCTGTTGACCCACTGCATTTCTTGGGTATCACCCCTACAGTCCAAAGTTCTGAACTGTTACAGGCTTGTACGTATTCAATGCATTCCATGGAAATGCTCGTGAAGCTAATTACTCCATCTGTAAGTTCTCAAGCTAATAACGAAATATGTCGTATCCATCGACGGCCATGCCGCCCCAAATTACTATAATGATCATTGGGTTCCATGGTCCGTCAAGTCACCTCTGCTAGCTTACTTCGGCATATTCACGGCAGCATGCTATCAAGCTGAAGCCCTGAAAATCTCGCCAAATCAGTCGGCAGTCGTACTTAGGTACAAGTGCAAAGTCATAAGCCTGCTCAACGAGATGCTCTCACACAAGGCAACGTCTACGTCGACGGAGGCAATCGCTGCTGTGCTTTATCTTTCAGTGAACGAATGGTATTGGAGTGACTGGGAGAACATACAAGCACATATGAAGGGGCTGAAAGAAATGGTCAGACTTCGAGGCGGACTGGATAATTTAGGAATGAGTGATTTCCCTAGGAGGATGATCTTGCTGTGAGTCCAAGGAGCCCCAGTAACTGCATCATTTCTAAACTGGTCAAAGGATGGACTATCACATCGCCTGCTCCTACAGTAGCGATCTAACTTTTCCTCACGATATTAAAACTCCAAAGATTTATCCTCCACAGATGAGCATACCTTTCATTCCACCTTCCGCCACATCCACCTCCAACGAATCCGACATTCAAATTAGCAAGCAGACAGCCATGATATTAAACGACATGCGATTCCTCATGCTTGCGATACTGAACCAAGTTGACCGGAATGTTTCGGCGAAAGAGATGCAGAAATTAGAAACAACATCCATCTGGATCCAGAATCGAATTTCCTCCCTTCCAGACGGATCTGATCCAAACGATGACATCTCACGTGATCAAATCTACAAAAGCCTCCGCCTGGCCTCCCTGATCTACTGCAAAGCAATAGTATCTCGTAGGAGCCTCGCAAAATCCTGTACATTATCCGATCTCAACCAACTCTGGGCCAATATGTGGCAAGTCAAGCTCTCGCGCTGGAAACAAATCCCTGGAATCTTCCTGTTCATCATCTTAGCTGCGACTCCTGCAGCGCAGGATACTGCACACGGGAGGTTTTTGAAGAGTATGCTGAAGACTACGAGTTCTTATATTTCAATGGATTATTGGGAGGTTGCGGATGCTTCGTTGATGGCGTTTGTGAAGTTGCAGAGGTGGTTGACGAATGGTGGTGTTGATGCTGTGAAAGTGGGGCAGCAAACTTCATTGGAGTTTTTGCATATCTATGGAGAGTAGGATAATTATAAGATTGGAAACTTGTATGTTTAGCGGAGAAATTATGTGTATTAATCAATACAAACGATGCGACAGTGTAATATCAATGAATAATCGCATTTTCCACTGACAATATTTATGGTTGGGATAATCGTCGGTTCCCCGCTGCGGGCACTAGCTTAAGCGAAAGCGCCGAGAGGAAGGGAACAGGCTTAGCTGCCTAGATATCTTCTATGTCAACAAAATCCCCCACGCAGGTTGAAATGCTTGTATTTATCAATTCGTGGTCATCTGTTTCTCTCTTGAGAACTTAATCGCATTGCATGCTATATTTAGTTCTCTACTTCCCACGTAGCATAAGGCTATCCTGTGTTTTTTCTTCGCCACAGCCCTTCCTCTGGAGATTTCCCATACCCTTGAATCAGCTGTGCCAGAGAGTGACCTTGCGAGCAGGAGGAAACACGCCAGAAATGATTTATTTAGATAAAGTATCATTTGACTTTCACTTCATCCACTGCGCTGCAAGTAGCTCACAGCTCACGGGAGGTGACTTCGATGGCAAGCTTCACCACGGCAACCTTATTTACATCTCGCTTAGATAAGCGAACCTGATGTCATGTCCGTCACAATAAATTTGGCGGGGAAGAATCCTGTGAATAAATATTTCTTACAATTAAAAAATATTGTATAAAATGAGTGTCTACAGCAATCCCCACTTCGTACAATTTAATCTAAAGCCCTGTTTTTCAATTTCTTCCTCTAAGTCCTCTGTACATGCGAAGATCCAACCTCACCGTTCAATCTCCGTAAATATCTATCTTGCTGTCTCATTCTGCATTAGGCATAGTAATAGAAGTGAACAAGATCCTTGTTGCTTGTCGCCTTGCACCAGCCCTCCATAGTCCCATCTCTACGCGAGACGACTCCCAGAGATCCACTTGCTTGACAAGCTGAATTCGCTCCAGGCAGCGCCTCACTCTTCCAAGTCTTAGCTGCTTCGGTCCAGTAGGCATGCTTGAGCTTTGAGTCTGAGCCGAGGAAAAAGACCTCCTGGTGGTTGAAGTTCATCGATACAGCGCTCAAGGACCCAGGAGTTGCAGCGAGGTTAGAGATCGGCTCGGAGGGTGTGTTCCATGTTCCTGGTGTCTCGCTCTTCCAATAAATTTGATGAACCTTCTTGTCGTTCCCGATGTAGAAAATGTTGATGCGAAGCTCGGAGCGAGTTGTGGTGGTGAGTCTAGATGAAGGATGAGCGGATCCGGGGCCGAGAAGCTGCTTGCCTTGCCAGCCCGAACCGTTGAGCCAAGCTCCCCAGATAGCGCCGTCTGGTCTGGTCCAGAATACAGCGAGTTGAGCGAGTCTGGTTGAAGTGATACTTGTGAGACTGATTGGATTGACTGGACCACTCCACAGAGTTTGATCGATGACCCATTTCTGCCCATCATCGTTCGAATAGGAGTGGCGAAGGTCACCGTTGTTTCCGACGTAAAAGATTTCCATGGATCGAGGTTCGCGAGACACTGCCGAGATACTGTAGTCATACGTTAATGTCATTCATTGAAAATTTGTTTGACATGGGATGTTATCTGCAAGAACGGTAGTATGAGAGACGGTTTGGCATACCTGGTCCCTGCAGCAGCCGCCCGTGCCTTCTTCTCACTCGAGCTGAACCAATTGCCAATACCATTCTGAGCCACAAAATAATAGCTGTATATTTCGTTTCCTCGCCCAAAGAACGACTCCATACGATCTGTGGAGCGGACAACGGAAGCGACGCCTCCATCCACTTGGTTGTTGCTGCCATCGATAGAAAGTGGATATTGTGACCAGTCCGAAACTCCTTCTTGCCAAAGCATATTCCATGGTTGAGCTTGTAACTTGCCGTTTAACTGGTTTGCGAAAGTCACGTAGAGCGAGCCACCACTTCTGGCTGAGGCTGCGAAGTCACGACCGAGAGACGCCGAGTTCTTGATACTCTGAATACCTACTGTCCAGCTGGCACGCTTGTGAAGATTGCCGCTTTGCAAATTGGATACTACAGTCGAGTTAGCCTGGTCTTAATGAACGGGGGGACAACGCACTTTCTTCACCAATAGCATGTATAGTCTCGTTGACAAGAGATCCTTGCTCGTTCGGTTGAGGAAGAGCCATGGCGAGTGAGTTGGCGACAATGACTCCGAAGGTGAGTAGTAAAGATACTGCTTGCATACTTCTATGTATAGTTGAAAGATAGTTTAGTGTCTTTTAGAATTGTTGTGGGCTTTTGACAAGTTGTGTGAAGTCAGATGTTGATGTGTGGATATCTTGACTGCAAGGTGGCTTTCTCTTGTATTTATACATTTCATTGATACTGGAACCAGCTATATGCCGAAAGATACATCTCCGAGGAAACATGATTTCAGTCACCAAGATATTTCACGATGGCATTTCTTTTCCTTTCCAAGAATCTATCGTCAGATTAGAGGGGCAACTTGCGGCTGAGCCCATGGGCGAAGCAGCCAAGATATGACATTTGTACTTGCTCATTTCACCTGAGAACATGGTATGTTGCCCAAATAACTTTTGATTCGATAAAAATCCTTCCTACATATCCTCCAAGCGATCCACTTGGCTTCAGGTGTCAAAGTTCGGTGACGGTCAATGCATGGATAGGTCGCCTAGCTCGCTACACTCTCGCTGACAATTCGGCTGACGTTGGTAAACATACAGCCAAGCTGTGAAAGGGGCATCTTAGTCATGATTTTACATCTAAAGTACGTTCAAAAGCGGGGACTCCAAGCCCTGCACAGTTTACTGTTGTCATTCTCTCATCTACGGCCGTATTATAGTGATGCTGGCAACTCAGATTCTCTTTTCTAAGTCTCCACCCTACGTGCGTAACTTGACAGACCTGGTCCAGCCATACTAAGACAAACGTTGTGGTATTCTGAATCCTAGCTTATATTTCATTGTATCGTTTCATTATCTATCTTTGGTTAGATATATTTCCTGCCTGTTTCGGAAAGCTGAGCAGAGCTGCGTTCGTCAACAACGGTTTTGGCTACAGTGTGGATCAAATCCAAGTAGAAACAATTACTGTTAAAGAGTATTAAGCGGTTTTTGACACTTCTTACTAGTCTTTGATCTTTGCCATCTTTAAATGACTATTTGAGATCAGTTTTGGAATATTACATATCATTAATGGAGTTCCAGATTAGATTAAGCTGAATGATATAAGCGCTGGTGTCTCAACTACTGTCTAAGATACTCACTATTTTCGTGAAATCTCACTCAAACCCCCATTATACAGCCACGATATACTAGCAATGACGCTTTGTTGAACAAAAGCGTGCTTGATCAAGTGTTTTTGAGGTGCAAAGTGTAGCATGCACACGTGACGGATATGAAAGCTTCCGCTGGTGTTACTTTTCAACATGAAATTGATCCTTTCAAGAGAGCTAACTTTGAATGGAGACCTCTCCGACTAGTATTCGCGACATGGAGTATCTGAGGTCTTGAAGACAAAATTCACGTCGTGGAAATGGAGCTGCTTTTCGCACTAATTTACATGTCTCATACAATTTTGAAGTCTTCAAAGAAATTACCTTTGGAATGCCAAACCTCACCTCTCATCAACCCATGAGCATAGCACTCCCCAATCAAAGTGTAAGTTTCCTCGTTGCTCCGCAGCACGTAAGGTAACAGTCCTTCCCCGTTCGGTAATTGTACAAATGCTCGCCTTGTTATCTCAATACCCTGCCAGTAAAGTCTGAAGTCGGGATTCAGCGGTCGAAGGATATAAGGCACGCTGGCACCCGCAGGTACACAGACTACATCGTTGAGCTTCAGGCCTTTGGGACCGATACCTATGTATCCGAGACTCGTGACGAAGAAACAACGATCAGATGTTATTACAGCGACACGAGTGTAGTATTCCATAGATTCATATGGCATGAATGTCAAAGGCGGCATTGATCCCGACTCTGGCAGCTCTGGAGGCGCAAGGGAACTCAGCAGACGAGCCCGGAAGTGAGCAAAGAAGCTGTATGGCGGCGCTTCAGGATCATTAGGAGACACTGCCTGAGGACGATCTCGTTCGTAGTCAAAAATGGGGTCGTTGCGGTCGACGATAAGAGTTCGCCCTAATGCCTCCCAGAGCTTGCCACCGCCAATATATTCGTCGTCACTTCCCCAATACGTTTTCATCACCTGGTTTATTACAAGCTCAACCTGGACATACCACTCTGGGAGATGTGCAGGACTAAGGAAAGAAGATGTGCGGTCCTGACCTGGCTCAGCGAAAGCGTCACTTTCTCGCACAACAGCGACGACCTTGTCTACGAGCATGCCCTTCACTAAAATCTGGTCGCCAGAGTCATCAAGCTCCGACATCGAAGTTAATTTGTGTCCTGCTGTGAAGCCTCCTAGGTTATCGATCGGTGAGCGATAAGGAAGTCGCCAGTCTGGTACCCATGAAGGTAAGTCTAGGCTGTCCGGGATCAGCGAGTGGTTTGCGAGCCCAGCGAACGATAAAACATCTACGATGTCGCTGTGACGTAGAATCCATCGAGCGAACTCAATGAATATCTCTGCTTCAGATCGTCCGTATTCGATGCCGAAGGCAACCTCTGTCCCTCGATTGAGAATACTCGATAGCCCAAATACCTTGTCCTTCGGGTCTCGGCAATGAAAATTCCTCGCAGCATCCAGACATTCTAGAATTTGTTCGCTTGTCACTATTGCTTGGTGGCGCATAGAATTTCTTATGTCTGCGAGTTTCCATACATTCAAGGTCGTCATTGCTCTGAAGCGGCGTGGTTGGTTCGCTGTCTGATTCCAGAAATGGCTCCCATCAGTGGCAGCACGGCCAAGAGCCTTACAAGCTGCGAACAAGACGTCCCAGTCCAAACTCGCGTTCCCACAATGGACGATAGCTCTATGTGCTAGAGCAAGTTCTTGGATGATCCAAATTCTTGAGAACCAGGGCCTGGTCCAAATCATGTTCGTCTTCTCCAAATTGGGATCTTCAATCAGGTCTTTCCAAAGAGCATCATTTTCTGGACTACGTTCTTCCCGAGGCTCGAGAATGTCTCCACCTCGATCGACGAACTTTTGCCCGATTCTTTTCAGATATAACATGACATCTCTGGTGCCCTCTGTCTCCTCTCCAAGCCAAATGAGAACCTCGGTTGCTTGCCCATAAATATCAGCCATGAGGGGTATCTGGAGCGATTTTTCTGCATCGTCTGCTTGATTGATGCAAACTGCATCAGCCCAAATCGTCAACGGTCTGTCAGGACGTCTGAACTGGATGAGTGCGGCGTGGAGATTCTTCGTGATTTTCAGATTGCCTTCCCCACATACGAGTGTCTCCGTGAAGGCATTCTCGCCCCATGTATACGAGAGAGCCACAAACTCAGGTCTGTCGATTAGTGATACAACTGAGAATGTACATTCTAGATTTTGGTCGGTATCTTTGTTCCTCGGAGGCAAAATGTTGATCAGCCTGATGGTGTCTGGTGCGGTGAGGCGCTGATAAGTGTAGAATGGGAGAGTTGCTACGGAAGAGCTCATTATGAGAAATATCACGACGCGAATGTTTCTTGCAATAGGTATTCGCGGGTTGGCGATGCATTTATTATCGTTAGTGAAATCTACGAAGTAGTGAGGCTCAAGAAGCAGATGTATGGATTCAGGCTGGGGCCAAAGTGGGTAAACTGTGCGAGCTGGAATGCATGTGCAGCGCAGGTGACTCCTATGCCCGATTGCGGACGCATGCATCAAGTGGTTATGTAGCACTCCGCAGTATCCTTTGCTGAGCAGACTAAAATTTTCTGGAAAATCCTCCCATGCGCCATTGCTAACGTTCTTTTGTCCAGGCACATTGACTGATACTCTCCCATGCAATGAAGCACGTCCTTTCCAGCCTCCTCTCCCTGTTCATGAGCTCCTCTACTGCCGGGCACCTGCCTGCCTCAAGAGCACTGGGGTGGAGCACCCCATCGGCACCACAATAATGTCACCAGGCAGCATAAATCCGGAGCCTATCCCAAGCCACCCTTGACCGGTACGACAAAAAGAGCGGCCCATCATCTGGTCTCCAAATGCTCTTGTAAAAACTGTCTTCGATTAGCAATCTTGACATCTAGATTCACATTGGCATCGCCAGCCAGCTTCCGATCAAGAGCCATGTGCGGTAGTCGTTGATGCAAAGACATGATAGCAGACCGTTCTCCATTGATCCTTCTTATCCCTAACAGGATAAATCGAGGCTTTCAGGACGAATGACTCTAATTTTCGGAAAGACTGGACACTAATACTCCTGAGTATGCTACCGTAAAGACGTTTCTGGACTCACCTGCGACTGAGGTGGCGGGTGTCCAATGGGTGCGAACCAGTTGTGTCGTACACTGGCTCGGTGAGCTAGCCTGCATGACTGCAGATTAGTGGTGTCATTAATCATGTAGCGATACCTGACGTGGCAGGTAGGAAGCTGATCTGATTAACAGAGAAAGCTTCGTCTGGCATCAGAAGCTTGGAGGGAGTTAATCGGAAACAACTCTGCACCTTCGTACCCAATCAGTAGCTCTGGAAGAATTCGGAGAAATGGCAGCAAGAAAACTGGCTGACGGCAGAGAATAGGTAGATTCCTCAGTATGCTGCAAACAAGGTAATTATACAATTGGCTCTTTGACCCTACACGGTTACCACGAGTAGTATTGTCGTTGAGCGGTAATGGGTCTGTTTGGTAGTTGTACCCAGACCTTGCGATTCTGCTCCTTCTTCTCACGCTCTTCATGGAGACGAATTCGAGTCTTCTCTTCCTTCAATACCACCGACAGAGCTGCGAATGTTAGTTAGTTTCCAAGTTGGGAAATTTGATACGTACAGGTCGTTCGGTTCTTCATCAGATAAACTTGACCTCTCGCACGATGATCAGGTGTTTTTCCATACAGACCCTTACCACACCATGCTTCATCCACATATAATGTCGTAGGATCCTCAACCTGGACGCGCTCCCCATCTTTGGTGAGAATCTGTTTTTGTCGGAAGGTTCCTTTTACACCCAGTCCCAATCCCATTCCCCTCCGGGTAATAGCTTCGTTCCTAGCATGCTCAAGATGTTCCTTGACGTCCTTGGCAACTTTCTTCTTCGAGAATCTCATCTGCACAATTGCCTCCTCAACGGTTTTACCAGCGATCTGCTTAGCCAAGGGGACAAGTTTCTTGACAGACGTCTTGAAATCATGACTCTTTAACAGCATCACCCTTTCCTCTCTCTTCAATTGTTGTGTCTTCGTTAATCGACCCCTTTTGTGAATATCCCGAATCACCATCTTGCGCTCCCATCGCTTTCTTGCTTGTGGCTCTGGATCTAACGCAGCAGCCATTGTATGCGGATTCCGGGGCTCCAGCTTTTTACCCTCCGGTCCTTGAGAAGTTGGACCAACAATTTCCTCATCTTCGAAGATGGATGACGATGACAGGCTACCACGTTTTGGCCCTCCAGCTGGTGGCTTAGGCTTCTTCCGCAGATACTCTTCGGTCAACGGGTTTGTTGGCTTCGCTCTGGACTTCATGGCTTCATCCACTTTCCATGGCCGCAATGAAAAGCCGGTTCGACGTTGGATAATCGGTGTGAGCAAGTTGAGCTTTGTTTGCGGAGACGTAAGAGCTGTGGCTATGAATTCTATTAGCCTTTGCAGAGTATATCAGAAAATCCAACACATACCCGTCCTCACTACTCGCCGCGAAGGCAGATGTAAACTCATGATGGTCGTTAATGATGCCCTTCCTCGTTCTCAGAAGCTTCACGATAAACATGAAAACGGGAGAACTGTTGATCCGGCGACACGTGATCGCGATCTGGACCCGCGCCGCCCATGAATTTAGTACAGCCAAAACACCCCCCAGGGAGGCAGACACCGCAACGACAACCCTCTACAAGTACGCGCTCAATTCATCTCAACTATCAGCTTTGAGATGCTAAGGCAACACCTTGACGATTTCTCTAGACAGTGATCTTTCGACACGATACTGTCAACCCTGTCAACCTCAAGGCTTCAAGCCAGGCGCAATGGCCGAATCAGTTGCTGTCGGCGAAGATGCATGGCTTGCCCTCGTTGATGAAGCCAGCAGAACTGCCGGCGATCTTGAGCAGAGAATAGGAGTTGTGGAGCAATACAAGCGTGCGATTGCGGCCGAACCTTGGTCGAATAAGTTGTGGTTGGCTTACTGCGAATGGTTCTGGTCTCTGTACACAGATTGTCAGAATGGCGATGCAGGATGGCCAGAAGAAGAGCAACAAGTCGGGCAAGAACTGTTCTCTCTAGGGGTAGCTCTGGATGTTTGGCATGAAGGCGCGCAAGCAACGCAATACCGATTGAACGACAGCCACGAGCTATGGAACAGATGGATGTCGATCGAGTTGGAACAGATTTCGAAAGCTCCGAACCGCGAGAAGATCGACCGCGCCCGGAACCTATTCTTTGATCGACTTCGGATTCCACATGCCACTTGGGATGAGACCTCGCAGATGCTCTCGACATTTGTCACGAAATTCGACGAGCCTGCCTGGGAGGCAACCATGATTGAGTCAACAAAGGCTGGACGGGTTGCAAAAGAATTGTACAGCAATCGCGAGCCGCACGAACTGAAGCTGCAGCGAGCTATTGACACCGGACATACAGAGATCATCAAGGCTGAAATGAATGCCTATCTGACCTGGGAATCTAATCAAGCACTGTACAAACCTAAGAAGGGGGCCGCTGCTAGTCCACTGATACTTTGCGCAGCATTGTATGAGCGAGCTCTCTCTTCAACCCCCCTAGGCTTGGAGCCCTCAATTTGGGAAGACTATATCGTTTTTCTTACCAACCATAAGGACGAGCCGGCTGACAATCAACTCCCCGCTGTGCTCCCTGTTATTCAGAGAGCCACAAATCACTGCCCATGGTCTGGTAAACTTTGGGCAAGGTACATATTATCTGCGGAAGCTGAATCTCTGCCATTCTCTACAATGGAACAAATCAAGCATGCCGCTACAAACACCAGAGAATTGGATCGTGATGGTATGGCCAGTGTCATCGAATTCTACATTGCGTGGAGTGGATATTTGAAAAGACTTACCATGATTGCTGGGGCAACGGATGATGATATTGATGTAGCAGAAATGGGTCTACCAACTGCGCTGGAAGACGTTCGAGAATGGGGTAAGAGACGACATGGCAAGGAATGGAAAGGAGACCCCCTGTTCCGTATCGAACGTATTTTCATCCAGCATCTGACCCAAAAAGGGGCCATCGTTGAAGCTCGGGAATGTTGGAAGCGGTTGGTTCAGACCCATGCAGATAGTTACGAGTTCTGGCAACAGTACTATCTATGGGAAATGACTGTTAGAAATCCTGTTGGACCACCGACACATGCTACTGGGGTCTTGATTCAAGCTGTCGGTCGGAAGACATTGGACTGGCCGGAGAAGCTTATGGAGATTTACCTTCGGCATTGCAACAACTATGAAGAAGTTGGCGCTTTGCTCAAGGCTATGAGCACCGTACATCGAGTTACGAAATTAGTTGCTACTAGGCGCGAGAGAGAAGCTGCCGAAGTTGCGGCGGCATACGCTCAGCAGCAGCCAGCAGTACCGTCAGAGTTACCTGCTGAGGATGAGTCCCCGTCAGGTGCTTCCAAGAGAAAACGCGAGTCTGCGTCGGAAGACCCTGAAGGTGGTGCCCAAAAAAAGCTGAAGGGTGTCGATCGAGAGGCTGTTCGAGCACAGCATGCAAAGCGTGATCGAGAAAACACGACTATCCTTGTCGCAAACCTACCTACTGAAGTTACCCAGACGAAAGTCAGGCAATACTTCAAGGAGTATGGGCACTTAAATAACGTAACTCTGAAGACCGAGGCCGACAAGCAATCTACCACGGCATTGATCGAGTTTCGAACGCCTGAGGAGGCGCAATCCGCTCTGCTACGCGATTCAAAGTATTTCGGCGAGAAGCAACTCCAAGTTACTCCAGGTACGGGGCTGACATTGTATGTGACAAATTACCCACCGATTGCTGATGACGCTTTTCTTCGACATCTGTTCAAAGATTGTGGTGAGATATTCAGTATTCGCTGGCCAAGTCTTAAGCATAATACGCATAGACGATTCTGCTATATATCGTTTCGGACTGCAGAAGGAGCGGCCGCCGCTACGAAACTCGATGGTCAGTTGCTTGGAGGCAAATACAAGCTAAGCGCGAAATACTCCGACCCGGCCAACAAGAAGGACCGTGAAGGTGCTATGGCAGAGGGACGTGAGATTCACATCACTGGTCTCGACCCAAGTATATCTGAAGAAGAATTGGCGGAAGTGTTCTCGAAGTATGGCAAAGTGGAGAAAGCTCGGATCTTGACAACAATGACTGGAGATAGCAAGGGTGCGGCGTTTGTGGCCTTTGAAAAGAAGGAAGAAGCCAATGCGGCTCTCGAACTTGATAAGACGAAACTTAAGTCAAGAGTTCTCACGGTAGAAATTTCTACAGGCAAGAACTTCAAGCCAACAGCGACGATTATCAAGGGATCATCTGCATCTCCTGCCCCAGATGGAGGGTCAGCTATGTCGCCGTCCCCAGCCCCTGACACCCACAACAATACTCATGCTCAACATGCACCTGGCCGATCTGAACACTCCAATCGTACGATAACTCTGATGAACATACCGGACACAGTTAATGTGGCTAGAGTCAACGCCATCGTTGAACCTTATGGCGAGCTTGTCAAGGTTGTCTTACGACCTGATCATCAAGGTGCCATTATCGAGTACATCGATGCTGCATCCGCAGGCAAAGCTGCGTTGGCTCTAGAGAACCATGAAATTGCTCCAGGACGAAAATTGCGAACTGGGGGATTGAAAGATCTCTTCGCAGAGAAGGATGAAATTAGGACTGATCGGATTCAGGTTGGGCAGGGAAAGAAGCCGGCAGCTGGATTGATGCAGCAGCCCAGTGCTCCAGTTAGAAGACCTGGTGCTGGTGGTCGTGGAGGATTAGGACAGAAGAGAGGTCTGGGTTATTCCGCCCCGAAGCCTGCGAATTCTGCAGGTGCTGCTGAGATTAATGGCCATGGACCAGGCGGTCCGGAGGAGAACAAGAAGCCAAAGAGCAATGCGGATTTCAAGGCAATGTTTGTCAGTGGAGGAACACAATAACTGTCTGTGTATTACTCGAGGTTCTTAATAATTAATTGCATAGCGTCCAATGATGATTTTTGCTCCTTTGTTTTGCCATGGGCAAGAAGAGTATTCTAGCGCGTACTCCTACTATTGTTTCTGTGCCTTTAGCTTGCGTGTCTCCCGCTTCCAATTTACCAGTTCCCCGGAGATCGTCACAGTCAACAGCCTCAAAGAGTCCATGATGTCCCAAGCCCTGAGCATAACGGCTGCCATCGATATCAGATCTTGGAGGGCGACACCTGGTGCTTACTCGTGCCACCCTTGCTACCGCGGTCGTCATCGTACAGGCGAGGCGCCAGGGGTCGAAAAGCTGGCTGGGCCAACCACAGTCAAGCGAGACATCAAAACCAGCTTCACCGTCAGGGTGAAACAAACAAATGATTGGATCTGGCTACAGATCAACGGAATCACGACACCCATCAGGACTGTTGCGCCGACAGGCGAGCAAAAAGAGACTCAATGAGAGACGGAGGCCGATCCGAAGCCTTGTTATAAGTGACAGGGGATGGAGCAGGTTCTAGTGTTTCGAGAAACGCCTCGATTTGCTGGCATGCCATGGAGTACAGCATGTTGGTTGTGAACGGTGAGGCAATGCGAATTTATTATTCTTCTATGCCTTGAATGATAATTACTGTGTGGTCCAGTTTATACAATTTCTTGTGAATACCTGTCCAACTTGTCAATTTGTGACTATTGCGATCAATTCCACTTCAAGCTGGGCACAAGCCTTACAGTCGTAAAATCTTGGATTTCCCTATCCATACCACCAGCACAATGGGTCGCTCTAATACTCTTCCCACAACTCGTCCCTACGACCAAGAAAAGAGTCGAATAAAACCCAGCAATAGAAGCGCAACAACGACGTTTGACGACTCGACTCGGTCCTCAAAACACCACATCCACCTCCCACACGTTCATATCCCCTTCACAGCACACAATGACCACCATAAACCTCCTCAAACCAGCGCGCCGTCGCGCCCTACTGGCGGCCTCAACCGCCAAAATAGTGTGCAGACTCGGTACATGAACATGTTACTGGCGATGGACACTATCCCGAGGTAAGCCTTATCCTTATGCCATGAGTCAACTAGAAAAATATTCTGAAGAGGTTACCAGGATGCACAACATCTTCGCTGCGTTCTTCACCTGGATCCTCCTAGCAGGATTCGTTGTACTACCGGGTACCTTCACATCACTTCAAAAAATCGAAGACAAGCCCGAAGTGTCGTCCTCTGAAACAGCGTCCGCGATCCTCCAGACAGTCAAAAACATCCCTTTGCTCGTGATCGCCGGGTCTTGCTGTGGAATAGGCGCCCTCGGAATGGTCTGGCTATGGTTCAAATGGCGCTCAAACTACGTCTGGCTACTCAACCGCATCTTCCTACCAGGTTGTTTGAACAGCTTGGCGGGGTTGATTTCCTCGTTGATCAATGTGTATACGCAGCAGGATGGCGCGTGGAGCGTTACGGCGAAGGTTACGGCTATTACGACGGGGTCGAGTATGGTTGTTACGGGGGTGTTGTTTGGGTTGTATAATTTTTGGATTTTGGAGAAGGTTAAGAGGAGGCATGGGAGGGAGATGGAGGCTGTTAATGGTGGGGAGGAGGGCCTGGTGGAGAAGATTGGGAAGAAGATGCATGAGCCGGCATTGGAGCCGGGGAGTGTTGTTTGATTTTCTTGAGAAGAGAACATGGTTGTAACAATTCTGTATGTACTACTATGATATTGATGACAATTTTGAGAGGTTACTTTGACGTAGGGATGCATCTCATGACTTACGGTGTTACGTCGTCAAACAGCCATGTTTTTGGTTTGTTCTTGTAATTTGATCTCTTTCCGGAACACCTGGCAATGCTCATGAGCATCGAGATCAAGGCTTTTGCTCTGTATGTCTGTCTATATTAGATCACAGGATCCATCGGAATTAATTCACAATCGACGATTCGGCAGCTCGCCCTAGGGCAGTTATTGCGGTGTACGTGTACGGACAGGAACCGTCAGCAATCACCAGTATTGGCTTACCGATCTCAACTCAATACCACCAGCGATCTAGAACTCTTGGACATGACTCTGAGTATGTTAGATTACAATGATATGTGGCAGAACAAATATAGCCGCATATTACCTGTGCCATCCTGTACGTACAGCGTATCTTGCCAGCCGTTTACATACATTAGCAACTCGGCAAAATCTAGGTTTCCGAGCCCGTCTGACGACCGGTTGAATTCAGCGAGTCAAGGCCAAGTGCGTGACCGTTGACGTCTTCGATCACAGTCTAGAATCTGATGTATCAAGATCTTATTGTGACATCTGTACTGTGCCTCTTTAAGGGTTGTTGGCTGCCTAGCCCATGCGGGTAGGAAATAAGAGTATTTAGGACATGCTTGGCCCGCCTCGGCGTCATCCCCTTTCTCTGTCCTCGCTTCTCATCAACCACCCCGCATAACCAGCACAAGTGACTACATCTTCAGCAACTTGCGCTATTTAGGGTATCTATACTCGTTGGAAACCCTTCAGTAATGGGTTCAACAGCAAAGTCAACACATGTCCCGGTTCTCGTAGTAGGGGGTGGTGTCGTTGGACTCAGCGCCTCGTTGTTCCTCAGCTACCATGGAGTCCGCACGGTTCTCGTAGAGAAGCATGAAGGGACTTCGATCCATCCACGGTCTCGAGGTGTCAACACTGGAACGATGGTACTACTCGCTCATATGCAATATTTTCAAACTCAAATTCAAGCAAACAAACTAACTGCCAACCCAAGAACTCTACCGTGAACTGGACATAACTGCTGCCATCAAAGAAGCTGGCAAATCCATGGCCCCAACAGGCGGCATCAAATCAGCAACAACTTTCTACTCAGCCATATCTCCAATTGCCAGAACTCCCCCAGGCAAACGTACTTTCCGGCCAAGTGCCTTCAAGTCACTTCTCTCAACCATGAGTCCGGAAGAAGGTCTCTTCATATCCTTAGAGCTACTCGAGCCAGTCCTTCTAAGCGCAGCACGAGAACGAGGTGTCGATGCACGCTTCTCTACGGAATGTTTGGGTATTACCCAGAATGGAGAGAAAGTGACTGCCCGGTTGAGAAAAAGAGAAAGTGGTGAGGAGTACGAGATCTCCGCCGATTACTGTATTGCAGCCGATGGAGCGAGTTCGCCGATACGTGAACAACTCGGGATCACGAGGACTGGACAAAATGCCAATGCAGGACATCTCCTGAACATTCTTTTCAACGCAGATCTCGGCTCCTTCGTACGAGGACGAGAATACTCAATAATCACTGTCCACCATCCTGGCATGCCCATAAATCCCGGCGAGACACCAAGAGCCATCGACGGAGTCTTCACCAGTATCAATAACGCCAAGCGCTGGGTCTTCCATCTGTGCTATGATACTTCCAAGGGCGAAAAGCCCGAAGACTTCCCACACGAGAAGTGTGAAGAGATCGTTAGAACAGCACTTGGTATGGACGCCAGTCCAGAACCGTCAGAACGAGATGTCAAAGTGGAGATCATATCAGTTCTCCCATGGCAAGCCAGCGTCCGTATCGCCTCGCGAATGCAAGAAGGTCGAATCTTCCTAGCCGGCGATTCGGCTCATCAGATGCCTCCATATGCCGGACAGGGCGCCAATTCAGGGATTGCAGATGTGCATAATCTCGCTTGGAAACTGGCTGCTGTCCTGCATTCTAAGGACTCGCCCTCGCCATATGAATCGCTTCTGAGAACGTATGAAGCAGAACGTCTGCCTGTCGATACGTATGCAGCTGAGGTCTCTGGCGCGGCGGCGGATGAAAAGGGTCTTTTGTATCTGAAGCCCAATCTGAGGACTGCTGATAACCTGGCGAGGCGAGCACTGCTCGTTCCGGGTGTGAGCGTCATGTATGAAGGGAAGGGCGTGGGTATCGTTCCTGAAGATCCTGGATTACTTCGTGGCGCGAGTTGGCGGGCTTGGAGCTTTGCTGGGTTGGTGATGGGGCTTGATGGCAGGCCGGGGAGGAGAGCACCACATGTGTGGTTGGAGAAGAATGGGAGTGATAGCAAGGAGGAGGATGGGAGGATATCGACTCTGGATCTGTTTGGACGGAGTTTTGTCCTTCTTGCTGGGTCGGAAGGTCGTGCCTGGGTGACAGCTGCCGAGAAGCTTGCCTCATCTCAATCGCTGCCACGAGCGCTTCAGGTCAAGACAAATGTGGTTGGAGGCAGTGGGAGTGGGGATTATTTTCCTGTGGATGGCAAAACAAGCTTCGAGACTGCGGCGGGGATATCGAGTACTGGTGCTTTGTTGGTCAGACCAGATGGTGTTGTGGCGTGGAGAGCTAGGAGGTTACCGAGTGCACATGAGGAGAAGTTGGAGGATGTTTTCCAACAGCTGTTGAAGCGAACGAGGACGTGAGTGAAGTCCCCATTTGATTGATTATTTGTATACTTCGTATAGCCTCGCCTCTTAGACAGTTAATTTCGTTGGAGAGAACTTATAATAGATAATGAAGGGGCTCCGGGCCATTGTATTGTTATTATTGGACAGTAGTCATGACATTCTTGAGGCTTCCAAATAAGATCCATCCATAGGGTGTACCTAATTACCATGCTCTATGCCCTAACTAAGTCTGACACTTCCGTCAGTGTTCCGAAATGGAGAACTCACTTCGCCGCAAGACGTCGCCAAGAAACAACCTCGCTAGACGATCTCGCTTCACTGTAAACAAAACTTTGTATAAGGTTTGAGCGCATCAATATTTCATTTCCTATCAACCTCATTTGAACTCCACAGTTCTATACCAGCCCTTGACTCACACTAAACGCCGATCCAAACCAAATCCCAGCCGGAACGCCCAACTATAGCACGCTAATCACCTCAACCATATACCGCGACAAGAACTCCTTCAATCACTCAAACTTCCCACCCCCAAACAACCCACCAACAACCTTCCTCCTATCCTTCGCCCCCTTGACCATCTTCATCTCCCTCCTCTTCTCCGTCTTCACCACCGCCGCCCTCCGCTCACTCTCCCTCGCAAAATAATTAACACCACTATTCTTCCCTCCGCCCCTCTTCACGCCATCATTGCCACTTCCGCCACCAGCCATCCGCTCAATGCCAGACATCCCACCACTCACACTCGAACTCGTACTTGAAGCGATACTGTTATTCGTTGTAGTGCGTCGGAGCAGAGCCGGGACTTTGAAGCCTGAAGTGGAGGATGAGACGGCGAAGGCGAGCTTGGTGCTGTTAGAGATAGAGCTTGATGACGCGCGCTTGAGTGAGATGCGGTCGACAATGGCGACGTTTGTTCGGCGAAGGGCGAATGGATCGCGATTCTCTTTGTTCTTCTCTTTACTTGGGCCAAGATCTTCTTCGCCTTCGATTTCGAGCTCGTCTTCGGACTCGGTGCCAGAATCTTCAGGTGCCATCACTGAATTGGGCTCTTCGATGAGAGAGGAGAGGGATTCTCGGATTTCTAAGAGGTTGGATGGTTTTTTGTTCGGCTTGGTGCGGCGGAGATGAGGAGGGAGCCTGTTCTGGATGTATGATGTCTCGTCTGAGTGCTTGCGCTTAGGAGGGCCCATGGAGGTTGGCTGGCTGTCGGGGACGCTATGTGGTGCACCTTCACCTTGGGATTGAGACTGAGAGTCGGTTCCTTCTTCTTGTTCACGGAAGTCTTCGAGGAAATCCATCTCGTCTTCACTACCACGGTCTTCGATAGCACGCAAGAAGGCTTGCCTCTTCGGGTTTTCGGCGATCTTGCCAATTCTTTCGTCGGCGAGAAGGGCTTTCCGCATTCTGGCAAATTCCTTGCGCTTTCTGCGTTGTCGGGCTTCGCCTCCGTCGTCGGAGTCGGAGAGATCATAATCTGCACCACGCTTGCGACGAAGCATTCCGTTGGTAATGTCTTTGTAGAGCTTTTCGATTTGTTTCTCATCGTTTACTCTTTCTCGATCACTAAGAATTGTTAATTGGTTTCTTCCTTTGGAGGATTCAGAGCTACTCACGCATGAATTGCAGCAAGCTTGCCAGCGTCAAAGTGCTCGCCGCCCTCATCATTGATCATTTCTTTTACGAACGCATCGTCTTCGGCACCACTCTCATCATCACTTGCGCCTCCTAATCCAGCATACTCATCTTCGGACTCTTCGGCTTGCTCGTTGACCATCTCCTTCGCCTTGCTCTTCTTCTTGTCGAAGTCCTCCTCGACCTTCTTCTCCACTTTCTTCTTTGATCCCTTCCGCATGACATCGAAGGCATTTGCAGTGAGATCAAAGTCATCCTCCTCGACGGCTTCCTCTTGTTCACCAGCATCTTCCTCATCAGAAAAGGTGGCAATATGGGCTCTTTGGCGAAGCTTGCCTTTCTTCTTCACGATCGGGGTCTCATCCATGGTCTCGGGCAGAGCAGTTGGCTCAAGAATAACAGTATCGACGGTGGAAGGTGGTGCCTCCAAGAATCTGCCCTTAATGGGAGTCATATGCTGGAAACCAACATCCTGGGTAGCTTCGAACATCTGGGACATCTGAGTATCGTGTACCAAGCTATCAAACTCGTGGACTTGTGATTGAGAGAGATGAAGTTGAATATTTTGGCTCTGGGTTTCTTCTGCTGGCTGTGATTCCGGAATATGGCTGACTTGAGATTGGTTCATCATGTCCGCATCTTGGGTATCTTCCTCGAAGGTTGGAACGAATGGTGGCAGATCTGGAGCTCTAAGTCGTCTTAAGAAAGCAAGAGAGTCCTGGTTTGATTCAACTTGCTGCGATTCGGCGTCCATTGCAGTTGGAGAAGGTCCGAAAGCCTGACTATCATCCATAGTACCTGCGAAGATCTGTGTCAGACCAAGGCCAGCTGGACCGGCGACTGTCAGGCCAGGAATGAAGGTTTTGGTAGCAGATCGGAGAACTGAATTTGGCGCCATGGGAGACTTTGTACTCATTTGAAGCGGAGAGTAGATTTCGGGTGCCACCGGAGTTTGTTTCTCCTGTTCTTCCTCATCTTCATCCTCGTCGTCAGAAATGACATTCGCATTCCGGGATCTTCGAGTCTTCTGATTCAAAGCGAACTCTTCCTCTTCCTCATCCTCCGCATCCCCGTCATCAGCCATCTCCTCGTCGATAGAAAGATTGGCTTCAGCTTCTGCTTCATCGTCATCAGTCTCATCAGCTTCATTATCGAACATGGCGTTGGCGGGTTTGGTGTCCAGCTCTTCTCCATCGAGCTCCATCTGATCTTCCTCCTCGCCGCTTCCTACAAGCTCCTCCTCTTCCTCGTCGACCTCTTCTTCTGAGCCCGAGAGAGAGACCTCGTCGTCCTCAGGAACTTCTTTTGACTCTTGCCAATCTTCATCATCACTGCTGTCTTCTCCGAGAGGATCAGCTTCTCCATTTGCCTTTCTCTCTTTCTTAGCTGCCGCTTTCTCTCGCTTCGCGATTTGCTCGCCCTCCAGTCGGGCCCTGGCAACCATATCATCGACCTCAGCTGCCTCCCGTTCTCTCTCTTCGGCAGTCTGAATTATGACACCTTTCTCTCGCAACGCTTGCAAACGCTCCTCTCTCTCGCGAGTGGCTTGTTGTCTGGCGCGTTGTTGAAGGGACATCTGCATTTCTATTGTTGTCATTGATGGCTTCTTGTTTCGTCCATAGTTTCGTCCAGAACTTTGTTTGCCGGGAGAAGTGACTTGTGCTAACATTCGGAGCGCATGCAGAGAATGAGATTCCTTGGCGAGCTTTGCTGGTACGCGATCGAAGATAGAATCCATTTTCTCTTTCCTGCTAACTGGCTTCACTGAGAGAATTTCGAGGTCGCTGTCCGATTCATCCAAAGGAGAAGCTTTACGATCAGTAAGCTTTGGTACTCGCACGCGAATTGACCGCTGTTTGAATCTTGACTTCGACAACTCAGTTTCCAGTCCTGGTTCCTCAACATCCTTTCCTTTTCCCTTACCAAGCTTTGTTGGTGGCGATGATGATTGGATTTTGACCAAGGCCTCTTCAAGCGAGGGCAACTCTTCGGCATCATTGTCCATGGCTGCTACTAGCGTTGTAAGATTTGATGGCAGGGAGTCTTTCTCGGTATTGGGGCCGGGGGATGCTGGAGAAGTTGGTGGTGTGTCCTTGGTCTCGACGTCAGACTGTGGAGCAGGAGAACTTGAGCTTGTATGTCGAGCAGGCTCTGAAGTCTCTTCCATTTTCGGCTGTTTTATGAACTTGGCGAAAAAGTCTGCTTTCGTAAACTTCTTCTTGGTAGTTGCGTAATGTGCCAACTGTTGATTTCGACTCAAGCGCTGTGTCTCTCGGTGCATCTCTTCGAGGGCTTTCTTGCTGGCTTTGCGGTTTGGGCGTGAGGACTGTGTGAGTCGTCTCTCTCCTTCGCTATCCTCAACACCATCTTCATCCTCCAGTGCCTGGGTATAACGCTGCTTCTCCTCTGCCCTCTTCGCCTTCTCTTCTGCAGCCTCAGCTTCTTTGGCCAGACGTTCCTGTCTCTTCTTCTCAACGAGAGCCATGAACCGGGCATTACCAGCTTCTGGCAACTCCACGTCCGAGTCGGATCCAGCATCTGCATCTCGAGAAGATTTTGCTGGCGAAACGAATAAGCTTGGCGACGCGGAACGACGAGGAGGGCTTGAGTTGGGAGTATCCTGACGCACAACGCGTAACTTCCGTTTCCGTGAGACAACTGGTGCATCATTCTCGTCACTTCCGTCCAAGTCTTCGGTATTTGTAGCTGGTTCGGGTGATTTGCTCTTCGCCATAAGCATCTTCTTGACGCGTTCTCTCGCTGTTTCCGCCGACGATTGATCCTCCTCGGAATCATCCTCATTGGCCTGCATCATAGCAGCTACTCGTCCCTTTGGGCGAAAGATATCTTCATCGTCATCATCATCAGAAGGACTGTCCACCGCCCTATGCTCCTTCGATTTTTCTGTGTCGATTGTTTCGCTGCTCGTTGACTTCGATGGTGTTGTATTAGCCACCAGAGTTACTGATTTGGGTCTCGCAGGCCCTGATACACTCTCATCGTCCGAGTCTGCATCAAAGGCAGCTAGCATAGCTTTGACCTTGGAATTTGGCGTCAATTGAGGCGGCGACATGGCCCCAGACTCGCTGGCTGGCGAAGATTCTCGGGTCGAAGACATCGTAAGATTTAGTGATATTTCGTAGGATGTATGCTGTGAATTAGTGCAGACTTCCCAGGAGAAATGTCAAATAATCATATAGAGAAAGTGTTCATGTTTGGTCGGAGAAGTGTGAAGTATGAGGGATGAAGAGGTTGGAAAGTGGAAGTGGAAATGGAAAGGATGTGGAGCTTGGATAGGTACAGTACTTTTGGCACGCGTTGACGCGACGCGATTGAATTTGCGGGTCTATCCGCCCCTGCCCCACTTCAAGCTTCTCGGGCCCGAGTGGAAGTGGCATGAAGATCTCCGGCTCCCATGACCAGCGATGCCCTGTCATCAGTCTGAATAATCCTATAAAGTCCCATTTGGGCGTGCTCTCTTCTCTTCCTACTTCCTAATTAGCATTCCCTTGTCGCCTCTTTTTTTCATTTCATTATCCGAAGTAGATTTACTCATCGACTTCATCCCAGCCCTCGATATTGATATCCCCTTCACTCCTCCCACTTCTGCCCTCATGCCTCGAAACGCTTCTCTCACGGCCTGAAGACACCAAGACAAAGTCCAAAGAATGGCTTTCGCAAATATTCGTCGTCTACACACTAATAATGTCGCTACCTTTCGCAAGTCTCCTCTTTCCGAAATATCCGGATCGCTGGGCGATCTCGGGACACTGCTCCCACTCATGATAGCCCTGGCTGTCAACAATTCAATATCACTTTCCACTACCCTGGTATTTTCAGGCCTTTGGAATATATTTACTGGTGTTGCTTTTGGTATCCCACTGCCTGTGCAGCCTATGAAGGTAATATTTCTGCTTCAAATACATGCTCATGGGAAAAGATCATATGAGCTTACTTTAAGCTAGGCAATCGCTGCTGTTGCTATCGCCAGAAAGTTCTCCATTGAGGAAACAGTATCTGCAGGTTTTACGACGTCCGGTTTCGTCTTTCTATTCAGCGTCACTGGGCTACTGAGATGGTTTACGCGAGTGATACCCACCCCTGTCGTGAAAGGTATCCAAGTTGGAGCCGGTCTCTCTCTCGTACTCTCTGCTGGAACCACTCTTCTTCAACCTCTTGGATGGACTACTCCCAGCGCAGAGGATAATCTAATATGGGCATTGTTCGCCTTTATTACCTTACTTGCCACGCAGAAGATGCGAAAGGTGCCATATGCTTTACTGATATTCCTTCTTGGTCTGGTACTATCACTCTTCACAGCTGGCGCTCGCAATATTCCATCGTTCAGGGTATGGCACCCGACGATACTTGCACCATCCTGGACAGCGTTCAAGACAGGTGCATTGGATGCTGGTCTTGGCCAGATCCCTCTGACGACTCTGAACTCTGTCATTGCCGTTACCTATCTCTCAGCCGACCTCCTACCTAATATTCCAACCCCTGGGGTGACTGAAATCGGCATCAGTGTTGCTGTGATGAATCTGATAGGTGGCTGGTTCGGTGCCATGCCAGTCTGTCATGGATCTGGTGGGCTGGCAGCGCAGTATAGATTCGGGGCTCGAAGTGGTGCGAGCATTATTCTTCTCGGATCGTTCAAGATCATCTTGGGTCTTTTGTTTGGGGAAAGTTTGATCGGGCTTTTGCGAGAGTACCCGAAAGGTCTTTTGGGTATAATGGTTTTGGCCGCTGGCTTGGAACTGGCCAAAGTAGGGGAAAGTTTGAACAACGGGGCGAGAGATTTATGGGAAGTTTCGGACAGTTCACAGAGCGAACACTCGGAAGGGCAAGGGTTGAAGCATCAACGGACGCTATCAGATGAAGAGCGAAAGGAAAGGTGGACAGTCATGTTTATGACAGTTGGATTTCTTCTTGCTTTCAAGAATGACGGCGTTGGATTTCTTGCTGGCATGTTATGCCACTACTTCAACCAGGCTTCGAGAGTATGGGCTGAATGGGAGAGTCTGAGGGTTAGGAGAGAGGACAGAGGGTCCAGAAGAAATAGGCAGGCTACGACTGTTGAGGAAGAGGAAGAACAACTACTGGTGGACACGTAGGAATCGATATTGAGTTCGAACGTGTTATATTATTGCAGAGAAGTGCTACCACAGCTCCCAAATATCCTCATTTTCACAGCTCAGTAATGGGCCAAGCCTAGCTTTCGCACTGCCATGCAGTCCAAGTCGTGGCACACGAGCAGTACGTATCAACTTAGTGCTTACGTCAAACCCACTTCAAGTGAGTATCTGCTGCATCGATGTTCCAACATACAGTGCGACACTCGATATCGACAGGACTACTACACGTCTTCAAATATTCTTCCGCATCAAAGAATCTTCATTCCAAGGATACGAGTCATGCAGGCAAATAGATCCATCTTTAGCTATGTCCTGGAATCCATTTCTTCTTATCAGATCGCACTAACGGAAGTCGGCCCATGAAGCCAAGATTTCAGCATCCACAGAGGTGGTCCAGCTTTGGATCACAAGATAGGTACAAATCAGCCAAATATGCTTCTCATAAAACACCACTACACGCGTGAGGCATTTTTTAGGTTTGTTTCTGCCTTTGGTCAATATAACAATCACCTCATCCATAGATCCATACCGCGCGTCTCGTGTTATGTGACACACCAAGAGATCACTCGTGGACCTTCCAGGTTCGCTCAGGTCTCGAACGTGGAACCCCTCACCTATCAGCAGACCCCGCAAAAGTGGATTCCAGCTGCCCGCTTCGGTTCCCGTATCACCTTCATCCCGTGCATTGCCTCACTTCCCTAGACTTATCATCGCAACGTCAACACTCAACTCCTCCTCTCCTCTTCCTTTCATTTCATTTTGCACTCTTCCATTGATTCCACGCTGCTTGCAGCTTCAATGGGCCCTTCAATCCAGTTCTCTCGTTCCTCATTTCCTCTTGTGCTTTGTTCTTCGGCTTCAAGTCCATATCTTTCAGCTGCTGTCGTCATTCAACCTCAGTCTCTGTCAAGCCAACAACATGGTCGTCTTCCTAGATCTTGAGGATGAGGCCGAGCCCCCAGAGTTGCAGTTGGGAAATGGACATGCGGCGCACTGGATGGCACATCATGACAGGGGATATGCGGGCGTTTTGAGGCGTTTGGATATTAATGCTGGGGCCACGGAGTCTGGAACTGTAAACGGGATTCGGAATGCGGGATCTGGAGTTCGAACTGAGCAGAAAGAGAGAGATAATCCGAACAAGAATCTGCCGATTACTGAGGCTTTGGGGTGTTATCCGTGAGTTATCACCATTGATGCTCCTCATATGACTATCTACTTGGCAGTTGTTGTACAACGGATTTTGACAATGAACCAATGCTAATGTTGCCAATACAGAATCATAATGTCTATCGCATCACATATCGATCTCAACACCCTTGATGCACTGTCTTCCACTTGCCGTCAAGTACGCGTCAACCTCCTCCAGTTCCGAACCAAACTCATCTCTTCCACTCTACACTGCGAGAACGAAGATGTAGAGCTTGATCCTGAACATACATTTCGTTATAGAGCCAGAGCTGCGGATTGGTATTTCGTTGAAGGTGGCATAGTCGGTTCGGGAGCTGGAAAGTTTGGGGACTGTGCTAGAGATATGGTGGGGGAATGTAGGAGGTGCTCGAAAGTTGTTTGCAGAGTATGTTTCTCTCCGATCCAGCACATTGAAGATGATGGACAAAAAGAAGGCAAAGACGGAGCGAATTATAGAGACTAACAAGTCACAGAATTGCACGATCAAGCCCCCAGCTCCAGTTCTCCTCCGTCATCGGCACCGTCGCATCTGTAAAGCATGCTCCAAAGCTCCGCTCTCCTCCCTTATCTCAGGCCTGAACACAGCCACCCCAGCACAAGAAACTCCCGTCAAATCAAATCCCATCGCCACTGAGGCACTCAAGCAGAAAATCTGTGCCTGTCCTACCGAAGGCGTCTGGCTCTGCCAACCCTGCGGTCGCAGCCTCCGCAGTGCTGATAACGAATACGAAAGCATTTGGAAATGGCGCACACGATACCTACCCTCCCTCGGTGGTCTCGGCGTCGGAATCGGCGAAGGCAATCGCGGCGTCCCGTGCGGCCGCGGAGGAGAATGTATTGCTGCTCGAGAAGTCGAATCAGAGATCGACTGTGATGCTGAAGATGCTCGCGAGATTGACAGTAACAGCCGTGACGCGTCGCCTGCTTCTAGTCCTGGGAGTGCGAATGGCAGCATTAGTAGTGAGAGGAGTGGACAAATGGGTCCGGGCTATGCGAGGCATGAGATCGAGGGGATTGGAGGCGTAGTGAAGAAGAAGTTGGTAAGGATGGTGAGAGTGGGTGCGTGTGTACCTGAATGGGGGGATGAGAAAGACGTGGGGAAATTCTTGGTTAGGGAGCAAGAAGGACGGGCGAGGAGTTGGTGTGGTTGGTGTTGGAGGGTTGTTCCGGGTGCTAAGGATATTATGGATTAGGCTGAGAGGGAGGGGATGGTGTTTGGAGTGCTGATTTTGGATTGTGAATGATTTTTGAGGGTCATCTGGTAGGATATGGTGTTTGATACACGAGAAGTGCATGGAATCTAGGTGCTAAGCGAACATTTGAAAACAGAGACTACAGCAACAGGACTACGTCTCAAAAGCATAGTATGCAGCATAGGAAACAGAACCAAAAGTTTTGCCTATCGTCATCTCCAGAGTCAGAATTTTATAGTCCCATAATGCTAGCGTGCGGTAAGATCAACATTTTCGATCCTCTTCATAAGTATGAGGTTTGATACCGGACTATTGCAATGGTTCACTCTCCACATACCACTTTTCTACTCATGCCCTAAAAGTCAAGGATATTTCCTCACACTCAACTGCTTCGAATGTGACAAAATCAAAACCATCAAAACTAGAATTTCAATCCATCCAATCTTTCCCCCCTTCCTCAGACCCTCCGTCTCCTCCCATCTAATGGCATCAAAACCTCACCAAATTCCCCGCCCTCACCAAGCCCGCCCTCTTATCCAAATCCACAAGACTCGTAAACTCCCGAATATCAGCTATGAGCTCAGCTGGTTTCTCGAGGCTGGGGAAATGTCCGCCTTGGGTGTGAGTGCGCCAGAAGATTATGTTGGGGGAGACGGTGCTGGAGGCCCAGAAGCGGGGGATGTTGAGGACGTCTTTGTGGATGAAAGGTTAGTTTGGGATGGGATGAGGGGTATGAGGTGGGGGGGAAGGAGAAGGAGAGGTGAGGGCGAGGGGAGAAAACGAGGGATGGAAGGGGACATACCTTTTGGGAATATAGAAGCGCCGAAATCGACGGATTTGGGGAGGGGGGTTGTCATGTATTCTTTTTGGGAGGTGAGAAGTGGTTCTTTGCTGTTTTTGTAAATTGTGGAGTGGCCTGCTGTGCCGGGGATGAGGTAGAGCTTAATTTAGAAAGTGAATATTAGTATGAGTTTCGCGAAGAAAATAACAAAGAGAAGTAGTTAGAAGTAGGACAGAACAGGAAACGGATATGATGGGAGGATGAGGTGAAGGATATATGTACCATGGCCCAAGTAATAAGGTCCTCTTCGTTCCAGTTAAAGTCGTCGTCGACTAGATGCTCGAGTTTGTCTCGGATCCAAGCTAGCATACCCAATGGAGAATCGACGAGGGCATAGGCAAGCGTTTGTGGCTTTGTGCCTTGAATTTCCATGTAACCTGGTAAATATCATCAGTATGAGGTTATTCCACGGACCCCCACTGGACCAGTGAGCGAAATACGATTTCCGGATATCTCGAGAATGAAGAGGAAAAGAAAAAAGCGAAATCAGGATAGATCTTCTACCATTCTCTTCCTTTTGCCACCACATCATTCTTCCGAACAGACTACCATCTTTGGATTTGTCCTGCCATATTGCCCAGGCGATAAACCGTATGAAAGTGAGAGGACTTGTCCATGGTGGCAGACCGGAGATAACCATATTCACATGGACTGCCACGCAGTGCTCTGGGTATAATTTCCCAACCGCACGGACTATTATTGATCCCCAATCGCCTCCTTGGCCCTATGTCTGGGTCAATAAATAATATACCAGAACGAATGGAGACAAAGTTCATCCATTGTAAAAACCTCAGGCATTCAGGGAGCCATGCGTCTGTACGTACCATGTATCTCTCATAACCCAAAGCAGTCATCAATTTATGCTCCATATGCGCTATATCACCCAATCCAAACTCCGGTCTCTTCGACATCTCCGAGAACACGAATCCTGGCAAACTAGGCGCAACAACATGATACGCCTGCTTCCCCTCCTCCTTCGGCTCCACCAAATCATCAATGATCTTCTCAACTTCCAAGAAATTTCCCGGCCAGCCATGCTGGAACAATAGAGGGATGGCACCTTCACGTGACGACCGATGATGGACGAAATGCATCGTTAGTTCCTCACCCTCATGGTTGATGGGAAGAGTGAACATTTTTAGCTGGGAATTGATTCTTGCTTCTACGGCTCGCCAGTCGTATTTATTTGCCCAGTATTGTTGTAATCTGGACATGACGGGTTCTGGGACGCCGTGTGACCATGCTTCTGAAGCGGGGAGGTCTATTCCTGGGGGAAGGCGAGCTGTGGTCACTCTCTGGGTGATGAAGGAGAGAAGGTCATCGGAGACGGATATCTTGAAAGGGTTTGGTTCTGCCATTGTGAAGCTGGCCGTAGGTTCCCAATTGAGTGTTGTCGGACTTGGAATTCAAAAGGAATGGAGTTCAATTTGAGTAACTCAGCACGAAAGGATTGAGTTCTAGTGGGAATGGACGTCAGCCTCCTGTCAGCACAACCTCGCTTCGCTGTGAAAGATCCTTGGCCGGACTGGGATTCTCGCCAGGGCGGTGCCCAATCAGGTGCAATTGTCGCGAAATGCATCAAGGGGGTAGTAGATCGAGACGAGTTTGGAAATTATAACATTGTTCTCACTTGGAGCTATGATTAAGCATTAGAAGCAGCATAGCCTTCTGGATAGAGAAGGAGAAAAATCGGTGTTGACATCGGGTTCAGCTGGAGCACCTCTCTCGCTAATGAGTCCCTCCATCATCTTTGGCGCGCTCCCTTATCTTTAATGTCAACAAAGGTTCACAACTGCTAATTGACAAGTCAGGTATGGAATTTCCGAGCCAAAACTTTCTGCTGTCTTCGATATGGAATGTCTCAATCTTTATAAGAGGCTTCTGGAGAATTGGTAATATTACTTGGTCTGCCAGCTTTGATATTCACTTTCGGGGACTAGCATGTAGTCAGTGAAGAAAGTATTCACCTTAAGTGTCAATAAAGTCACCCACTATACCCGCACCTATACTTCAGCTGGGAGCTGTGAGGTTAAGCGACAGAGACATATTGCCGCAGACCGCTCCAGATATCGAAGCATCAACCATCCATCATACACGACTTCGTTCTTGATTCCTTCACGGAGCTCTCCCAGCATTTGCAGTTATGGCCACTGCCTTGCCTCCAACGTGGCCCTCACCTGCCGATGAATTGCACATCTTTGACGTCGAGGGCGACATCCTACTAATTCTGACACGCTCATCTCTAAGAACGAAACCACAAAAGAACACAACGCTGAACTCGAAGATGTCGAAATGAAAGGCTACGACTGCGATGATGGCACTGTCCCTAAGCTAGTTGGGCACATGGAGGTTGACATCGAAACTGAACTGCCAGGCTACACAATGGCAACAGAGAACGATCGGATTCGCGCACCCCCGACCAGCAGGCTGCATCTCGTCACGGAGGTACACATGCGGGTCAGCTCGAAGGTCCTGTCTGTGGTGTCACCTGTGTTTCACCGCATGCTTGGTCCAGATTTCAAGGAAGGCGCAGCTCTTAGGGTAGCACAGTCAGTGGTGGTACCTCTCTCCAACGACGATCCGGATGCGATGGTCATCCTGCTGAACATCATTCATGGCCGAACGCGGCAGGTACCTCGTAAAATTAACTTCCAATGCCATCTGCTCACGGAGCTTGCAACATTGGTCGATTACTATCAAATGTATGAGGTTATTGAGCTATTCTCAGATAGGTGGTTGCAAAATTCTTCTCGTGGAGATGATTTGCAAGAAGACTACCAGCATTCAATGGCTCTACGATGGTTGTGGGTAAGCTGGGTCTTCCGCGACACGTCTCTCTTCCAGAAAATCACCAAGTCAATGGAGATATACGGTGAAGCAGACCCCGAATACATGGAGAATACCCAGTCGCTTGAGTCTGATCTGAGTCAAAAGTACGCCGAAAGCCTTTTGATACCTTCCAAAATTCTGGGTAAGTAATCATTAGCTGAACAAAACTAAAAGAAATGCTAAGGAATTATAGATGCCATCCAAACCAAACGAGATGTTGCGATTTCCAAAGCCCTTGATGTAATCCACAACCTGATTGATGACTATTGACTGCAGTGGTCTGAGAGTTCAGTGTAAAACTATGAACACAAAAGATGGCAAACCAATAGGTGATACACACCGCAGCAACTGCGATGCCTTAGTGTTGGGCGTACTCATCAAGGAGGCTAAAGAAGCGGACATGTGGCAAAAGTCACCGTCCTACGATTGCAGTTTCGAAACACTTTGCCACCGCCGTTGAAGAAATCGACATCAGAACTCTCTGTGCTCATATATGTGCTACATACTCTCTCGATCAGCACGGGCTTCATGAATATCTCAAAAACGCAATGGATAGAACTAAGAAGACTCTTTGTGGGCTGGATATCAACGATTTCATGCCAGAGCAAAGACGCAGGGACTGTCACTCTTAGCAATTTTTTGCAAGGGTTTTCATTGGGAAATACCAGGTGCTTGTTGATGAGCTTACTTCACCAAAGTGGATGCAATCGATGGGTAAATGGGTGGTATGGCATGACTGGAATCCATTAACAAGCCGGCGCGCATTGGGCTCTTGCGAAGTCCATATAATGGGGAATTGACAAGTAGGAGAATTCTGTGCGTTTCTACGCATTACTACCCCCTTTGGGTCTTGAGTGTGTATCCAAAATGCGATGCCGTGAAAAATAGTGGCAAATACATAAGTCCCATATCTCTCACCATTCAAGGAGCTCAAGGGTGGAAGGCTTTTGATTGTAATATTCATCTCAATGTTTTCATGCCCTACCTGTGCTCTGAGAGAGACCACCGTCAACAATGATCTCCGTCCCTGTGATGTAGCCCGCCTCCTTGCTAGCTAGAAACAGTACCGCATTCGCAACATCCCATGCACTACCCATCTTACCCATCGGCACCTGTGCATCCCTTACTTTGCAATATCCTTCATAATCACCATCTGCGTATTCGTTTGCTAGCATCCGAACCAATGGCGTATTGATCAGACCAGGGACAACCGAGTTCAACCTCACGCCTTTGTCGGCGTATATTACAGCAGTAGTTCGTGTGAATGAGAGAATTGCTGCTTTGGTGGTTGAATAGGCCACTTGGGGTTTGCCGACATAGCGGAGTCCAGACACCGAGCTGATGTTGACGATATTTCCACCCGTTGGTTGAGTAGCCATGATGGGTAGGACAAGATGGCAAGTCAGGTAAACCGACTTGAGATTGACGTCCATCTGAGAATCCCAAAGATCTTCATTTGTTGATGCAGGGTCACCGGGCTCACTTCTCCCGACGTTGTTGATCAAGATGTCTATCCGTCCATATTTATTCATACAGGCGTCCACGAATGACTTCATGGACGGGGAGGATGTACAGTCTGCTTCCATGACGGTAATATTGGTCTTAGGGTTTTCCATAAGAATTTGCGATTTGGTAGTTTCGGCCGCAGATATATTTATGTCACACCCAAAGATGATTGCTCCCTGCCGGGCAAAGAGAGTTGCAATCGCCACGCCATTTCCCCAGCCAGTCCCGACACAGCCGATTCCTGTTAGAAGGACAACTTGGTCTGTCATATCATGCATTCTGCGGGATATTGGAGGAGCCTCAATCTCAGCCATTTTGAGGAGCAAAATGTTTGACAAAGTGGGAGAAGTCGGCCAGGAAAGTTGTTGGAAGTCATTGGAAGTCATGTCAAATTTTCGAAAAGCGATAACGGATGTGGGGTAAAACGCGGGGTACAGAAATTCGATCAATTGCCCCAACTCCATATTTTGACCTTTCTAAGACCTTTCCTAAACGCCAATGCTATGCAACATACAACACTCTATAGATACCGCATCCTACGGCCTGGGAGCTAATAACAGCTTCAGCATCCCTTGCGTCTGTATCATCTGCTGGATGGTCTCCGCCTCGGTGTTGACGCTCCTGTGCAGTGCCTTGAAACTTTTCTCAATTGCTTCCGACTCTATAACTCTCTCGCGGTAAAGATCAATCAGCAGGTCCGCTACTTCATGGATGACCTTTGAGTATTGTGGATATGCAAGATACTTGCTGACCCATTTGAAAATCGGTACCAGGGTTGTCTCGTCCCTGTCGTCCAGCGCGATCTTCAGGGCATTTCGGTATCTTAATTCTTGCAAGACATCGAATACTTTTGCAGAAGGTTGCTTTCGTTGGTCTAGTACTGCATCGAGAGCATGTGCGTATCTTCCTTGGCGCAAGTCTCTCTCCCAGACGGTCTCCGGGGTTGTCCTCCTTGCGACATCAAGATTGATCTTCTGTATCGCCGAATCCGCGGCTGGCCCTGACTTCTGCGCCTCTTTATTCAGCTTCGTCATGGCTTCCGCCCTCTTCCTCTTCTTGTTCTTCGCATCATAAGCATCAAGGGTCCCGTCAAGAAGTGCCTCCATCTCTTTCTTCTTGTGGCGCTCCTCTGCCTGTTCCTTTCCCCTGAGCCTCGTCTTTATTGATAGTTCTCCAGACTGCATTCCGACTACAAGAAGTCTATCCTCCTGGCTTGCTCCGGAAGCAATGACATTGACGGAAAGCACTGGCGAATTATATTTAGAACCAGCAACAATGTTCCACTGCGATGTCTCGAAGATCTTGACATGTCCGTCCAGTCCTCCACTGACAAGTCTTGTTCCATTCGAAGCCAAGCATAGCGAAGTTACGGTCTTTTGGTGGTTCTTGAGCAGCTGTAGCGGTTTCCCCGCAACGAGGTCCAGTACAGATATTTGATTGTCGGCTGCAGCCAGAATTGTGGTTCCAGAAGGCATTGGAAGGACTTCCTCAATTGGTGCGGCATGCTTGAAGGTCATGGCAGCTTTGGTTGCTATCCTAGGATCCCAAAGTCTGACTGTCGCATCATAACTTCCCGTCACTAACATATTCGACATTGTTCCTGGCAAGAAGCATCCGCTTCTAACGTAGTCTGAATGTCCAATAAACGTCGCTGTGCTCTGCTGGCTTGGAAGATCCCATAACCTGACGGTGCGATCGTCGCTTGCGCTCATGAGGGTAGTCATTTCGGTCGGCGAGAATTTTGTCGCCCAGACTGGCTGTTTGTGTTCGTCCCATGTCTTCAGAATAGCTCTCTCCTTCATGTCAAACACTTGTATCCTCCCAGAATCGTCTCCGGCAACCATAACACGTCCATCTCTTCTGATTTCTGCGCTGTGCGCAATGTCCGAGAATCGGGTGATAGTCTTGATGAGTTTCCGAGTCTGTATCGAGTAGATCTGCACTCGCGTACCTGCGGTAATCACAAAGAAATCATTGTTCGAAGATTGTAGAGGGTTTCGTGAGGGCGGTGGGAATGAGATGTGAGTGACTGGGGACTGGCAGGGCAGACTTTGCGAATGTTTAAAACTCTTCCAGTACCGTTGGTCGGGTGTGATTGGCGACGGTCCAGTTGGGAATTTGGAAGGCTGAAGCTTCTGAACTGGATGCGACATCTTGCAATCGTGTTATGTTGCACAATTGACCAGAGGCAGGGTCAACAATGAAGCTTCAAAATGTTGCGCATAAAAAAAGTCCCTTCACAAGGCTGACATTAGCTTGAAGAGGCTAGCGTCCGGAAGATGCTTGCACGTGACCGAGCATCAGGCTCAGTCACTGAGTTCGCCCTCTCCCGCAAGAGGTGGCCATTTGTATGCTTATGAGACTGTTCTATGAATCTTATGTATAAATCAGATTGTTTTTATCTAGTCTTAAGTCTCAATCTATCGGTATTGCCGGTGTCTTAGGAATGCACCAGCAATTTGGTCAGAGCTGGCACCTAAGAGGTATTGAGCAGTGCAGTATGGGAGTGGCAAAGAGAACGGAAAAACAGGTCTTCAACATAGCGAATATTTTCTTTCTGCTCCTGCCTAGCATATACTTCATGTTTATATCAACGGTGTTTTGTTTTGTTTTGGAGTAAGCGAGCTTCAGTCTAACCGAATCCGAACGAGCAAACCCTTCCTAACTTTCAATGTTTTCATGTCTCAAAGTATGACGATGACTTTGAAAAGTCTACAAACTGTAACCTTGATGTTTTATATTTGAAGAGCGATGTACAAAGTATTCATGTATCGCAGTTGAAATGGTTTCTCGACGGTTGAGATATAGTTCTAATGTTAGTCCGACAACGATAATTTCATTATTTAAGATATGGTCAACAAATGCCAGCCATGTTTAAATCTCGGCTGATTAACCTTGAGCAGGTTCTATGTACCGTTTCAAATGTACTTGTGTGAGAAAGATGATGTCCTTGTGGACAGTAAGTGGCACCAGAACTGGTGTGAGATAAGCAGATCCCATATGTATTGAAGAGAATGATGAACCCTCGAACACCTGGAAAAGAATCCCCTGGCTAATTTGGACATATATCTCGCTTTAAACAAGCTTTGGGATGGACGATGAGTCATTTTGCAATGTGAACAAAGCAGCTCCACTGGTGCTGATGTGTAACCCGCTAAGTGACCCTACATGACCTAGATACATATAGGCAAGTAACCTTTCTGTTTTATTTACTCCAAGGAATTGGGAAATATGCATTCTATTCACCTGTTAGACGTGCTCTGTCCTATTTCAAAAGTCCTTTCCCTCCCCGCATAGAAGTCTAAGCCAGCCAACCTTATTGGGCTTAGTGCCAAAAGCCTGACTGAACTCGAATCCTTCCTCAAAGCAACTTCCATTCTGTAGCATCTCACCCTGAGTGAGAGGAGACCTACCGTCAGACACCCGAATCTCTCGGGTCACCAATCTCATTGAAGTTTGACTTCACCAATCAACGGCCCCAATGGCGTCAACAACTCTGACCTTCGATCCAGACGGTGATTTGATCTTGCTCTTTCAAAACGCCGTCGTAGAGAGTTCAGTGACCACTGAAGATGAAGAGCCCCCTCAAAAAAAGTTCAAGTCAAATGGATCGAAAGGGTAGGACATGTTAGCGCCCTTTCACCTTTCTGCAAACTTCTGACGTCTTATTTAGACTCGGAGAAACGGAGACTTCGGAGATTCGCATGCAAGTATCTAGCAAGCATCTGGGACTTGCGAGCCCGGTTTTCAAAGCCATGTTAGGCCATGGATTCAAGGAAGGAGAAGCCTTTAGAGCAGATGGTAAGGTTGAGATACCACTGCCTGATGACGATGCTGCTGCCATGACGATCCTCCTAGCCATCATGCATGGCCGAGGCCGCCGTGTACCTCGCGAAGTATCGTTGCCGCAGCTTGCACTCCTTTCGATTGTCATCGACAAATACCAAGCCCAAGAAATCGCTGAGATCTACACTGATATCTGGATCAACCGTCTCTCAAACAAATTTGACCACATCTTGTTCGACTACGAATCAGACAGCAGCATCGTTCTTATGTGGTTGACCATCTCCTGGGTCTTCCTCAAGGCTGACTTATTCCAAAGAGCCACAAAGTTTCTAATTCGGGAGGACGAATGGTTCGAATTCGACACAGAAGTTAAGGTTCCTGGTACAGATCACATTCTCCACCTTCCCATTGTTGCCCTAGGTATGGTCCGAATACTTGATGGTAGGATCTATGACTGATGACACCTCTAGATGCAATACGAGTTATCAAAGAACAAACTATCGCAGAAATGTATTCTTGGGTGGAGGCGCAGATCCAGAAGTATACATCTCCCAATAAGTGCAGTACATCAATCTGCAAGTCCAGCAGGTTCCTGGAGAAGAATCGAAAGTGTGACGCTATGGTACTGGGCAGCATGATTCAAGGTGTCTCCAATGCTCTTTCAGTGTGGCCAGATCCTGGACCTCCTCACAACATCTCCATTCAATGTCTGAAGCACGAAATCGGTGCCTTCAAATTGTTATCCGCCTGCCGAGTCAATGGCCTGTGTCATCTTACAAGGTGCAGGATCAATAATATGAGTGGCTTCGTTTCTAGTGCGAAGAACTCAGAAGGATTGCTATTGGAGGACTACCGACAGCTTCTCCTACCCGGTGGACTGGCAAGATGAAAACGAGTCCATGGTCATGAGTAGAAGTGATGGCCCACTTCTCGTTCAATTTCTCGAGTAGCTATCTGTTTTATGCCAGATATAAATCGAGGCATGGGTGCTCGCACCTCAATGATTGTCTGCGTGGTGAAATTCGGTTTACGTGAGTCTTGCTCGATTTTGCCATGTCAGCTTTCCCTTGTCCTCCTGGACGCCACCAGCCAGTAGCTGACCTTCAGTGGTCCTTTCTGCGTCCATACGTGTCTGTGCTTCAGCGTTTCATTCAAGCCGGGTTGTGTGATATATGTTACGTCGGGAATTCTGCCAGCCGTACCCCTCCTGCTCACCGTGCTAATCGAAATCTTTCAGATGAAGTCCAGAAAATCTCGTCTTCACCTTGCCAATAGCCGCTCCAATTTCCGCCTTGACTCCATGAGATCCAGAAGGTTGGTTGGTAAAGCCCATTTTACTACAGAAAGAGACAACTTTGATCTGCATCACCTCATGAGCGACAAACTTGAAGTTTAGATCTCGATATGGTAAATCGGCAGGTGGCCACAGCCCTAAGCTTGTCGAACTTTCCAGGAGTGAGCCAAGAAGTACATTATTGCAAGTGTACCTGTGCGATTCGTTGCGACTCGAGGTACAACGTGGGGCTGAAAGTTGCAACATATCGATGTACCGTCCGATAATATCAAAACAATTCCGAATCGCTTTTATTCTCCTCGACAGAATACTCTCTGGATTCGTGTCAGTCAATAGTGCATGACAGGGCAAAATTCTTACACACCTATTACTCGTTGTGGTATTGGAAGGTTCGCATTCAAAGCTTGCGAATACGTATCCAAGTCCTGCCCAAGACTCTCCCTCTCAGCAATTCGCGTCACCATGTTGAATTCGATTGGTCTACGAAACACCCAAGATATACAAAGCCAGTGAAGCAAGTCCGGTGTCAGGGTCTGAGGGATCTCATGCCGCAAAGAATCAACCCATACGTCCGACGATGTCGCAATACAGAGCTGAAGCCTGTACTTGTCGACTAAAATTGCAAGAGTGGTCAAGAACAGAGTATCCATCTGAGGCGGTGCCCTGCCTCTCGTTCCATGAATGATATCCATCAATAGGGCAAACGCTACTGGGTCATCGTCTGGTAGTGGGACCTCCACTTTCCCCGTGGCGCGAAGAGTAATTCCCTCCATGAAACAGTGCTTGAGCATGGCTTTGAAAACTGGGCTGGCCATCATTAATCGTTTACTAGAAACACGCATATAAACTTTCGCAAATTTCCTTGTTGAGCTTCTATATGACCTGGGAGATCGTCAACGCTGCCTCTCGTGACTTGCCCTCAGGGACGGTCACACGACCATAGGTTCACATACAATAACGAACTGCTCTTTCTAGGTTCCTTTAACACCATACTTTGCAAAATGAAGGTCATATCTCCGGCTGGATCGAAGACGTGCATGTTTGAAGCCATCTTGAACGACTCGAATGTCCTCGAACTTGGCAAGTTTCTTGCCTCTTGTTACAGCTCCGAGGTCTAGATTCTGACAGTAGGTGGCGCAGCAGCCGTTTAAAGGCGTTGCAAGGGGTACAAGCGAACGACAACTTGGCTCTCTCGACGACAACACTCTCCTGGGCCTGCTGTTCCCTCGAATGGACGACTCCACGTCAAGTGTGAGAAAGAAACAAAAAGATAAAGGAGCGAAGAAGGTTGTTGGTGTCAGTGTATGCGCGAAATATGGTGGTGTTGAAACAAGGCTGAGTAGGTATCTACGGCGGCCCAGTGCTTGGCTGGGTGTGGACCACTTGGCGGGCCAACGGCAAGAGCAGCGGCTGGATTCGCTGTTACAAGGGCCGGACTTGGTGAGAGGGAGGGGAGAGGCACGCAACCACTGGATCCCGACTCGTGCTCACACGGCTGATATTGCCCCCGTGAGCCAGTGAGCAATGAGAAGTACCGTTCTCCCCCGCTTCTTGCTGGCCACATTTACGAAGTTTGTGGCGATCTGACTTGAAGATTTGGATTTCATAAACAGGGACATCACCAGTCACCTGATGGGACAATAACATGTGAATGCCGACCTATCCTGACCATAAGCTGATGCCCCTCAGTGGGCCTGGAATCAATGGAGTCTGCCCCCGCTATGGCATCTTGGCTGTGAGAGACCCGCGGACGAAGCAGACACCAAACCACAGACTTCTTGCCTTCCATATGCGCAAATGTAGCGCAGTGCAATTTACCCGGAACTCCCCTGGCGCATGTTCACTTCTCCAACAAAATGACCATATTCTACGCCACTCGGCCCAGTATACTTTCAGCTCGACCAGCCTCAAGAGACGTGGACCAAGATAAGTTATAGTTTGGTGAGCCTCTGGTGGCCTTGGATGCGGCTTTCGAATCCCCATTTTCAAATTGGCATGCTGTGGGTATGCCGGCTCGTCCCGATCAGGATATCGATGTCATACTTACTGGGGGATCCTTCACGTTCCTGAAGCCTCACAAGCAACAGCGACAGTCGGGTAAGATGCCGGCGTGGATATCCCAGGCACCAAGATGCGGCGAATTCGGAATGGCTGGGCACCCTAGAGGAATCTAGAAGTTCTGGAACTCAATTCAAACAAGTCCAAGGATTCCCATCATTCTTCTTCTCTACACTCTGGATATTGATATCAGAAAAAAGGCCAACTCTCCGGCTCCTTTGCATTCAGGATATTCCATACTTTGGGTCTCTGTCAACAGATTCGCTTGTCTGCTACTCGACGCTTTGGCTCCTTCTCCCCGACTTCTTGTCTTTTCCAATTCCCACCGTGATCTGTTTCATTTGACTCCCATAAACATGGCAGACCAATTCAAACTCACTAAGTGATGCCTGTGCGTCCCGAGGTACTGGCACACTGAGTTACTCTGGGGTACTCCGCACTTCAGATCTTGTTTGATAGCCACACTCAAGACTTTTCCAGAAACAAGCCATTCAATTGTCGAAACTATCGATTCTCTCATCACAGAGCACAGGCTGGCTCTGTGAGCCTCGACGAGGAATACTGGCAACGTTGTCATTATGGCCTGCCGTACACAATTCGGTACAAGGTTTCCGATCAGAGCAACACAGAGCGGGGTCATGCCGCCGACGCCCCTCACTAGGTAGATTACGGACGGATACGGGCGTCCTGTCCGACACGAAAAGCTCCAAATAGCCATCCCATCCCATCTTTGATTTGGATCTCCAGAGAGACACTGTGCGATTCACCAATCATTCCAGCATGAGGGGATGCAGTTTCTCTGGTGGACACAAGGTGGAACCTGTGCCTGGAACTGTAGGTCAAGCTACCTAGGTAACCTTCAAACGCCCTGAGCTCTTAGAATTGATGGACATCTCCTTCTGATATTTCCTTCTGTGCTTGTATGCAATTCATTTCGTTACCCATGCCATTAGATATTTATTGCTTTTGTACTTCGAATTGCAAGTCAAGATATATATTAGTAAGCCATTGTCCCTGCAGACTCCTGGCTTTTAGGGGCTTCTATGTAAACTTTCTCCCTAAGTGAACTGCACTGAAAGCAACTATCAGCTCAATAAGCCTTTTTCTCTTCCACTTCTTCAAACATTCACTATGCCACATTGTCTTTTCTGGTAACCTTGAGTAAGAAGGTATTGTTGGCATAGCACCAAACATGGAACCTTACGCCGTAGCGCTCTGTCTATCGTTCTGTAATGCACGTGGATTAGCGTAGCATACGTAATCGGGCCCTATAAAAGGGTAGCCTGAGTGTTACAGGCTCTTCTCTCTTTATCAATTAGCTTCTGTTCAATTCAGTATCACCAGCGAGCCTTCAGCTATTCTCCAGTGATCCTTTGTGCCTTGAAGTCACCTCAGTGTGCTAGTGATCATTACACGTTCATATATGTTGCTGACATGCTGCACACGAATATCTGTGTGAAAGACGCTACGTCTCCTAGGTTCCCTACTTACAAATGGCGCCGGAGAAACATGGACACGCTTATATCTCGAGGGTTCGGCGATTTGTTCACTGCCATGAATAATGCCTGAAATCAAGACTAGCCTCTTTACAGTCATTTCCAACGGGAGAATTTTATTGCTACTTTTCATGTTATAGTTCCGCGTGTACAGACCTTCTGATATCCAGAATCTCCTTGTTCACTCCATGAAGCAGAAAGGCAACCCAAATCAAAAGCCCCAAAACGCCCACCGCGACTAATGCAAGAAAGGCATCTCGATTGAGTGTTGCGCTCCATAATCTTACCGCAATGCTACTTCTATCTCCTTCAGTTCCCAACATGGGGATGTCATTCTCTGTTGCCATGATTTGGGTTTGCACCCTTTTCGATTCGGCTTCTTCTTCTTCAACGATCACGCCTTGAGGAGAGACCGGACTTTGAATATTTCGTGTAGATTTAGGCTTGTACTCCTCCAAAAGCTGCTCGAGTAGTTCTTGTATTCTGATTGAATTTTCTGGGACATTCGGCGATGATGAACGTCCAGGAGCAAATGATACATTCTTGGCCTGAGGTTGTCGGCGGATTAGTGGAGTCGAGTCCAAGGTCCTGTCGCTACGTGCTAAGTATTTCTTGAGAGTGGCAACCGCTTCTGAGCTTCTGCTCGCTATGGCAACCATATGCGCTGTCATTCCTGAGGAGTCTGCTGCGTCGATTTCACACCCATGATCCAGCAGAACTTGGAGAGCCTGCGTTGAATTGCATCTTGCAGCTGTGATCAGAGGCGTCCGTCCATATCGGGATTCTACTGATTCTGCGTTTGCCCCCATGTCAAGAAGGATTTTGACTGTCTCAAATTGGTTTGTATAGACCGCGAAATGTAGCGCCGTCATCCCAAATTCTGCCAAGACATCGACAGCTTTGATGAAACCATTATCCTTCAAAAAGTGAATACAGCTATCATTTCCTAACATCGCAGCACGATGAAGTGGAAGAACCTCCATGTAGTCGATGCGATTCACATTCATTAGTGAGGGGGACTGCCATGAAACTTTGTGGTCAAGCAGAATCTTTCTTACGTCATTTGAGACTGAAGCCACGGCAGAGTGCTCGATTCCCCCATTCAATTCTGTGCCAGTTTCGAGGACTGCACCGTTGTCGAGTAACAACTGGAAGCAGGAAACGTCGCCCTTGGAAGCAGCAAGGTGCAGTGGCGTGAATCCATCTTTGTCTTTAGCGTTCAAATCAGGTTTTTCTGGCTGGTCTAGTATCAGACGTAGAATTTGCAGCTGTCCAGCAGAAGCTGCCAGGTGAATAATGGATTGTCCACCGCTGACTTCAAACGTTGACGGAGGTGTTCCATGTTTGATAAGAATCTCAGCTATGTCCCAATGTCCGGCGATAGCACTGAAAAGCAAAGGCGTGCTATGCCTACTATTTCCAGCTTCGCTCTTGATGTCAACCTTTGCTCCGGCTTTTAACAAGGCGAGAACGCAGTCAGCAGAGTTTGCAACAGCTGCGCAATGTAAAGCAGTAGAGCCAGAGCCAAGTCTCTGGGTGTCAGTCGGCACTTTATGCTTCAATAGAATTTTTAGTGCACCAACATTTCCAGATCCTGCTGCCATCATGAGTGGGTTTGCGCCATCTCGATCCGGCAACGTAGAGCTCGCTCCTGCAGCAAGCAACTGACGCAGCAGGTCCAATGAGCGAGGCTGTGTACAGGACGCTTGGAGAGGATTTCGTTTCTGGTTCCCAGTGAAGTCATCCAAGGGACGTCTGGTGTTAGAAATCAAAAAGTTTGCTATTGTTGACTCGCACCCATGCATAGCCGCGAAATCCAGGGCGGTTGCGGCAATCTTCGTATCAATGGTGTTAACGTCAACACCTTTCGTAAACATGAGGCTGATGGTATCAGTATTTGCATACTGTATGGCACAGCCTAGAGGATACCGGCCAGTCGTCATACGCTGGCTCAATTGCTCTGTTGTCATGTACTCAAGACAACAGGCAATCTTCTCATTCCAGAGTTTCCAAAATTCTTCTGTCTGATAATCATAATCGCGTTTGTAGTTATAGGTGTATGTCTCGAGATTCCCATCGGAGTCAGATTCTGTATCGTCGTCACCTTGGCCATCTTCGAAAGTTGACCACAACGTGGCGGTGTGCTTTCCTCGGCTCATTTTTTTCTCGGGTTTTTTCTTCTCTGGTAGTGTTAGAAATATGGGGATTATAAGCGTAGACTCAGTACTATAAGCCGTACTACTAAGTACGCTACCCCTTTATATAGGAGATTCTCTCTCTCTGTAGTAGCTCCTTATATAACTATAATTTTAATATAGTAATAATTCGAATCGATTATAAAAGACCTTAAAACTTTATTTTTATTAAGATCTCCACTTTATTAACTCTTAATATATCTATTACTACACTACGATATTATCCTAATTAAAAGTACTAATTCCTATCGTCACCGGAGCCTTAAAAGATAAAACTCTACTAAAGTTTAATAACTTCTTTAAATAAGAGCTTAAGACTAAATAAGAGCTTAAGACTAAATAAGAGCTTAAGACTAAATAAGAGCTAGTTAGAACTAGAGTTCTTTATTACGTTCTTACTATAATTAATATACTAAATAGTATTAATTAGCAGAATACTTATACTAAGGAAAAGAAAGAAGCTTTTAAAATAGTTATTAACTTAATCTCTAAGCTCCTCTTTCTTAAATATAGAGATATTATTAAATTAAACAACACTAAGCCTCTCTAAGAAGCTATTCATACTAACGAAAGTAAAATAGTTTAAGAGAGTCTTACTATCGTGTACTGTAGGGAGGAGCTTCATATAGTGTGAAAGTCTTGATTTATTAAGGTATTCTAGAGCTTTCTTATAAGGGGAAGCTCTAGGAGTTCTAGTTATATAAGTAGCCTCTAGTTAGCTAAAGCGCCTTAGGGAGTGCCTTAGGTACGCTAGGTATATAACATACCTCCTCGCTTAGCTTTATAATAGTAAGCGAAGCGATATAAATAGTATAGATAATACTACCTAAACTATAATAGGAGTTAATACTAACTGATAGCGTTAGGTCTTAAGCGCCTAATAGCTCTAAGTATATAAAGTAAGTAAGTTCTCTTAAACGCTCTTTCTTTAAATAATAATTTTAATATAATATTAGTAAATATAGCTAAAAGCTCTTATACTTCCCGCGCCTCACGCGCCTCTAACCTCGCTACTACTTATATAGTAAAGAAGAAGACTATAAGTTATTTATTTAAAGATTCTAACGTAGTTAGTATTATAAGGAATCGTTAGAACTATACTAATACCTTATAAAATAGGCTCGTAGCTACTATACCTCCCTTACCGCCGCTTTTTTACTACTACTACTATTACTACTACTACTACTACTATTACTACTACTACTAACTCCCGCCTGCTACCCTGCTATAGCAGGGGCTATTCGTGCTATACTTTATAGCTACTATATTCGCGGTAGTTTATAAGGTACACTAAGCGACCTCTATTATAACAAAGAGATAGCTTCACGCTATTTTTATTATTATAAAAATAATAAATCGGGTTATATCGCTACTCTTACTTACGCTACTAAACTCTTTATCAGCTACTTAGTAGCCCGGGCCCTCCTAGAGGGTATATATATAAGTATTTCCTTATATTATAGTATTAGAATAACGAAGTATTAAGGTATTAATATTAAAGTATTAAGTAAAGCTAACTTTATAATATATATAAGCTTTTATAATCCGCTAAGCTACTATTCAGAAGGCCTTAAAAGCTAAGGAGAATAAGGATAAGAATAAGGATAAGATCTATACTATTATCTATAAGTTATAATAGTAATCTTATAGATTTCAGATATTATCTAACTATTAATATTAGCTACTACTCTTACTCTCGCTTCTACTTTCTATAGAGAAACTACTATTCTCTTCTCTCGCTCTATTTTTAGCGCTATAAGAATAAGCTCCGGCTCTATAGGAGCTGCTATTATTACTCTCGCAGCGCGTTTAGCTTTATATACCTCTGCTTTAGTAGAGGTTAATATTATAACCGGCGCTACTTAGTAGTTAATTAACCTCCTTCTCTCTCTTTAGTAAGCGGTATAAGCTTTATAACTTTTAAGTAGTAGCTTAGGAATATTACTCTTTTATTATTATAGTTTAAGCTAGCGTATTAGTACGACTTTATAATTTAGAAGTCGTAGCTTAGGATCAGGTCCTTTACTTTTCATATTATTTTAGTATAGCTTTATAACCTTAAAGTAGTAGCTTAGGATTAAGTTCTATAATTCTACCTCTTCTCTCCTCTCTAATAGTATTTAAGAACTATAAATATAAAGTAAAGGAAACATGATAAAAGAAAGTATTTATATAAACTATATAGCTTAAGCGAGCTTCTTAATATTAGCTCAAGAGTCTTAAAGGTTTAAAAGAGTAATAAACACTTTAAACTTCTGCTTTAGTAGGTTTTTAGTTAAGCTGTTAGTTAGTATATTATTTATTAGGAGATATATCACTTGAAAACTCCCTTTTTTATACTTCTATTATAGCTATATATTCTATATATCGATATACTAAAGCTTTATTAAGATACGCTAGTTCTCTTTAACTATTAGCTGAATCGTCTGTTTATTATTATAGAATATATTCTACGGAGCTCTTATATTAAGCCTTAGCTCTTTAAAGAACCTTTAGAGCGCTATTACCTCCTTAGCTATCTATTCTATATTAAGAAGCTCTACTTTAGTTATTAAGGTAGTAATAGTATCTTATCAGGAGGCTTTCTAAATAATAGCTCCTCTAAATAGTATAATAAGGAATCCTTAGGAGGAATAACGCGATTTAGTGTTATTAGTAAACAATATATCTAAGGTAATAAGAAGGTATATCTCTTTGTTTTCCTAACTATAAATAATAGCTAAGAATCTTAAGCTAAATAGATATTATATAGCTTAATTAACTACCGCTAGGTATAGCGCGCTTAAGTTAGTTAAGAAGTACAATAGTTAAGAGGCTATAAAAGCGATATCTAGCTGGAGTATAATAGCTATATATAGCACTAACTTAACTTTCTCTTAATATTCTTTAATTTACTTGAAAGTTGCTATACTAAGGTTCTTAATTAGCTTATAGTATAGAAGAGGCGTACTAAGGCACTGTTACGAACGCACTCAGAAGGAGTATCACGTGTGTCTTGGCCCTGAGGCTCGGCAGTATTACTACACAGAGAAGCTAAGAACTAAGAACAGAATCACGGGACTATATGTCACGTGATAGCATAGAGCTTTTAGAACTATAGGATCTAAGGTTCCTAGAGCCTGGGATCATAGGACCTATAGGGTTCTAAGGCGAACGAAGGTTCTATATAAGACTAGCATATCTGCTATTAGATAGGAGCTTCGTACTTAACTTTAAATAGTATTCCGATACTTAGTAACTATCTTCCTATCTATATAATACACTTATCTCTCGATTATTAGAGATTAACTGCAGCTTTCTGTATTTATAGCAAGTGAATACCGGACTATTACACTTTAAGCACCTTCTTATCAGAGGTACTAACTCATGAAGATAATATATCCTCTATTAAAGGATTATTAAACAACTACTCGACTCCTACTAAGGTCTTTAACCTAAAGAATATACCTAAGATCGCCGCCTTAGATCTTTATAATAGAGACCGATCTAAGCTTAGAGTATACCTTATATAAGTTAAGCTTTATACGAGCTTTAATAGTTACTAGTTCGCTACAGAGACTAATAAAGTCCTTTAGGCTTTATCCTTTCTCCGGGGATCTACTTTTAACTAGATCGAGACCTTTCTCTTAGATTATATTTAGAACTGAACTAAGGATAAGAGAGTCTCTATAGTAATAACTAAGGAATCCTAGAAGATCTTTATAACCTTCGAAGGTTTCGAGCATAGGATTAATCGCGTCTTTAGCGATATTAATCAGAACTATACCGCTGAACGGAATATCTAGAACTTAAAGCAGGTTAGGTTAGTAACTATATATACTACTGCCTTCTAGTAATTCGTGAATTAGACTAGCTAGAATAATAACGCCCTTCGGGTATAGTACTATAAAGGGTTAAAAAATAGAGTAAAAGATAAGATAATAAGATTAGACGCGCTTACTGACTTATAAGAACTTATCGAAATAGCTATTAAAATTAATAACTAAAACTATAAGAGAGTACTCGAGAAGAAAGGCTAATACTACTCCGGAATATATATATACTAAGGAAGAGAGAGTAATAATAAGAAACTATTCTACCCTCGGGAAATAAAACTTAATATAATGTTCCGGAAGCTAAGTTATTAAGGAAAGCTACGTAGTAGCGAGCTATCTAAGAAAGTTATAAGCGAGTAATAAGAGAAGAAGCTATACTTTAAGTATAGCTTTCCTAGTTATATAGCTAGCTCTTATCGATAAAAGAAATCGTGAACAGATAAGAAACACACTAACGTAATAGGACATAGCTCTTATAATAAACTAACACGATAACTCGCCGCGATATATCGATATATAACTATAGATAAGCTTAAGGAGAATTATATCTATACCTAGTTAGGCGATTCTAATAATAGTAAGTGAGATTCCGTAAGTGTCATAGATTAGCTCAAGTAAACTATTATTAGCACGCCCCCTAAGAACTATATATATTAAGATAATAATAGCTCTAGGCTAGATAACGATATAGAGCTAATACTAAGTAATAGCGAAAAGAAGGCCTAGGAACCCGAGTAGACTCTAGAACTAGGGCTACCTTAACCTGAACTCTTAGGACTAAGAGTAGGTGAAACTTAGGAAGTTACTTAAAGAGAAGAGAGCTTATATTAAGTTAGCTATAATACTTACTACTAGACTAATATAGCTACCGGGGTTACTTATTAAGAACTAGGCCTTATTAGCTTAAGGGGTCTACTATAAGGGGCAAGGTACGAAGTAGTCTACCGGGACTATAAGCGTATCAGATAGAGAATAGCTAGTAGCTAGGAAAGACCGACGACTTTTATATAGCACTTACTACTCTAGAATACTACTATTCTTAATACTAGCGCGCTACTAAAGGTAGGTGAGGAATAAGAAATCATAGCTAAGAACTAATATAATAGGATATAGGTCTATATTAATAATAACAGCCGGTACTATTACGAGATATATAACCTAGTAATATATACTGAACTCGGAATAGGGCTTATATATAAGGTTAGCCT